GTGAAAATTTAGGCTGAGACTGTTTCAGCAGAAAGTGGTGAAAGTTTAAGAACTTGTTTAAGTTCATGTAAAACCTGCAGGAAAAACTCCTAACTGGACCTTTAGACACATTTGACCCCAAACACTGCCCCCTGTGGTTGTCAAGGGTAACTGAGGGTAACACAGCTGGAGAGAGGAAGTCTGAGTTTGCATGTTGATGGATGGATGGATGGATGGATGGATGGATGAATATATTAATGAATGGATAAAAGGATGGATGGATGGATAGATGAACTGATGAATGGATGGATGGATAAACAGATGGATGAATGAACTGATGGATGGATGGATGATGAAGAAAGATGGATAGATGGATGCATGGGTGGATGAACTGATGGATGGATGGATGGATGGATAAACTGATAAACAGATGGATGAATGAACTGATTGATAGATGGATGAACTGATGGATGTTAGGATGGATGGAAAGATAGATGGATGAATATAAGAATGTATTTATATATGGATGGATGAATAGATCGATGGATGGATATAAGGATGGATGTATAGATGAACTGATGAATGGATGGATGAATTAATTGATGGATGGATGAATGACCTGATTGATGTAAGGATGGATGGATGGTTGGAAAGATGGATAAATGGATGGATGAACTGGTGGATTAACTGATGAATGGATGATGGATTTACTGATGGATGGATGGATGGATGGATGGATTGCTATAAGGATGGATGTATCAGTTCAGTTTCTCCTCTTCCTCCTCCATGATACCCAAACTGAGAATATAGATCTAGTTGATGTAGAAGTTTTCTCTGAGACTCTGTCCTGTTGTAGGTAAATGTTCAGAGCAGGAATGAAAAAAGATCTTTTTTTCTCCTCGTTTTGATCAGCACGCTCTCTAAAGTCTCTCTTTAGGTTAAAATCTCACACAGTTTAGCTCCCTCAGAGTTTTTATTCCCGCAGGAGTTTTTCTCCTGTTCAGGTTTCAGAATTGAGTTTGTAAATTTGGGCTCAGAGCCAGTTCTGAAATTATATCCAGTAAAAAAAAGGATGAAATGTTTATCTCTGACCTATTTAAAGACAGTAAAGCCGCAGCACAGAAGAAAAGAAGGAAACAACAGAAGTGACGGTAAATAAGACGATGACAGAATGTCCTAAAAAGACTCCAAAAAGAGGTTTACCGAGGAGTAAATTCAGTCAACAGGAGCTATTTCTGCGTTTGAGTTTGTTTACGGGAGATTTCAGTGAGTATAAATATCTCCACAGAGGGAAGGACGCTTCGGTTAGAGTTAGGAACAGAAACTGGAGACCCCCAAAACCAAATTAGAGTCTAAGACAGGAGCACAGTGAGACCCCCAAAACCAAATTAGAGTCTAAGACAGGAGCACAGCGATGGGTTCAGGGGTGGACTTTGACCACGGGTGTGAAATTTGAAAGAGACTGAAGGTCAAATGAAAAAGAAACAACAACAACAACAACTTCCTGTTTCAGGGCGAAACAGCAAAGTTTGACAAACCGCCACAGTGACGGACAGATCATCCTAAAATGAACTCAGTCTCCAATATGTGCGGGACCAACTCTGAACCTGGTAACAAGGAAAGGAAGTGCAGGAAGGACAGAAGGAAGTAGGGAAGGAAAGAAGACAAGGTAAACAGAGAAGGTAAAGAGGGAAGGAAAGAAAACTAAAGGGAAGAAAGGAAGGAAGGAAAGAAGGAAGTAGTGAACAAAGAGGGCAGGTAGGACAGAGGACGTAGGGAAGGAAAGAATGCAAGGTGGACAGAGGACGTTAATAGGGAAGGAAAGAAAAATAAAGGGAAGAAAGGAAGGAAGGAAGGAAGGCAGGGAGGACTTAGGAAGTAGTGAACAAACAGGGCAGGAAGGACACTGGAAAATAGAGAGGGAATAAGTGCAGGGAGGAAGGACAGAGGGAACTAGGGAAGCAAAGAAGGTAGGACAGAGGAAAGTTTAGAAGGAACGAGTCCAGGGAGGACTGAGGAAGTAGGAAAGAGAGGTAGGACAGGAAGGACAAAAGAAAAAGAAGGAAGGAAGGAAGGATCAGAGAGATGGAAAGGAAAAGGAAAGGACAGAGGAAGTAAAGAGGAAAGGTTAAAGGAGCAGAGGAAAAAAGGAAGGAACAAAGGAGAGATGAGAGAGAAGATTGAAAGCAGGGAAGGAAGAAAGAGGGAAAGGAAGGACAGAGAGAAGGAAGACAGGACAGAAAGAAGAAGGGAAGGAGAGAGGGTAGGTTAAAGGAACGGGGGAAGAAATGAATGAATGAATGAACTTCTCACCTTCCTACCTCAGAGTTCAAACAGGACCCAGAGTCAGACACTCAGACAGCAGCTTCACAAACGAAGAGGAAAAATCTGAATGAAAGGATTTTTTATTGTTTTCAGTTTTCAACAGGAAACACTTTCTTCAAAAATAACCTCCATAGTTTCTGTTTTTTACTGTTAAAAATGATTTTTGAATTCATCATTTCATCACGGTTTCGTCCACACAGGCGAGTCTGTCCATCAGGTGGTTTTTACGGTTCCGTTCTGAATTTGAATTTGAGTTAAACTGAATTTCCCGACAACAATAAAGGGACCGGACTCTCTGCTAACACTGAGACTCTTTAACTGTGCTGACACTGAATACTTTTACGGACTAATGAAATATGTACGAACACTTCTGCTGCTGCTGCTGCTGCTGCTGGTGTTGCTGTATGTTTGCGTTAATGTGGGTGGAGTGTGTTTATTTTCCTCCATGTGTTTGTGTGAGATTATAGCTGGCAGTGTGTCTGCCTGCATGTAAACAGTGTGTGTGTTTTTTTCTGCCTGTGTGTGTGTTCGGTGTTCAGAGGTCTGCGTGTGTGTGAGGGGGGGGAGCTGAGCCCACGGCTGTCCTGCACGTATTCAGCCTGTTTAATTTTGAGATTTCTGACAGCTGCATTATTCACAGACTAGCAGGAGGTCGACTGTTCTAACCTCCATCCACCCACTGCAGGGGGGCTCTTTATCTCCGCTGGGAGGGGGGGGCTGCTCGCGCTCCGCCATGACGCCGACACAGAAACATATGCCTGAACGCGTAACTCTCTACTACAACATTGGCTGCTTTTAAAAACTGCTCTGTGTCCTTTTTTAATGGGTGAAAACAAACAGAAACCTGCAAACAAAGTCCCAGACCAACTCATTAAAACATTTAGTTTTTGCTTAATTCGTCTGAGATTAATGCAGTTGTTGTTTTTCTTTCCGTTTTTTGATGGTTTCTGTGCACAGGAGACAGTAAGGAGAGACAAAGTGAGACTTAAAGTGAATTTAAATGACTCTTCTCCTGCAGCTCGACGGTTAATCAGCGCCGGAGTACGTTTGTTTCCCTGCAGATCATTTGCATTTGTGATCCATTGTTCCTGTTTATCATAATCGCTAAAATGTCCTCTTATATACGCAACACTTTACGAACCAAAACCGAGGGACTTAAGGGATTAATTATGACGAACTTTTAAAACTATACGCCTGCTTTAAAGGATTTTCACCAATTCTGGAGCAACTTTAAGTCAATTTTATCACTTTTGAAACAGGATCCAAGTGTTTGAGGTATTGGCAGTATTTAGTAGGGCTGGGAGATAAACCGAAAAATTACCAATAACGAAATTAAGTTTGATACCTGCACAAAGTTTGTAAAAAGTTTAGACAGCGGCAACAAAACAGAGAAAAACTTTAGTAAGGCTGGAAAACAGTCGAAGGAACATCTCCAAACTAATGAGTAGGGCTGGGCGATAAACCGAACATAGACTGATACCAAAATTTACGTCAATAAGCCAACATCTATATATAAATTAAAGGTGGTTTGGATGTGTGTTGTGGTAGAAGTTGTAGCAGCTGGAGCAGCGGCTGACGTAGATGAAGTTAATGTGGGAGGGGGTGAGCAGCTTGTGGAGTAGTTATTGTCCATTTATCGTTCTGAGGTGAACTGATCAATATATCGTGATATTGACTTGATGCCATATCGTCCAGCTCTAGTATTTAGTTAATGATAAAGTGATAGAAATGTCATGTTTTGGTTTCTGTTTGTTGTGCATTTGTAGTGCAAGAAAAACCCACCAATCAGGTATCAGCATGCTTTAGCGTACGCAGGAAAACGAGTCAGCATGGCGAGCAAAAGCAGACGTAACACAATCAGCAAGTCCAACAAACTGTCGTTGTAAAAGCCCATCAAGGTTCAGATTTCCTGACAACCTGGTAGGGCTGGGCGATAAGACCTCAAATCAATATCCCGATATATTGATCAGTTCACCTCGATAATGATAAATGGACGATAACTACTCCACCAGCTGATCACCCCCTCCCACATTAACTTCGTCTACTTCAGCCGCTCCAACTTCTGAACCGTCCTCCATCTCCTCACCTGTCTTTCCCTCTTTGTTACAGACTGGATGGGGTGGAGTCACGTCTCTGATGTAGGACAGCGTCTTAAAGGGACATGAGACCATAGCCTACCTACACACATCCAAAAACAACTTTGATTCATTGATTTTTTTAAAACTGAATATACCGATGTGGTCAAAATGACGTCGGTTATTGTCGTAAATTTCGGTATCAGTAAATCTTCGGTTTATCGCCCAGCCCTACCACCTGGACTGCACCTGAAGTGGTCGATAAAGTAGTTGAGCTAATGGTCCAATAGCTTGTAAAGTTAATAAATGCAGGTATTTGATTGGCGGTGGAGTTTTTAGGTTTTTAGTTTTTTTTTCCAACCTCAGTGAGTCGAGCTCAAACTCTTTGTGCATATAATACTACAACCATTTTGCAGGTTTTGAACTCCTTTATCCTCGCTCTCGATCAGCTGCATAAGTGCAACAAGTTTAAACGTAGAGCCGCACGACCTAGAGCGCCAACTCAGAGGAAACAGCTCACCTCCAGTCAGCCTGGAATTATTCCAAGTTCACTGTAACCTTTTTTTTTTTCTTTAAATGTGTTTCTCAGTTATTGCACAACAGATTCTCCACCAATCAGAGGAGAGAACCGGCAAAGTGCGTTTCATAAGAGGCATTTGATCATGGAGTGTGTGTGTAGTGAAAGAGCAATAAAGCCACTGATTGCTGGCATGATAATGGGCAGGTTGAGGGTCTCTTCAGACAAGTGATGAAGGTTAGAGCTCTCTCTCTCTCTCTCTCTCTCTCTCTCTCTCTCTCTCTCTCTCTCTCTCTCTCTCTCTCTCTCTCTCTGGATTTGCAGCATGTAAAGAAATATGCACTGTGAGTGAGCTAATAGATCAGCCGCTCGTTAAAAGCTCGATGCTGGCACCAATTTATCGCCGCAGAGACTGACGAGGGGGCGGGTCAGGACTCCAGTCAAGTCTTTGATCAACTGCGGGGATGAGTTATTAATAAACACTCTTTCTCTGCTCTTTCTCCCCCCCGATACTCCCTCCTTTCTCTGAGCGATGAAGTCCCCGTGGTTAAGACGCAGAGTTCTAACATCAGAAACCACGCTGAGATGAAGTGAGACTCGTAGGCTGTGGATATAAAATTAATTGTTGTGAAATGATTGAGTGGTTTCATAAGCAGCTATCTGCTCCTATTATCATCACGGTCATCATTAGTCTCGTTTTGTTCCTTCAGGTAAACAAATCCTTAATTACAGCTGTCGCTAAAATCTGTTCCTGACCTTTCTTTATCACCTCTTTCTGTCCTGGACGCGCGACTGCCGATCAATTCCAGGTCAATGAGGCGTAATGATGTGAAATTTGTGGCCTGGCAGGAACAATAAAAATAACTGTGATGATTAATACAATAAAAACAGAAAGGCTTACCGATCAGTCAGCGCTTTTGGTTTATAGCTGGAGTGCAGGTTTGGAGACGCAGGTTTAATAGGTAACGGATAGGCAGGTTCGCTGGTTTTAGCTGCCTGATGATAGCTGCGTTTACGTCGGCACAAATAATCGGAATAAAAATGCATCACGTAAACATGTCGATTGGAAGATTCTGATCCAATTCAGCTCAATTGGAACTAGCTCACAGGTGTTGCTTGTTCGATTTCGACCATTGTTGGTCATCTCATTCTAAAACTCTGACTGTAAATCTGCAGTTTTTGGGGATTTATTTCCATCTGATTTTGGATCCTGCAGTAGCGAGACCCCGTCCAGCCTCAGGAGCGTCGGCGAGCTCCAGTCCTGATGTTCATGAGCGATAAGACCGGGCTCAAAGTCAGAGGTCCGTCAAGATTTCAGAGCAGAGAGAGGAAAAGCTTTGACAACCAGTTTGCGATGAGATGAAGTCATAATCGGACTTCTTAACGCAGATGCAGCAGCGTTAATTTTATGCTAAAACATTGACGATTGTCTGGTGAAGAGAAAACACAAGGTTCACCCCAGGGATCAGGAACCTTTCTCTGCGAAGAGAGACGATTTTACCCAACTATCTAGGTGTAGATCTGCAGAATGCTCATTTAAGATGATGTAAAAGAAGAAAAAACAGATTCCTGACCCTAAATCTGAGATGTTTGTCCACTTTTGCTTCAGAGATGCTCATATCCTCAGTCTGAAACACGCCGAACATGTGATTAAAATGCGTACATGCTTGATTAACCTTCTCTTTAGACGGAAACGGTCTCCATAGAAAACAGAAAAGTGACGTTTCGTTTTCAGTTTTTATGCTGTGTTTAAGCAAAAACGCAATGTGGTTGAAAACGCTGTAATGTGCATGCCAGGTCGCTAGGTGGCGCGCGTCGGTATGACCACGATCCCATATAGACCAACAACGCAGACGTAGAACAACTTCCGTTCCGCATTAATTATTTGATGCAAATGTGAGGATGGACTGTGAGGATTCTGTACAGGTCGAAATTGAGCTCCTGTCCATTCAATAATAACGACAGCGCGACTCGAATGTCTAACATGGTTGTTGTTGTTATTTTTAAGGAAGCTGCGCATGGCTATGATGTCATAAACGTGAGCCAACGTGAGCCAGGACGTCACAGGTTTGACTGTTTTCAGCGTTTTTGTACTTTAGACGAAAGTGGGACTAGCAGCGTGTTTAAAACATTTCCACTCTTGAGGGGGTTTTCACTTTGTGACGTTTTCATCTCCTGAAAACGCAGCTGCCGTCTAAACGGACCCCCCTAAACAAAACAAAACTGTCTAAAAGTGGTCTGAAACTTTAATTTCCGGGTCACTTTAACTCCACGGTTTTCCCGCCTGAGCTGCATAAACGTTGGCGGTTTCCTGTAGATCGGAGTTGAATTAAAAATCTCTGCCTCTGTCCGCGTCGCCGTTTCATCCGCTGACCTGTAATATTCATTTAAAGGAGACTGAAATGAAGTGTAACAGTTTAGTTTCTCTCTCGGAGTGAGTGAGCGAGTCTTTGTCCTACGGTTCATTCTTGGCTCAGCATCGCACTTGGCAGCTCTTCTCCACACACACACACGCACACACGCACACACGCACACACACACTCAAGCTCTTTCCATAAATGCTCAGGGTCTCTGCGGTCCGGCTGTGGCCTTGTAGATAGTGGAGTTTTTTTGGCGAAGAAGAGAGGAAGACCAGCGGGAGGAGAGAGAGGAAGAGGGATGAAGGAGCGAGGGAAGAAAAAAAGGAGGGATGAAGACGAAGGTAGGAGGAAGAGGAGAGGATTCATATAGATTTGATAGATTGTGAGCTGGAGGCAGAGGGAGCGCCCGAGGGGGGAACGAAATAAATTGGATGGAAAAGAGAGAGGAAGACAATCGCTGCGTAGGGTTGGATGGAGAGAGATAACAAGCAAAGTAAAAGAGGGCGGACGACGGAGAGGAAGACGAAAAGGAGGAGAAAGAGGAAACAAAGAAAACTTAATGAACTTAAACAGGCAGAAACCTCGAGCAGAACCAAACTGATGTTACCCCCAATTTTCACCGTATCCAGAACGACTCGGATCTGAAAAGGCCAGATCCTACCTGATCCGTTTGTGAGGCGAATTTGGTGGCGGATTACAGACAGCAGGAATCACGAGAACTCACAGAGAGAAGAGAGAGACCAGGCCCTGATGGTTCTGATGATCGTACTGCATGAAAAGTCAATAACTGTTATATATTCAGGGGGAACGTGCGATCCTTTAAACGGCCGTCAGAGTTTCATCGTCTCTGACCCACTGACCTCTGCAACCGACCAGAAAAAGACAGAGCAGAGGAAGGAGGGAAGAAAGAGCAGACGAATAAAGAGATCTGAAGAAAAACAGTAAAAGACACGAACAAAGACAGACAGGCAGAGAGACACAGGGGTGGAGAGAGAGAGAGAGAGAGAGAGAAAGAGAGAGAGAGAGAGAGAGAGAGAGAGAGAGAGAGAGAGAGAGAGAGAGAGAGAGAGAGAGAGAGAGAGAGAGAGAGAGAGAGAGAGAGAGAGAGAGAGAGAGAGAGAGAAAGAGAGAGAGACATAGAGAATGAATGGAGGGATGCCTGCAGTGCTGGGGCAGCAAATTATTTGCAGAGCTACAGATTTCCAGGCTGCCTCGTTGGCCTTCCTGCCTGTCTGTCACTGTGTGTGTGTGTGTGTGTGTGTGTGTGTGTGTGTGTGTGTGTGTGTGTGTGTGAGGAAGAGTGCGTGAGTCACATTGTGTGTTTAGGTGTGTAGAAATCAAACACACACATTCACACATGAGCATTGCGCTCGAACACCGTCATATACGCTGACGTGTGTGTGTGTGTGTGTGCGCGCCCGCATGTGTGTGTGTGTGCGTGTGTGTGTGTGTGTGTGTGTGTGTGTGTGTGTGTGTGTGTGTGTGTGTGTGCGTGCACTCCTGGTTTATTTTTACCCCTCTATTTAAAATCTGCTTGGGGATGCAGAAGCCCAGGAAGTGAGTGTCGTCTCATTTTTCCTCCTCTCCTCCAACAAACCGTCAGTCCTGCTGCTGCATTTCCACCTCTATCTGCCATCGCTCTTCTCCCATGATGCACCTGTGCTTCCTCCCAAACGCGCCCTCAGATTTTTGTCATCACTTATCCGAGGCGCGACCCCTCGGCTGCGAGGTAACCCCTCGATCGGAACAGATCAGGTCTAAGGCCGAGTACGTTTTACTGTATTCATTCCGTTTCCATGGTAACGCACGACATTGTTTACATTGTTAAAGGCACAGTGAGAGATTTTAATTGGTTAAGAAACAGACAAATCCATCAGCAGTAAGCCTGATCTGTGGTGAAGATGCTGTAAGGGGGGTAGGTGTCAGACCAGCTGACTGAACAAACAGCTGTATTTGAATGTTTCCATGGCAACCAATAACAAAGAGTGACACATTTCACCACTAAAGACAAATACATATCTTTCTATTTGGTCTGAAATAGGGTTCCGGTAAATTTCCCTTCAACTTTTCTCCTTACAGAGTTCAACAGCTTCTTTTTTACTTCATACTTTTATTCAACCAGAAGTGAAGCTGTACTTGTTTTCTCGAGTCTTTTCGGTGTCCTTGCCGAGTCAGGCAGCACAATCACAAAGTTTTAAGTGTCTAAAAACAGGATAAGGGGATAAAAAAGACAGAAATCTCTTTATTCTGAAAAATTTAAAACACCTGCAGCAGGATGTTCTGGTTTTAAAGTCAACGAGAACGCGTCCAGAAAGACAAGCTCTATAATTTAGTGTCTGAACAAGAAAAAGTCTGCTCGCTCAGTCCCAAAGTTGTAATATCGGCCTGTTGATCCGATCTGAAAAAGGTTATCTTGTGTTTTCCTCTCGTTGACTGACAGCAGAGTCTCTTTAATTCAGACCTCGTGCCGCAGCAGCAGGTGAAAGACCAGCCCGCCCCTCCTCCCTCACATCAATATTTGTCTCCAGATTTTAAAAACAAGGCTGCTCTCCAGACCGCACCAGCTGACCTGCTGCAACCCGGCCACCGATACCGCCGCTAAGACAAAATAAACAAGCGGGAAAAAAACAGCAAATCAGAGCAGAGCGGTGACAGGTGAGGGTAAAGATGTTTCCCTGGAGAAACAAAAACACTCACAGGAGTTTGAGTGTTCGCATCGTCTCCTGAAAGACGAGTTTAAAGCTGTTTGACATCCGCGTAACTGTTTGTGTTTACAGGAGCTGTCGACGGTTTGTCAAATGAGGATTTCTGCTTTAAAATATGAATCAAAACGGAGCTTTTTTGCTGCTGTTGATGCATCGGCGCCGCTTTCATCGCAGCAGAGTATTCCTCAGAGAACAAAAAGTCCTACTTTCGAGTGTTTTTCGCCCGTAAATAAGTCAGACTTTTTCTTTCTTTGTCTCAGGAAAAACAGTTTTTTGGAAGTCAGAGGATTACAGGAAAAGTTTGCTCCGTTAACCGTTTTACATCTGTCGGTGATCTAAACGTGTCCCTTTTCTCTCTGTCTCCCTCTCAGGTACATCCACGCTCTCTACCTGGGCGCCCAGAGCCGCTGGCACAGCGACGGGCCCCGCCGCCATTTCCACTGGCGGTTAATGTTTGAGAGCGCCGACATCACCATGCTCCGCCTCCTGGAAGCCTTCCTGAAGTCGGCGCCACAGCTGGTCCTCCAGCTGAGCATCATGATCCACGGGAACAACGTCCTCCCGCTGCAGGGTGAGTGAGACTCAGGGCTGTACTTTAGGACTGAGTCAACATAAAGAAATATTATAAATAACATAAATGTATCTGTTTATCTGTAGTATATTTGGTTCAATATTGGGGTATTAGCGATAACTTCTCCAAAAAATAAAATATTGATATTGTGCCAAAAAAAGGACAGAATTTGAGTTTAGTCATAAAATGGACCAAGGGCGTAGAATTGGGTCGAGACTAGGACCCCGCCCGGTATGGATTTTTTGGGGGCGATACCGATTATTATGGCGGAAAAAAAATGTGATTACTGACGAATCGGCCGATTTTTTCTTTTTTTATGAAGTTATGAAATATATATTATATACTGTAGATATCTACAGTGTACTATATACTATTGATATAAAAACACAAAAAAAGAAAATTTTGGGGGAAAATACGATAAAACCTTAAATTCTAGATAAGAGTGATTTTACACGTCCATATTTTTAGGGGGAATAAATTACAGGTAATAATTGTGTGAAAGTAAAAGCCTCAGGCAATGACTTTACCATCAAACTATATGATTATGAACATTATGAACATGACAGTTTTCTGTTTTTGATTGTTTGATCAGCTGTATATGATGCAAAATTAGGATTGTAAATGCAAAAAAACAAACTTTTAAGAGGACAATTTTGTGTCCCCACCAATGTCAAAATCAAACCCACTCCCTTGAAATGAATAATGAATGAAGAAGCAGCAGCTGCTAGCAAGCTAGTGGTAGCAGCCCTCTGAGATGATTCGGCACTTTTGAAAAACAAACAAAAAAGTTTGAGTTTTTAATCAATTTAAAGGTTTCTAACAATCCTTTACACTATTTTCATTCGGGCCCAAGACGTCTGATCTATGTTTAATCTCTTCAAAAGGAGACCATAATCATTTTCTGCACCATGCTGTAAAGATTAGCTTTTTTGAATGGGTGTGTATGTGGTTTCCGTCACCTCTGCAGCCAGCCTCAAGTGGACACTTGAGGAACTGCAGCTTTGGCTTCATTTCTCAAGCCTGAGGGTTCCTGCTTTGTTACGATGCACTTTAATTGCTGCAGTTAAGATTCTTGTAAACGGTTCTGCAAAGAGAGAAAGGGAGAGAGAGAGAGAGGGAGGGAGAGAGAGAGAGAGAGAGAGAGAGAGAGAGAGAGAGGGAGGTGTGTGTTTAGATCTGGTATCAGTCGGAGAGTTTATGCTTTATTCATGCGACTCTTACAAGAGACAGATTGGTCTTTGATGAATAAAACAAAACACATTTTCTTGCTCTCTCTCTGTAAGTCACACACACACACTGTAGAAGCTCTCAGCGTTTACACACACCTGGCAGCACAGAAGTCAAGTGCCAGACATATATTTGAGCCCACGGTTTCAGGACAGACATGAAACCCACTAAAAAATACAGCCTGGAACCTTGGAGGGGACGCCGGGGTCACTGAGTGGTTATAAAAGCTCAGCGTAGCGTGGACGGAGACGGGCGCTGCAGCACTGCTGGTCATCAGAGCGAACCGGCAATGAGCAGCGACTGTCAGGCTCTGTGTTTCTCTGCTGGAGAAGGAGGATGTTCACTGGAGCTTTCGCAGTCGCTAGAGGATCATTTGAAACCCTCTGGGAGTCTGTCTGTGTTGGTACCTGTGTTACAGCTGTCTGTGCAGAGGAGGTTTATGAAAATACGAATACACCTGAGCATTCGGATATTATGCTTCGTGATTCTGCATCACTCCTCAGAATCACTCCATCTGGTCTCAGTAATTCATTTGATAAAGACGGAGATTTTCTTTCATAAAGTGACGAAGTCGAAAGTTCCTGTCCGAGCTACAAAACTGCTGAGACGTTGTTTGTGAAGGTTCTCATTCATCCATGTCATGGTTAAGGTCGCTTTCACACCAGAGCTGTTTGGTCCGCCTTAAACAGACCAGAGTTTGTTTCCTCGAATAGTCTGCTTCGTGTGGGCAGGTGTGAAAGCTCATCCGAACTCTGGTGCGGACCAAACAAGCGAACTCTGGTCCCCCTGAAAACGTGGGTCTCGGTTCAACACAGGACCATATGTACGTAATAACGCTATACGCAGTGCATACGCAGTGCATCTTGGGTAGAGGAAACAAGGCATCCCTTGTTGCCATGGCAACAAGCAACTGCTGATTAGCAGTTGCTAGCTAGCTTAGCTTAACTGTCTGAACAACAATAACCTATAAATTCACAATTTGGCGTATTTAACAAAATCAAACCACAACTACCAACGGTCACACAGCTCCTGTAGCTAAGCTGCTACGCTACTTTTAGCCACTCAGAGCTCTGAGGAGGGCCGGAAGAGTGGGAGGGGACGAGTTGGAACTACGGGAGAGGGGTGTGCCGAATACAGCGAGGTGATTGGATGGAGAGGCGGAGCAGGAGATTGACCAATAGGAGCTGTCCTGGACAGATGGCTCCCATTGGTCAATGTTTTTGCAGCCCTGCACCTGATGGGGTGAACAGATTTTTTCTGTTCTTTTTTCTCTTCACTTAGTGGAGATCACACTATAGGACCATGATCGCCATAGAAACGAGGTTCATAATAATTACCAATATCTCCAATCGTCAATCATGCCTTTAAAGTCCAAAATTTGTAGTCCCCACAAATCAGAACGGTAACACAAACATCCCTGCACTCTTAAGCCAATAGTCAACAGCAAACTCTGCTATTTCACATTATATGATCCGGACTCTTCCACACCTTCGATCTCTTTAGCACTGATATAGTTCATTCATTAATCCAGCAGCAGATCAATCAAATTAATCAACTATCAGTGCTGCCAATTAATCATTCATGTCATCTGTTTGGTACAAATCCTAAACATTCGCTGGAGCCAGCTCCCCCAAATGTCGGGATTTTCCGGCTTTGCGAGCATAACGAGCTGCATCTGTCTCTTTCTACCCATAATCCCCTTTGTTTTTGGTTCATTTCTCATATCGCTGCTTTGTTTTATCTCCTCTCAAACTCTCGTTCTGTCTGCAGGTAAACTCAGGTGAAAGGAAAACTGTTTCTTAAAGCTCTTCAGGACCAAAACATCACACTTCAATTAGTATTTACTCGCAGAAAAGCAGTTTGAATTCAACAAGGAGGTAAAACACCTATCAGGAAGTCTGACCCCGTTGTGTCAAATATTCCCCCAAATGTGATAAAACTAAAGTAGAGCATATGTCAGCTTCTGCAGTCATTGGTTACCCTCAGGGGGGCCGTGGGAAACACTCACAACTGACTGGATAACTCAGCAACAGCCGCTCCGCTTATAAGGACTCTCGCCTTTATCGGAAAAGAAAAAATCAAGACTCATAATCTTCAAGTTTAATTTAATTCTGCTTATGTTCTAATGGTAGACCATGTTAATTCTTGAAAAGTTGGTGCAGCTCCCTCCCTGTTCAAAATTTAATGTCCTCTCAGTGTGATTCATGGCTAATTTGAGAGTCGACTGCATGATTAACACACATGAATGTTTAATGTGTTAAACTGCACTTTGGGCTGCTGGAGGCAGGACTGAAAGTAACATGTGCCGTCTAATGAGCGTTTGACCTCAGCTGAAACTGGTTCAAATACATTTGAATAAGTAAAAAAGTACATCATTCAGATTATTCATTCGGAGTGGACGGTTTTGCACGGGCATTCAGTCCTACAACTCTAAATTAAAAATCACAGTATTTATTTTGGAACCTTGCACCAAGAGACAGTTTTAGACTTGAGGCGAATCAGATCATGACTCCGATGTGTTGTACGCCAACAGGCATACGACTAAATTTGTCTTCATTAATAGTGCATTGCAGACGGCTGATCTGCTGCTTACAGCATCCTTGGGATACCTCGCGATATGCACATGGCTGATGTCACCGCTGTGTAACCACTTTTCTCCCTCATTATGCTGGAATAATCTATTTTAAGTAGGTGGTTTTGGACCGGCCTTGAGGGGAGATGATTGGATTGAAAATTCACACAAGCGAGTGATTGGCAAAGCTAGGTGGGTGCAAATTAGGCAAATTAGTCACCTAAGCTCGTATCTGCAGTCGAGTTGAGGCCATCTGCACTGTTACAGTCAGATCAGATTTGTGAGTCCAGACTTTCATCAACATATGTGCGTAAGACGCCGTGGTAACAACGTAGGCAAGACTGCTGCCAATGCATGCAAAGCATGAAATTGGGAACCCGTCATCTTTTCTTCCAAACCATACCGCTGTCATGTCACAGAGCTGAATTCATGCATATGGATGGAAAACCCCACTGTGGCTCGGATCCAAATTACAAAAATCATGATTCATGAGGTTTTCTGCTGTCAAGACATTGCAACCCCCCCTTGGGACTCTATCTGGGTAGGCCAGAAAGTGGATTTGAGCTGGCACTGAACAAAGCAGTGGATGGTGGAGGTTGTTTTCCAACTGTAGGACTTGACTGTAAGGTGTGGGGACATTTTCAAAACTTAAGACATCTTTCTCACGATATTGAACAGCACGACACGATTCAATAAGATTCCTCTCTGATCGACTCTTTGCCCGTCTGTCTCTCATCCGTGTCCCCAGGTCTCTCGGCATCCGCCTCTCTCGTATCTCTGGCCTGGATGATCGCCTCTTACCAGAAGGTTCTCCGGGACTCCCGAGACGACAAGCTGCCCATGTCCTACAAGGCGGTGATCACCCAGATGCTGTGGCACTTCTTCACCATCGGGGCGAGGACGGTGGCCTTCGCCCTCTTTGCCTCTGTCTTCCAGCTCTACTTCGGCATTTTCATCGTCAGTCACTGGTGCGACAAAAGAGCCCGAAAAGCTGTGCATGAGACATTAAATACTTCATCTTTCTAGTCGAACAGGAAACTGGAATGATGGTTAAATTATTCGAAGTTCCTTTTTTAACTTGCTATAATCTGGATTGTCTTTCAGGTGTGTCATGACCTTCTGGATCATCCAGGGCGAGACCGACTTTTGCATGTCCAAGTGGGAGGAGATAATCTACAACATGGTGGTGGGTATCATCTACATCTTCTGCTGGTTCAACGTGAAGGAGGGGCCCAGCCGCTTTCGTATGACCGTCTACTACTCCGTGACCCTGGCTGAGAATGTGGCACTCACCGCTGCCTGGTACACGTACCGCGGCCCGCACACCTCCGACTCCTATGCCCTGGTGGTGGTGTGCCTGGTGGCCTGCAGCTTTGCCCTGGGAACCTTCTTCATGTTGGTGTACTACTGCTGGCTGCACCCTGATGGGCCTGTTCTGGGCTCACAGTGGGGAGGGTGTGTGGACGAGGGCATGGTGGGTGCAGGAGGGGTAGTGGGAGTGATTGATGCTTGCCTCACCCCTTCTCAAGGATCCCAAACGGACATGGTCATTACCAGCCCTCCAAGGACTCTCCCCAGGACTAAAGACACAGGGGAGCCTGTTCCAGGGGAGCGAGACAAGGAAAGAGACAGGGACAGTTGCCTACCTGTCTTCCAGGTACGTCCCTCCCCTTCGTCCTCTCCCGCACTCCTTCACAGGACCTCCTCCTCATCCCGCTCACAGGAGGGCCCTGTGATACGGATCGACCTCCCTAGAAAGCGATATCCAGCCTGGGATGCACATTTTATCGACCGACGCCTGCGCAAAACCATCCTGCTGCTGGAGACCACATCGGCCGTCAGCCCCAGGATACAGTACAGGAGCAGCATGATGGGCAGCAAAGAGGTGTTAGAGTACGAGACGACTGTCTAAGCCGGCAGAGGCCCTCACACAGGACAGGGTAGTCCGGGACAAAGGCTCAGCCTTAGGGCAGTTTTGCATCCCAGGACTCCCTACGCCAGGAGAAGCATGGAAAGGAGAAACGGAGCGACGGTCAACTCTTTTCAAACGAAGTGGTCGTGAAAACTTGATTGTAAAATGTAAAGTGCAATCCAGGACCAAGGCTCCCTGCTAAGGGCGCAGTCCAGGAGTAAGTAGCATGAATGAGCCGTGGGAAGTAAATGGAGAAACACTTAACTGGGATAATCTTCATCTTGTCTAAAAGCTTGATGGTGAGAAATTTAATCTCTCATCTTGGGACCAAGGAGTGTTAGATTTAGTTTCATACTGCACGGTCAAAAGAAAGAGTGAAAGGATTTCAGAGTAATGAGCTCCGAATTTGAGATAATTGAGAAACAGTCTGCTGCATGAACTTGAGCCATGGACCCCAGAGACTCAACAGAGACTTTCCAGGGATCTTCTACAGACCGGTTGCAAGAGTTTGAAAGGGACATGCAATCAATTTCGTCTGGTAGCAAATTTAGACAGTTATTAAAAAAAAAAAAGTCAGGAACTCACTACCTACTAAATCGTTTTTCTGTGTGATTTTCAAAGTCAAATGACTCTTAAATGCCAAGGTTTCAACCGGGTGAAATTTGGTTGAAAAAAGATGTCTTGCATTTCAAAATGAAGGGTGTGAATCTACAGCCCCTACACTGTTTAAAGAAGACCTACTACACTCATCTCACTGTTCATTACTTCAGTCTTGGACACATATAGAGTAGCATTGCATTGGAGGCAGCTAAATAAAAAGTCCTTCTTCTTCTTCTGCTGCTAGAATCGGTGCTTCACAGTTAACGGGTGTTACTTTTTACACAGCTGGAAGTGATGCCTTCATAGAAAACAACTAACCCTCAATTCTCACCGCCTCCGTAAAGGCTCTGATCTGGAACGGCGGTTATTTTCGTTGTCCGCATATTTCTACATGATCCGTTTTTGAAGTGGATTACGGACAAAAACCCACAGATTCACGTGCAAACGAGTTGTCTTTAGCCACATAGGCTAACCATATAAGCAGTAGATTGTGTCCTTCCAGAGGAGGAAATCTACTTCTAGACTTCTAGAATCAGCATCTCCTCATCCATGGTGTCATCGGGATGAAATGACGTCTAAAAACCTTTCACTTGTTGATGTTTGCGGCGATCCGCAGCGGAACGGAAAGAAGCCGGTGGAAATTGACACATTAACTTGAATAGTTACGATCAGCTGGGACTGGCGGATACGGCCTTTTCGTAGCCGTTCTGGATGCGGTGGAAATTGGGGGTTAGGCTAGCCGGAAACGTCCACTTAGCTCCCCATACATCCATATTGCTGCTTTATTCAGGTCTTTATTGATGAAACCGCCCCTGGTTTCTGTAACAGTTGAGATGTCTCTTCGGCCTAAACTTGCCTTTGTTTACAAAAGTGTCATCAGTGAGGTTGGTGAGTATAAACAGCTACAATGTTGCTGTTTTGTCCTGTTAACCTAAAGTGTGACTTTCCTTCGCAACCAAAAGATCAGTAAACTGGGCTTTCTGGCCGCCAGGTGGGCGTGTCCTTTGTCATTGACCTGTTAGGACTGCACATGCTACAGGGGCGGCAGTAGCTCAGGAGGTAGAGCGGTCGTCCAATGACCGGATCCAAGTCTGTCCGTTGTGTCCTTGGGCAAGACACTTAACCCACCTTGCTCCCAGTGTGTGTCCTCCACTGGTGTATGATTGTGAGTGTTGTGTGGTGGTGGTCGGAGAGGCCGTAGGCGCAGAATGGCAGCCACGTTTCCACCACCACCAAAGTGTGACTGTGTGAGCGAATGAATGATGTATCCAATGTAAAGCGCTTTGAGGGTCTCTGATAAAGCGCTATATGAAATCTGTTGCATTATTATTATTATTATTATGCTGACATCAGGTTGTGGCCATGTCTGGAAAGCACGTCCAGAAATCGAACCACCATCCAGATATCTTTGCTTTAGATCCAACATTGTAACATTATAAGTATGTTTCACAGTACAGATCAGCATAATAGGTCCTCTGACTAAAAGAAGATATAAATACGAGGTGGCGTATATTAAAATGAATGAAATCCTGGCTATATACGATGCGGATATCACACTTTTCAACCACATTCAACCCGGTGTTAACCAAGAAATCTACCTTTCTTTTTACCTTCAGATCACCAGTTTATTGCTTTTTAAGTGTGTTTGATATTTCGAGAAATGCAGTTTTTTAAAGAGTCTATTCCTTCATGCCTTCAGCAGGTTGCATGTCCCTCACAAACTTGTGTGACCATCCTTTGTGCATTCTGTCTGAGGCGTCCAGAAGAGAAAAAAAAAACGGTTCCAAACACTGGGAACCGATCCGATGAGTCCAGGACCAATGAAATGTAGGCAATGAGGGTCTGTTACACAAGTGGTGTCAGTCACCCATGCGTATATGAGTTAAAAGCAGCCATAGCAAAAGTTTCACTGTTTACATCCTGGATTGGATGTAAGGTGGACCGCTTCTGCGATGGCTGCCGCTGTCGTATGTCATGCTGTAACTCACCGCAGACAGGCCTGTGATGTACAGCTGAATAAATACAGATGTCAGATATAAGCTACTATAATAAGCTGTAGTTAGGTGATGAATGACTTTTGGGTGAAGACGGTTCATTTACTCGTAAGAGTCTAAATGTTGTCAACTTTTCTTGGAACACATACCATGTAGGAGTATCAAGGGTATCATGAACAACCTCATTGTACGGCGACAACATTTTCCAGTGTTTGGTTTTCTGGTGAACGGCAGCTGACAAATATGTCTTTTTATTATGTGGAGAGCACTTCGAGAATCACAGGATGGTTTATGGGAATGTGAAAGCACGAAAACACATCCAGTATGCAGTGAATACAAGTGACCATAAATGCAAAGCAAACGCCAATCGGTAACAGAAATCTGCAATTTAAACAAAAAAGTGTGACAGCGTTTTTGCAGGATAGCTATGAAGTGATCGCTGCAGTGTTGTGTTGACAATAGTTTGGACTCGGTCGTGTTGTTTACAAAATGAAACCATGTACAGGCCTTTGATTCGAAGCAGACGGAGGTAGATTCAGGTTTGGACTACTAAGTGACACCATCAGTCGACTGCTGAGAAAAAATGAAACGGCGTGAACTGATTAGAAATTCTCTTTTCTCCTTTTAACCTTTTTCTTGTGATGCCCCGAAGCAACAAGCTACAACCTGCAGAAATTCACCAGAGCTGATCAGTAACCAGCTTTAGAGGTCGAAGTTTAAACGCAGCGGCTCCCGGGTGCGAACGAGTGCTACTATCAATTAGAAGAGGCTGAACGCAGCGAGAGTCAATCGTGGTCAGCAACCCCTGCAGGCAGAGCATTATAAAACACTAGCATCAAAGCTAACGTCTGCCCTCTCTTCAAAAGTCTCTTTTCAAAGAGCTTTTTCTTTTTTAAGGTGGAGGTCTGGGACTTCAAGACGGTCTCATTTACGTCCAGCCCAGAAACATTAAAACTAGAGTTTTAGATGTTTGGATAAAAGTAAAGGAAAGTTTACATTCTCGTAGAAAATGAGACATGGTGACCTTAGTGGATGTAGAAGTACAACAAGTGATTTAAAAGTAAACACGGCTCGATGTCAGACGGTTTATTCATCGTCCCTAAACTTCGACTAAAGAGTGTAAATTAAGAGGACGATATAAAAGTAACTCTCAATGTGGATCAAAATTAAATCAATCAGAGAGATTAGGAGATGATCTGTCTGTTTTTACTCCTCAAACGGATCGATCTCTACAATATTTTTATCCAAAATTCCAATGTGTGTCTACTAGGACTGTGTAAACCTGTGCGCTAACTCAATCCTGATGTGATTATAAAAATTTAAGAAATCATCAGCGACCAGTTAATTTATAGAGCATCGTTGACATTTAACTTTATGCAGATGATGAGTGGATGTTCGAGGAGGAGAATTTCCAGCATATTTTTCTTTGTGTAGATGAGCAAGTGACGAAAAGCTGGCTTTATACTTGCTGTACGTGACCGTGAATGAACACAGATAAACAGCCAGGATTGATTCAGTATAGACCATAAACTGAGTCTTAGAAGTTGATGGGATCGGACGGAAATGTAAGATGTCCATCTTGAACATGCGTTGTTAAAGTCCTGGTTGACGATCTAAGAAGTAGCTGAAAAAACTGAGCCGTTGAGGCAGATTTGAAAAAAGTGTCCCACCCCTCGAACACAAACCTCTCTCCTCTGCGCTCCACGATAACTCCCCCCCGAACCTGTATCACCCTCCCCACGACACACTCCCTCTGGCAGAGCAAGAAGCCGGCCGGCAGAAGATCCTACGCTAGCTTCAAGTAGGATCCACCATGTCGGATTGTTAGTGACTAGTGGCAGTAAACGCCAGCTCTGCTAGCGAGCGCCGTCGTGTTGACATTGCGGAGACTAATAAGAGCTTTCTCCACCTCCTCTTCGACTCCGCCCTTTCTTCTGTCGGCTTGCGTTTTCTTCCCACTTTTGGCGGTGGGCGAGCAGAAGTGGGTTTTTGTTTTCTGTCCTTCTCCATCACAGCTCCTGTAGCTAAGCTGCTACGCTACTTTTAGCTGCTCAGAGCTCCAAGGAGGGCCAGGAGAGTGGGAGGGGACGAGTCGGAACTACGGGAAAGGGGTGTGTCGAGTACAGCGATCGCCATAGAAACGAGGTTCATAATAGTTACCAATCTCTCCAATCGTCAACCATGCCTTTGAAGCAAGTATACAGACACGCTAATCCATGTAAGCGTAGCTAAACCCTCGATAGACGCTCAGTTTTAAACTCGCGCTCTCTGCAGGACACTGGTATGTCCTTTACGGTACCTCTGGTGGTTGGAAACAGAAAACTCAAAAATCAGGAAAACGATCTAAAGACAAATCGGAGATGGTGGCGCTCTTATCCTGACGGTGTCGTGTCTTACCTGAACTTGTGGATGTTGGTACAGTGGTGACAGTCACGGCGGTGTTTCTGGTGCTGAAATCGACTCTACGTCAACAATGATTACGTCATGTCAAACATGATAGGCTAATGTACAGATAATAAATCAACCGCCCAATCACAGGCCGAGAGCGAGGCTCTGTGTCCTCTGATTGGGCGACGAACCAGTCCTTTGTTGTCGGGGTAAAATAACAGTTAAAGTGGTGCGCTGAATATTTATCGACTTGAACAAAAACATGTGAAAAAGTAAAAGTGAGTTTAAAAACTCATGTCATCTTTTATTAATTGATGCAAGTATTTATGTTTATTTATTTTTGTATTTGTTTTATATCTATTTATCTATTGTTTACTCACTCGGTGGCCATGTCTTTGGTATGACTCTTATATTAAGATGTAAAAAGTGAAAATAGATTTTTTTTTACTCATTCTATATATGTGTATATACCAGCGTGACGCTATACTAGGACGTGTGTGTGTATGTGTGTGCGTGAGTGTGTGTGTGTGCTTTGGTTTGTATGTGTGTGTATTGTATGTACAGTATGTGTGTAAGGATGTGCTCTAAGTTTTTTTGATAATGCTGCTTAAACATCCTCTGAGTGAACGAGCAGAAAAATAAACCAGTGGTGAAAAATATCTATGACGCTGTTAAAAAAAAGAACTCAACAAGCTGTGCTGATAACTGTAGATGGGAACAATACTGTAGTAAACATGGCTGAACAGCCGTCTAAATACACTGCTGTGCCCGCCTCTTCCTTTACCTCTGTGACTGTGAGATTTCATGTTTAATGTCGGCGAGTTCAGTTTGGTAACGCTTTCTTTTACGGTACACTTATTAACAGGTAATTAACAGGTTACAACATGAATTATCTGGTAATTACATGATAACTACTAAGTCAATACTGTCTAGTTTTTCTTTTCAAAAGCTGTTTGGGGTTCTTATTTTCTATGATTGACACTTGATACAGCCTATGGGCGTGCGAAGATTACATAGTGATACGCTGTTTGAGCCGAGCGTCATCACAGCGACTCACCTGCCGAATGCGAACAACGCTACTGCGTAAGTGGTGGTTCCAGGAAGCGGAGAAAATCCTGGAAATACCAGAGCAATGATGATGATGGAAGGTTACCTACCTGGTAGCTAGACAGTATTGACTTAGTAGTTATCATGTAATTACCAGATAATTACCCGTTAATAAGTGTACCGTAAAAGAAAACGTTACCTGATTTTTTTTTTTTTTTTTTTTTTTGTAGGATGCTAAGGGAAAGTCCCGCCTCCTTGGCCTCTGATTGGCTAGAAAAGCTGGAAATGTCATCACACATTCGAGCCAATCGCAGGCTGTCAGCTCTGTACATTGAACAGAACATCACAGAACATTATCGCACTTCTGAATCTCCTAACCCTAACCCTACAGACGATGACGTTTCACAGCCCTTAGGAATAACCAATCCAAGCCAAGGAACTTCGAGCCAATCAGAGGCGAAGGAGGGCGGGACCTTCCCCTACCATCCTAGAAAAAAAATTTGTAGTCCTGTAAAGTTTCTGTAAAGATTCTGTAAAGATCATGTGTCAAACACAGTTAAGTAAAAGTTTGTCACGGCTGATAAAGAAGTTAAAACTCCCTTCGACGTGCTGACCTCTAACTTCAGCTCCATGGTAACAGGATTTAAAGCCCTCTGATTGGTTGTTCCGTGCCCTCTGAACCCGAGGGGTTTTCAGGGGCGAGGCGGAGTGGAAACCAGAGCTGGATCTCCTCCAACCCTCCCTCTCTCTCTCTCTCTCTCTCTCTCTCCCTCTCTCTCTCTCTCTCTCTCTCTCTCTCTCTCTCTCTCTCTCTCTCTCTCTCTCTCTCTCTCTCTCTCTCTCTCTCTCCCTCTCTCTCTCTCTCTCTCTCTCTCTCTCTCTCTCTCTCTCTCTCTCCTCTCCCCGAATCGTCCCGCCCCGTTCCCCTCGTTTCCTCTCCGCTCTCCTCGTTTCTTTTCCTCTGGAGGCGCAGACAGAAATCTCTCCCTCCAACCAGCATCCTTTGATCCTCTCCATCTCTCTCTCGCATCAGCATCCCTCCATCCTGAGGATTTGTTTTTTATTTGGTCGGTGTCTCCGGGGATCCGGCAACCAAACAACCAAACAACAATCTGTGCTCCTTCTTCTCTCTTTCTATCCCAGCTGTGCTGTTTGTTTCTTTGCCTTCCTCTGATTCTGTCTCTTTCACTCCGTTTCCTCCACGTTTGTTCGCGTCATCGCTGCAGAAAGATGGAGGACAGAACCTCGTTTTTGTCCCTTTTCTGCCAAATATTCAGTCTCTTCTTGTTGTTTTCTTTGAAGGTTTTCCGCTCACTCTTTCATATTTATCGTCTTGATCTTCCTTTTTTGTTTCTTCAGGAGTCCATTTTCACCTCCTCTCTGACCTTGTCTCTTCCCCATCCATCCATCCATCCATCCGTCACCTCTTTTTTGCCTCTCTTGAAGAATCCACCCTCGTTCTACGTTCTGCACCTTTAACTCCAGTTTGATTCTGATTGGTTAAAACCTTCTGACTTATGATCACACAGGTCACACCTGTCCGGTCACTCCTCTGCTCTCCTCACCTGTCTCTAATCCCTTCTCTTCATCTCTTCTTCTCCTCTCTCATCCTAAAATCTTCTTCCTCCTCTCTCAGATATCTCAGGCCTCTCCTCCTCATCCTCATTTTTCCATCCTCCCCTTTCTTGCGTCAGACCTCGTGTGTGTGTGTGTGTGTGTGTGTGAAGTGTGGGGTCCTTTCAGGATGTGTTTCTTTGATAACGTTGATACACACACACACACACACACACACACACACACACACAGATATATATGCATAAATTCACACATAATTCAGCGGCTCTTTCAAACACACGCTCACATTTCCAGAGATACAGAGTTGATGCGGCACCAAAACATGTCAGAGTCTGACGTACTTTGAAGTTCACACCGGCGTGATTGATGTGTGTGTGTGTGAGTGTGTGTGTGTTTGTCAAAGAGAGGCAGAACTTCAAGAGCAGGTGAGTTCATGTGAAGTGAATACTAATGTATATGTACATGTGTGTAGTAGGAATGGGAAATATGTGTTTGTTTCTTTAAAAGTTTGTTGACTTTATGTTGAAGAAAACTGATGCGCTGACGAACATCCATGTGTTTTAATTCCTCAGGTTTTTGTGAAAATGTGTAAAATTTTGAGGTCTTCATTTAAAGTCCCACTCCGATCCCTTTTTTTCTACTACTTAAAGGTGTCGTAGTCAAGATCTGAGTCAGTTCCAGTTTTTGGGAGAAATCTTGAATGTAAACTCTACTCCTCCTACCAGTTTTCCCCTCAGCTCCTCCTCTTAAGCCCCGCCCACAAACAGACGTTCCTGCTCGCTCGTATCGTTCCAATTAAATTCAGATATAATGCAGATAAATCCTTCAGATCATTACAAATGGGGCCCAGTCAAGGTGAAAGTCAAAAGCATTGGTGCTACTGTAGATGCCAACAGACTACCAGCAAACACAATGTTTGCAGGACTTCTACAACTAGGATAAAGTGACATAGTCCAGGACCCGAGGGAGGACAGTTTAGCGATGGCGCTACAACACGCTACAGCAGGTCCGTTTGACAAGAAACACTTCTGTTACAGACACTTGTCTTACTTTGTTAAAGCGGTTTACCTGTCCAGCAGAAAGGTTACAGGGTCACCAAGATCCCCAAGCGTCCCCCATCGTTTATGTTGACCCGGCTTTTTAGCTCTTGTCCGGTCTACCTCCGTTTTAAACGACATCTGTGAGTTATCAAAATCATCTCATAAAAACTGCACACTTTAGCAACACAAACCTGACAACACGTACATGTCTTCCTGTAAGTGTTTCTTAATGTTTTAAAGCATTAAACAGGGATCCCTGAACATCGCTAAGTTAACAAAATCATCCCTACACTCTTCTTCTTTTAAGAATATTGAGAATCTGCAAACTGAAAACTTAATTTGTTTTAAAAAAAAAAAACAGAAAAAATGATTTTAGTCTACTAAAATGTTTTCTTTTTTTTCACCTATAACTGTGTCTTTAAATCCACTTTAGGATGAAGACTGACAAGTTTTTCGCTGATTGATTCATCACTTCATGCTGCGGGAGTTTGTGACGGAGGATCATCTGTTCATTCTGACACAGTTCAGACCTGCAGCCAAGAGAGAGAGAAGAAGAAAAGAGGAGAGGAGAGAAGAAGAGAGGAGAGGAGAGGAGAGGAGAGGAGAGGAGAGGAGAGGGGGGAATGAGAGCACATGAGATCAGGACGAGAAAAAAACTCTCACAAGATAAATGCCCCATCTTTGTCTCCCGTTGCCTTGGTAACTAGACAATCGTTAAGCCGTTAGCCCTCTGGTTGGGAGGTTTTATCCTGCATGTAGGTGTGTGTGTGTGTGTGTGTGTGTGTGTGTGTGTGTGTGTGTGTGTGTGTGTGTGTGTGTGAGGATGTTTATTTGCGCCGCACACATTCAATTAGCATTTATTAATTGTCTTACAGTGTGTGTGTGTGTGTGTGTGTGTGTGTGTGTGTGTGTGTGTGTGTGTGTCTGTGTGTAATAGTGTGTGTGTGAGAGAGAGAGAGAGAGAGCGAATGAAAGAGGGGGAAAGGTCAAAGATTTGATGTCGTCTCCTCCGCTTCCATCAGCGTCCTGCTGAGAAGAAATATGTCTTTCTTTCCTCCTCCTCCTCCTCCCTCTTCCTCTCCTCCATTTGCTCTTTGTCTCAGTGCTGCCTCCCTGTGGTCAAACCTGCTCACTGCAGCCAAAAAACCTTCACATGAAGCAGGACAGGAGAGGATATTAGTCAAATAATATCGACACTATTTCAAGTTTTTAAGGGGAACAGCAGAGAGAGTATTTTTAATTTTTATGTTTGTAATATTTCAATTTTTTTATAATTTTATTTTTATGAATTTTGGCACCTTGCGCTCTTTCAATTTTATTTTATTTTAATTTTTAATATTTTTTAGAGTACAGTTAAAAAAGCATTTCTAATTTTTCTGTTAATAATATATATACATATATTTTTTTTTTTATAATTTTATTTTTATGAATTTTGGCACCTTTAGCTTTTTGAATTCCAGGCTATAATTTCATATCAAGGATAAAACTGAAAGAAACACCTAAGTTTAAAGTAAAGGTTTGTTATTAAGGCACCGGTTTGGCTTAATGGGTGAATTTTACGTCCTGTAAAGCAGCGCTCCTGTCCTGGAAGTGGGCGGACATGCTGTAAAAGACTCTCTCTCTCCCATTTCCCTCCTGCTTTTATTCTCCTCTCCTCTAAATAAATGCATAAAAGCCCAAAATAAACTGAAAAATATTCAATGGTGTCACATTAGACAGCTTAATAGAACAGCAGCCTGTATTAAACACACTGTGGAGCTGCAGCAAAGGCTTGTGAATCATCAGTCTATTCATAAAGAGGTGTTTTATATCACCTGGTAACTCTCCTAACAGCTAAATCATCAACAGATCTTCACTTTTATGACGTGTCCGTGTTTTTAAGCAGGAATCCTTCTCCGTACGACACCACCAGGTTTAAAATCCACTAAAGTTTGGCAGCTAAAGAAACTGTTTTCACATTTTTCCACTCTAGACTCAAACGTTAGTCGTGACCTGAATTCGAAATCACCGAGTCGGAGTAATTAAAGGATAATTTTTATGTGTGTGGGTCTGTGCAATCAGCGCCGAGAGAAAGAGGGTCTTATCAGTCTCTGGTGGAGTTTCCTCTCGGACAGGAACAGGGCTTCCTCTGCTTCCTGTATTTGTGTGTGTGTGTGTGTGTGTGTGTGGCCCCAGGAGAGGTCTCAGAAGAACAATCAGTGTAGAAAGAGAGCGAGTCCAGAATGAAACCACCGATACTGAATCTGAAATAAGTGGATCAGAGAGGCAGAGACACTGAGAGAACGATGGAAAACACGACGGAGAGAGCGACACTGAGACGACAGGAGACGAACTAAAACCAAAACTCAATCATCAGGAAGACCAGGACCAGGATCAGGACTCAGTTGGCAAGATCTGAGGAGGACAGAGGAACAATGGACTATGAACCCAAGAAATCCAAGAAGGTAAAGGAGCTGCTGTCCGGTCTCTTAGATCCATGTTTTACTCTGAATATGGTCCAAAGACAAGTCAACCCACTGATGTGTTTTCTTAAATTCAGACCAGAACTTCCAGGCTTTAGTCCAGATTTACTCCTGAGCTGTTCTCAGATACATCCATGGTCTATTTTGATAACCAACAAGGTGAACCAAACCGGGATTTTTAGCGGCGTAATGAAGCTCGTCAGGTAAACAGTTGTAAAGTTTTCTTTTTTGTTAATCAACAAACACCCAGTTAGCCTCCTGTTAGCGTGTTTGTTGATTGTTTTGGTGCATGACGTAACAGGTCAACTGGAAGAGGGCGGATAGACTAACGTCAAATTCTCACCTCATGTGGAAAGGCGGCCAAGAGGCCGTTGGCGCCAATCGCCTCTGATCGTTTTCATTCAGGTTAATGTGTCAAATTCCCCTGCGGTTCAGCGGGTTTTGTAACAGATCATCAGGGTTCTGTTTTTTCCTGACGCCGCAGCATGGCGGGTAAATTCAGCACAGATTAACCCATGCTGGGAAGGAAGTCGGACACAGACACAAAATAAAATATTCGTCCGCTTTTCAAAATAAAACCCTTACAGCGTGCAAACATGGTTTGTTTCGTAGACAAAGATAAATACTGCACTAACTCATGGTTAATTCCCAATCTCCACTGACGTGAGCTGCCTCAACTGAGCTGTTGAGGCAGATTTGAAAAAAGCGTCCACCAATAGGAGCTGTCCAGGACGGATGGCTCCTATTGGTCAATGTTTTTGCAGCCCTGCACCTGATAGAGTGAACGGATTTGTTCCGTTCTTTTTTCTCTTCACCTTGTGGAGATCGCACAATAGGACCATGATCGCCATAGAAACGAGGTTCATAATAATGACCAACCTCTCCAATCGTCAACCATGACTTTAAGTCTGATCTGTGTACGTAAATCTACTTATTTGTACTTTACAGAAAATGCTAAGAATCAAAAACCAAGAGAAAGAGGAGAAAGTGTTAACCAGCTGCTCGGCACCTTGGTCTGACCTGAGCGAGTTGTTAGATTAGGAACATTCATCACAAAATCCAATTATTTCCCACTTTCTGCTTACTCAAAAAAAAAAAAAAAACTATTGAACAAGAAGAAGACAAAACTCATTATAACAGCATCTGCTTTTGTCCCGTTTAATTAAATCCAGCTGACTGCAGAGATGTTTATCACCCAACAGCCCTACAGTCTCGCTCTGACGCCTGCTGATCTGTCCTCCGTATCCACACAGAAAGACCAGTTCTTGGTCTTAAAACCGGGTTTTTCTCCAGTTTGTGTGTGTTTGGACATCCATTGGCCTCGTGCCTCGGAGTCACAGTATATTGATGTGTGTTTGGGCGTGTGTGCCAGTGGGTGTCTAACTGTGTGTGCGGTGTTAGCGGTGAGTCTCGGTGGGGAGCTGTCAGAGATCACTGCTCACCTATCAATCACAGTGGGAACAGCCAACGGGATGAAGCGCATTACAGCACACACACACACACATAAACACATAATGAGGCCTGCGTGGACACACACAAACTCGTATGAAAGTCTAGTTAAAATGCAAACCCAGAACACCCCGCTGGAGTGACTGGAGACCGCTGCGTTAATCACATTCAGGAAACCAAAGTGTTTGACAAATTAGACGGCGTGCTGAAGACTGAGGCAGGCGGGAAAGTTTTATTCATGAAGCGCGTTTCAAAGATGTCCGACTTGAGTTTCTGTCTGTTTATCTCAGGAATCACGCTGAGCAGCGACTTTTGTTCTTCCTCCAAAAACAATGATTCCTGTTGTGACCGAGTTTTCACCGAGGGGGAAATTCAATCGCATTAAACCGTTTACCTGCTCAGAGCGGTGACAGAATGTTTCCAGTATCTCAGTATCTCAGCAGGATAAAGAGAAGCAGGATATCTACGGGAATGTACCATCTGTAGATGCAGGAGCAACAATTTTAAATCAGCAAACAGGGAAAACGGTCCAGATGGAAAACCTCATATAACGCTTACCATGGATTTCCATCGCGTACGGAACGGCGGCGATTTGCGCTGTACGCCAATTCTTCGTTTGTGACGTGAATTCAGCTACGATCGGCGAATACGGCCTTTTCGTAGCCGTTCTGGATGCGGTGGGGATTGGCGGTTATCTTTATCTACAAATATCTACATGCTACAATGGCTGAGAACGGCCACTGCTGCAAATAAAAAAGAATGTAAAAAAAAAAAAGCCACAGTGGAAGTTACCGATGCAAAAAAAACAAACAAAATAAGTTACTGACTGTGAAAATAAAAGGATGCAAATAAAAAAAACACAACAGAAGTGAGCTGCCGGGGACCAGTATTGATGATGATGTGGCTTTTTTATTTGCATCTTTTTATTTTCACAGTAACTTTTTTTTTTTATCTATTTTTTCGCACCGTTGTGGCTTTTTTATTTTTATTTTGCAGCTACTGTTTCTCTTTTTTTTGCATTGGTGATTCCATTTTTTTGCGTTCTTTTTATATTTATTTATTTATTTTTATTCTTTCCATTTATTTTATTTGGCAGTTCTCGGCCACCGTAACATGTAAGTGTAGTTTACAGTCTTAAAATCTCAGTTATGTTATATTTCAAAAGCCAGTCCTTGGTTTGTGTCGAGTTTGGCGCCCCCTGCAGACGAATTAGACCACTTTTCTTTTCTTTTGTACATGTGAAAACCTCCTCTTGTCCTCTCAAAGTCAAATTTATCACACACTTTCAGTATTTGTTGTTAAAAAGAAATTTAAAAAAGGGGTTGGTAGAGCTGGCTGTCAATCATCTGGTCTGGCTCCGCCCCTTTTCACAGCAGATTCAGACACTAAAACTAGCAGCTCAGAAATTTTGCGTCTTGTTTCCTCTCGACTGTCTTTCTCTGTCTTTAATATTTCATATGTCTCGTAAATCTCCGTCCCTCTCCCTGCAGGGTTTTGTCTCTCCAATCAAGCGGCTGGTCTGGTCAAAATCTGGGCGCCGACAGGTGGACCGAGGAAGCATTTACCGCCGCCCGCTGCACACTGTCCCTCTCTACCCGCCAGACTACCTCATCCACCCTGAGAGGCTGATCTTTGACTACGTGGAGAAGGAGGTCAAGGTAGACTCTTCGACACAGAACAAAACTAACTACCATCACCGCTAACTTTACGATAACTTTACGATAACTTTACGATAACTTGACTACTTTTTCGACCTTGTCTGGTTTTAGTTTCTCGGTCACCTGACGTGGGTGTCGGTGTCACTGAACCCCTCCAGTCGAGATGAGCTACTTCAGCTGTTGGACACGGCCAGGGTGAATAAGAAGTTTTAATACGAGCTGACTTTGACTCAGTGATCAATAATCAATAATCAATAATCCGTGTCTGTGTCAGTAGCAGCTGAAGGTGCTGCCTCTAAAGACCAGCGTGGACCAGGACTGTATCCTGAGTCTGTCCGCTCGCTGTCTGCTGCTGACGTGGAGAGACAACGAGAAGCTGCTGATGAGGATCCCCACACACGAGATCGCCGCCGCCTCCTACCTGAGAGACGACGCGCTGCACCTGCTGGTCCTCAAGACAGGTGAGGGATATACGCCACATTCAGGTGGCGGTTTATCTTCTCCGTCTTTACTCGACTCTTCCCTTTCGTCCCTCATCATCGTTTCCTCTCACCTGTTTTCCTCTGTCTTGTTTCATCTTTGTCTCCCTATCGCTCCATCTCGGTTTGTTCTCCTTCGTATCATTTCGCTTCACCTGTTGTCTCTGTTTTCATTTTCCCTGTTATTTCCGACCCCTAGTCCTTTTCATCGTTCAATTTCCTCTTCTTCTTCTTCTCGGTGTGATACCAATTTTCCGATCCCATCCCCTCTGTATTGTTAGATTTTATCTTTTTTTTACCTCTCCAGCTGTGCCACATTTTGGCACATCCAGTGGATTCATTGAAGGAACCGACTCAGGGTCCTTCAGTGTCACTGTTAAGCCGCGTTCAGACCAAACGCGACCAGGTCGCGTCGCGTCGCTTTGGTCTGTCACGTCGCGTCGCGGGGTGCTCTGGTGTGTTCACACCGGGTCCAAAGCTGCAGTCGCAGGTCGCGGCTGGTCGCCGGTGACGTCATCCATGTCACCATCTCAGTTTTCAGTTCATCAGTGCTGCCGCATATCTGTTCATCCGCAGTAGACGCCGCCGGCGTTTATGGGTGCATGAAACCATCCGGAGAAGGACGGAGCTGGGTGAATTTCACCGCTTGCTCCAGGAACTCCGCCTGGACGACGGCCGCTTCCAGCGGTACTTCCGTGTGTCGACGGTGCAGTTCGAGGACCTCCTCGCCCGGGTGGGAAGCAGCATCTCCCGCCTGGACACGAAATACAGGCGCTCCGAAACTGAGATGCTTCTTCTTTGGCGTTGCGGTCCCGGTACAGCCCGCAACCCACGTCGTATAGCACCGGGTGGTAGCTAACGGATGTGATTAACTGCTCCTCCATTGTGATTCTTCTTCTCCTCTTCCTTGTTTCGCCGGTTTGTTGACGTCAGCAGAGCCCTGATTGGCTGTCGCGGCACGGAGTCGCTCCCAAAGTTCAAATATTTGAACTTTGGGAGCGACGCGACTTGGCGTCCTGCGACCTCGGCGACGCGACCTCGGGGACGCGCCTTGGCGACCGGTCGCTAGGTCGCGTCAGGTCGCGTCGCAGGCAGCCATAAAACAAGCGAACAGGACTGGCTCTCGTTTATATTCCACCTGTGGATCACACACACAGACTCACTGTTCATTCTCCTGCTCCTACAGGTTTAAATGTGGACACAGTGGTTGCCGGGGACGACAGCCTGGATAGGAAAAAAACAACAGGTGTGGATGGCCGACGTCAAACCATGAGCGGCAACTCTGATCCCCGGCCTGCAGGGGGCACAATGGAGCGACGCCACACCATCTGTGGAGTCGACTGGAGGCCTTCGCTGTCCAGGAGTAATCACGACAAGAACCAGAGTGTAGATAGAGGGGGAGGAGGAGGAGGAGGAGGAGGTGGAGGAGGGGGAGAAAGAGGAGGAGGAGGCAGTTTGGAGAGGAAGAGAGTGGGAGGGAGCTGGGAGAGGAGGCAGCAAACACGCAAGACAGGAGGGAGCTGGGAGAACCGCAGAGCGAGACCCATGAGCGGGAGCTGGGGGGTGGGAGTAGGAGGAGGTGCTGGAGGGAGCTGGGAGAGGAGGCATGGTGGAGTGGGAGGAGGGGGGAGCTGGGAGAGGAGAGGTGGAGGCGGGGGAGGAGGAGGCGGCGGAGGGAGCTGGGAAAGGAGGCAAGCCTGCACCGGGAGCTGGGAACGAGGGAAGAGCTACGGCAGCTGGGAGAGGAGGAACCACAACCCGCTGGAGCCCACGCCCTGTCCGGACGCCTACTGCAACCTGGTCATCCTGGCCGTGGAGAACAGGGTGGGTGGACGGGTCGGTTCTGTTCCACATGATACCGATTCTGCTGTAAGATACCGGTGCATGACCTGTAATATCCAACAAGACCATCAACAAAAGTTCAAACTTATACAGGCGAGAGATTCAGAAGCCGTCTTATACGAACAAAATAAATTAGTAAATTAAATTAAGTGTACACTGTCATGAATAATACGTTCATATGTTCAAAGAAAGGCACAAAGAGGCAAAAACATTCATTGAATTGGATGTCATTTTCGAGGCAGTATGTTCATGGCTATGATACAAACCCAGCACGTAATATCAATTTGACCACAAGAGGGCACCAAAGTCCACACAAACCTAAAACACCAGTTAGGAAATTTCACTTTGTGTCAATTTTGGCGCCCCCTGTGGTGAATTGCATCATTTTTTAGAACATATTCTGCAGATAAGCTCATGTGAATATTATCAGCTTCGTCTCTAACAGTCTTGTTTGTTTATGAACGTCATAAAAAGGTTTGAATATGAATTTCAGTATATTTTATTTACATTAAAAAACTCCTTACAGGAGCTTTAAAGTTTCTCCCAGATGACCAAAGAGAGCAGAAGAGAAGAAGCTGACTGTAAACAAGTCCCTGCATTGACTTGTGTTGCTGCAGATAAAACAGGCAGATAGTGTGTGTGTGTGTGTGTGTGTGTGTGTGTGTGTGTGTGTGTGTTTACTCAGAGCTGGTCAATTGTGACTCTGAGTCTTTGATTCTGAGAGTAAAAAAAAAAAAAACTACAACAGACTGAAGAGAGATTTCAGTGGGTTCACTAATGATTTGGCTCACATGTTGGAGCCGTGCAAAGTAGGCCAACACTGATGAAGCTCATTCACACACACACACACACACACACACACACACACACACAAACAAACAGTCATACTGAGAGTCTGCATTGTTATGTAAGCTGCAGGATTGCATCACAGTTACAGCAGAGTAGTTTTGTCACCGCGTGTGTGTGTGTGTGTGTGTTTGTGTGTGTGTTTGTGCGTGTGTGTGTGTGTGTGTGTGTTTGTGTGTGAACCTCGTCTCTGGAGTCAGAGTTCGTCTCAGTGTGTCATTGTTGCTCACAGGCTCGACTCAGCTTTAGTTTTAGAGGTTGCTGGTTCAAATCCTGACTTTCTTGATCAAAGTTCAAATGCAGCTCAGAGAGGAGGATTTATCTGGCGCGCTCAACAAAAGCTCATCCTTCCTCTGTCTGCAGGCAGTCTTATCAGAGAATCTCACAGATATTACCGATGTGGTAACGAATTCGGCGTGATGACAGCCTCCCCTCTCTCTCTCTCTCTCTCTCTGTGTTTGTGTTTGCGTGCAGGATGCTGCAGAAGAGTACTGCTCTCTGATCTGTCAGATGTTCCAGATCATCTACGGCCACCAGACCATCGAGTGTGTGGACAGAGCCGGGTTTCACCACAGCATGCCCGATCGCTTTTGGCTGCAGAGGAGTGAGTGACACCGAGGCCTTCTGCCTGTCAAATCTGGTCAAATTAACAAACTTGGAAACGTTTGAAAAAACTCATATTTTAAATTTTCCTTTAATTTATAAGTAATTTAGTTTATGTTTGCAAGAACATGAACTACGGTGGCCGAGAAGCGCCACTGCTGCATAAAAAAGGATGCAAAAAAAGAACATCACTGCTGCTAATGAAAATTAATGTAAAAAAAGAACATTATTTTGAGCCACAACGGAAGTTACCAATGCAAAAAAAAAAGAAAGAAACCAAAGCCTGATTCAGATTAAAAAAAGAAACAGTGCAGTTAAAAAAAGAAGCCGTAATGGGAGTTAATGGCGTAATTCTTACTGCGAAAATATAAGGATGTAAGTGAGCTGCCTTACGATGGAGTATTAGGACCACATTAAAAAAAAAAAAAATTAAGACTGAGATTAATTTATGAGAATAAAGTCATTACTAACAAGAATAAAGTTTAAAATCATTACTTATGAGAGTAAAGTCAGAATGAAGCTATTTTTATTTTAACCTGTTGTTAAAGTGACAGTTGTTGAAATTATAGCAATGGAGCATTTCGTGAAAATTTACTTAAATACAAGTTTCTCAAACAAAGAGACTTAATCTTTTGGCACATCAGCGCCACATTATCGTAAGTATCATAATGATTTTACAACGACTTTATTCTCGAACCAAGTAATTACTGCATTACGACTTTACTCTTGTAAGAAATTATTTTATTACAACTTAATTCTCATAAGTAATTACTGTACTACAACGTTATACTCGAAAATTATGACTTTATTATGACTTTATCTCGTAAGTATCATAATGATTTTACAGCGACTTTATTCTCATAGCTAAGTAATTTCTTCATTATGACTTTATTCTTGTAAGTAATGATTTTATTATGACTTTATTCTCGTAAGTAATTACTTTACTTTATTCTCATAAATTAATGACTTTTTTGCAGCAGGCTTCTTTTTTTTTGCATTTGTATCTTCTGTTTTGGCTTCTTTTTTTTCGGTCTTTTTTTATTTGCAGCAGTGGCAGTTTTCGGCCACCATAACTAACAGACGAGCGTCAGAAACCTGCATTCAACAGGCAAAGCTCCAAGACCAGCAGCTCAGCTCATCATCTGCACAGTGTTTGCTCTTTGCTGCATTTTGCATTAAGTTTTAATGAGCAGAGCAGCCTCTACGGGGACGCTAACAAGCTGTCAGACTGTGACTAACCCGTCTGTGTGTGTCTGTCTCTCTGCAGGTGACAGCTGTCTGACTGACATGTCCTACAGTTATGATCCAGAGTTTAGCTGCTGCAGCTCATAGTGAGTAACATTTGGCTCTGACTGGAGCTGTTACACATCCGCATAAACACGGCGTGTCTGCAATTCACCAAATGTTTCATCTATTTATGTCAGACATTTTGCATCATAGAGGTTTTCCACTCTGGTTATGGGGATTGTAAAGTTCTGAATGAAAGATGAATATCTGCTCTTGTGGATGGCATATTTTCTGCAGCAGAAGAATTTCAGTGAAGGTGATTTTGTCAGTGATGTGATGACAAAACTCATAAAGTCTCCTCGTCTTTTTCAGCGATGGTTCCCAGGACGCCTTCGAGCTCTACTACAGTGAGACGTACAGCGAGAGCTCCTCCCTCTCTCTGCAGGACTCCCATCGCAGCCTGGCGTCGGTCAGCGATGGAGGAGACAGTAACCCGGCTCTGCTGCTGATGCAGGAGTACATGATCACTGTGAGTGTTGGTGAAAACCCGCCTCGTGGTTCTGACTCCTCTTGGGTTTGAGCAACAATAACACAACCGTTTGAAAAATACACAATCTAAACATCAAGAGGGCAAGTAAACAGATTTTGAAGAGTAATTAAAGTGTTCGTATTTTTTATGAAACATTATTTAAAGCACCTATAAGGAATTCTTGAAATTATACAAATGACTTAAAGCTCCTGTGAGGATTTTTTTCTACAAATGCTCAAAATTCATGTTGAGGAGTGATGGGCACGGCAGTTCTTTTAGATTTACTGAATCACTAGAATCAGTTCATTCAAAAGATTTGCTCAAAAGATTTGTTCACCGATCCCTGAATCATTAAGCACTTGGCGGGAGGAGCCTGCAACTCTGACTTCCTTAGCTGATAGTTCCTCAAAGGAGCTTTAAATGTAAAACTTAGCTTGTGTGTGTGTGTGTGTGTGTGTGTGTGTGTGTGTGTGTGTGTGTGTGTTTGTGTAGTTGCGTAACAAGCTGAACCCCATGGAGTTGCAGCAGTTTGCGGTCCTGCTCAGAGAGTACAGGCTGGGATCAAACATCGACCACTTCTGCTCTGAGCTGCTGCAACTGTATGGAGACAACCGCAAGTTCCTGCTGCTAGGTGAGACACACACACACACACACACACACACACACACACACACACACACACACACACACACGATCACAAAGACTGCAGCAAAACGAAACCTGCGGCTGACTCAGCTCTGTGAGAGTAAGGGAAGTTTGTGTCGAGAGTATGAGACGCTTTTTTTTACTGGTTATGTGTTTACCACAACAATTTTAGCTCTGACCCACTTCCGCTGAGAAAACCACAACTTCCTTTTTGAGAGAGCTAGAGAGAGATAGAGGTGTTGATGCACACGTTGTGAAAACCTGTGAAGTATCTCATTAATCTTAATCTAAGTCACATTTACTTGACAAGGTTACATATAAAAATATAAAAAAGATAAAACCTGCAGAAAATAAAGCCTGAACCGCTTGTAGTGGGTAAAAATAGCTTCCAATGCAGCTTCTTTTAACAAGTTATTTAAAGCTCCTGTGAGAAGTTTTTACCTGCTTATGAACTGACTGAAAATAACCGTCTACAAAAGCAAACGAGACTGTGGGCTGAGAGACTGATATTTCCTGTCATGTCATTTTTAAATGCTGCAGAGGTTAGGCGTCCACCAACGCAGTTGACAAATATTCATGATGATATGTCCACAGGGGGGCGACAAAGACAACACAAACAGACATTACATCACAGGAGCTTTAAATTTTAAAGTTCGTCTTATTTATGTTTGTTTTTTTATAAATGTTTTCTTTCCCGGTGCACAGACTGTTTTTGCAGATGTTTGTTGTATCGTTAGTATTTCATCATGTAAACTAAAGTGATGGCATCATTTAATGTCACAGTTTGTTTGAACTGTTTCACGCATTTAATATAATCCTGCAGCCTTACAGCCTCGCTCCTCCACCTCCTCCAGGCTGTTTGAGATTGTGTTTCAGGTATTTTTTAACATTTTTATTTAGTTTATTAATTCACACATAAGAATAATACAGATAAACATGCACAGAGACAATCGGAGGTGTGATGAAGAGGTGCAGAAACCTTCTCAGGGGCTTAAAAATGAAATATGAAGAAATCATGATTATAAAACATGACTGAGCTGAAATCTCGTCTTTGTATCCCAGGTATGCGTCCGTTCATCCCAGATAAGGACGTCGGCGTGTTCGAGGGTTTCCTGGAAAGCATCGGGATCCGAGAGGGCGGGATTTTAACCGACAGCTTTGGACGCATCAAACGCAGCATGAGCAACACATCTGCTACGGCCATGAGAGGGTACGAAAGGTCGGAGGTTTTATGGTGAAAGGCCTCAAAGCTGCATGTAAACCTCGGTTGTATTTAACGTTGGGTTGTTCTGGGTGATCGGGTTTTATGTTGCTGTTTCATATCCCATCATAAATTTTTAATGAGGCGCTTTTTCTTTATTTGAAATGAGACCAAAGAGCCAACCTGTGGTTCAAGAACATAAGTGTGTATATAGAGGAGGTGCAAAAACCTGCATGTAGTAATGGCAAACAAAACCTGTCCAGCTGAGTAAGAGGATACCCTCTGTTCCTAACAGGTATGATAACTGCACTATGGCATCTGGATCTCAGGAATTCAACCGACGCATCACCGACATCACCCACGACATCCAGGCGCTCGGCTTTCAGGACACTCACGGAGACATCGAGGAGGAAGACTACTACCTCTGATGATGAAGGAGTGAAAGCAGTCAATCTTTTCACCCGGTTTTCGACTGATCTGCAGTTTGGTGTTTCATCCTTTCACCTACAATGAAACACCAAACTGCAGATAGAGCTGCTCCAAAGAATGACAGTATTTTTTGCAGGAGTTGCAGTACCTTAAGGTCACCACATGGGGGCAACTGAGGACAAAAGAGCTGATTCTACAGCCCTGATACTGAACTAGAGTCCCAGAAAACAGCATTTGTGATTTATTTATTTATTTAGATAGATAGATAGATAGATGGATAGATAGATAGATAGATAGATAGATAGATAGATAGATAGATAGATAGATAGATAGATAGATAGATAGATAGATAGATAGATAGATAGATAGATAGATAGATAGATAGATAGATAGATAGATATTTCGGGGTGGTGCGGCCTCCCCTCTCTGCGTGCGACTCCCTCTCTCTCCCCATGCTGCATTGACCTGTTATCCTAGCGGCAGCCTCATGACCTTCCCATGATGCACTGCTCCTCTACCCCGCAGCGCTCTCCTCTGCCAGCCTCACTAAACATCAGGGAGAGAGATAGCGAGTCAGTACACCCCGCGGGCGTCACCCCAGTCACCGTCGTCTGCCCTCTCCCCTTGCGTAACAGACCGACTATTGTTGTGTGCGTTTAATTCAGCAGAAGTGTGTTTTCTTACAGTAAATTTATTCACTTTAATTGTAATTAATAGACTGAAGACGCAGCGAACACGTCAGGGAGCTGCAAACGGATAAAGTTTGACCTTGACTGAGTTTTTCCAGGATTCAAGGCCTTGTAAGATGATGAAATCCATGTATTTCTGCAGGGAGGTCACTTTTTTTGCTACATCACTGCACGCAAAATAAAAATGTTAAAGTTTCCGGTAAAACTCCTGAAGGTCAGAGGTCATGATGAGGGCGCGTATCAGCCAAAGTGATCCAGGAAAAGCTCTGAGATAATATCCTCCCTGTTATCAGGACAGAGGATCAACCCTGAGCTCGTTTCTGTCTGTCAAAACTCTAGGTTTAGAGTGTGTGTGTGTGTGTGTGTGTGTGTGTGTGTGTGTGTGTGTGTGTGTGTGTGTGTGTGTGTGTGTGTGTGTGTGTGTGTGTGTGTGTGTGTGTCAGGGGCAGCAGACGAATTGTATAAACTCATCATCGGATTACAGCTCTGCAATCATCCATGCATGCGGCGGCATCTACTATCATATCATCCTCATCCTCAGCCAGGACACACAATAGCCACACACACACACACACACACACACACACACACACACACACACACACAGTCCTCCCTCTGTTTACCTTACCTACCTCACAGACCCTCACAGAGCTGTAGTTTGTTTGCAAAGATAGTAAATCTTGATTTAAATTACATTTGTTTTCATATTTATTGTATTCCTGTTTGTTTGTCTGTGAATACATATTTATTCTTAAAAGGTCAAAATTGAGTCCTAATTTCATTTTCTTTTGTTGTTTTTTTAAACATGTCTTTTATTTTTACATTTGTGTTTATAACATTTTTGTTTTTTTGATAATAATGATGTTGGATTAAACTTTTAAACTGAATCATGTTGTGTGTAACGGGTATAAACTCCTCAATCACATTTTAAAGTCATATTTTGGTCTCATAGCATCAATTTTAGAGGTGAATGGCAGCTGTGTAGTGATTATATAATTCTTTTCGGCTCTTTCTGACCACTTTAATTCTTTCCTTTATTCCAGTTTGTGTTCAGGCTGTTTAAAGGACGGGTGGATGAATTAAAGGAGGACCTGCTGTATAGCAAACGGCATTATGAAGACCACTTTGTGAACTCTTCAGCCTCTCTTTCTCCTCTCCTTATTTTCACCTGTAAAACGCTTTGTAATGTAATTTCGTATCACGTTTGGCATTACATTATCTTTACACTCCCTGAAGCACAGAGCTGCACTGCAAACACATGAGGCTGTATCTGAGCTCAGCATCAGCCTTTCTGATCATAAAGGTCAGAGCGGTGTCTCTTTTAAAATCTCATGTTCTTGCACGAGAAATAAAGGAATGAGTATCAGGATACATGTTTCTTCCTCGCCTTGGTTGCTGATGTTACAAAACATCATTAATTTTAATACACACAGCACGATCATGCTAATAAAACATGGATTTCCAGTCAAATCAAACAGTTTAATGATGCTGGATGTTGATTTCCGCCCTGTTTTCACAGCTGGAAGGTCGTTTGTAGATCATTTGTAGATGCGGGGGATCAGGGGGTGAATGAACGATAACAAACTCTTGGCCTGCAGGGATTAAAGCGTGGTGTAACCTGCAGGTTATATTTAGCCGGCCAACAGTCACAGTGTGGTCCCCCCGCTGAGCTGACCAGGTGTCACTCAGCCTTGTGTTGGTGTCACTGCAGAGAAAATCCACTGAGCTGTCAAAACAAAGCGCCAACAGCCAATCAAAGCCGCTGTCAGATGGCGCTGCAGAAACTAGTTGTTGACCTTAAAAAAAAAAACCAGGATATTGTGTCAATCAATTTGCTCTTGTAGCTGCTCCTGCAGTGGATGAACCATAAATTACATCCTGTGAGGCCAAAACGTGCCCTTTAAATAAGTCAAAAAGCCTTTGTAGAGAATGAAACTTTTTACACCATTTTGGATGAACAGCAGAGATCGTGTCCAAGATGGGTCCACAATGTCCCAGTTCATGTTGGAGAATCTGTGGAGCCCAGATAGCGAATCACACCCACATATTTTGGCTCCGCCCTAGATTAAGTGAGTTTTGGATGGAGGTTTTCAACACCCTGAAGGAAGAATTTGAAATAAATATCCCGCGATACTTCAAGGTGGCAATACTGGGAGTAATGCCTGAAGGTTTGGACAGGAGGTCAGAAAAATTAAACATCTTAAACACATTTTGACTGCAGCCTTGAAGTCTACAACCATCATTCAAAAAGTCTGGGATATTTGTCAAATGGAGCAGATCACATTTATTTATTGCCTCCTTTAGTGAAAGATGGGAACTTGTGGTACCTTTATTGATGCAATGACAGTTTATGTTAGTGGTCTAAGTACTTCCTATCCATATCAAAATACTGTCCTCCTGCCTCTGACTAGAATCTGTGCCTATAAATCTGTATTTTAGAGTGGACATTGTTTATTTGCAAAAGAAAACAAACAAAAAAACATACAGCTCGAAGAAAAGGAAAATAAATGTATAGGATTGAGATGTATACGCTGTATTGTTGTGGTTAAAAGTTTGATAAGAATTAAGTTTTTAAAAAATCGCTTTGGGATGAAGATTTCAAATCCTTCAAATCATCTCTTAGGAACTTCATTTGCAGAGAAAGCGCCAGTGCAGAAACAAATAAAACATAGCACATGTTCATCCACAGATCTCAATCTAGAGTCCATAATAAATACAATAAAATCATTAAATACATTAAAAACAAAAGGTCAATCATACTAGTCCTCCTCTACAATGTTGTGCAGCAATGTTTAACAGGCGGATGGAGGTGGGAAGGAAGCTGGAGGTGGCCCTCTTTGTCCTCAGTGGGAGCAACCTGTACCTGCGCCCTGAAGGCAGCAGAGGATAGTGAGGGTGCAGGGTGTGTGAGGGGTCAGTGGAGATCTGGTTGCCTTTCCTCAGGACTCTGGTGGTGAGTGAGTGCTGTTCCTGACCAATGATTTACTGCAATAGAAAACAAGTCTTTAAAAATAATGTCACAAAGGTAAACAGTCTGTTATTGAAGCCCGTCCTCCCGTCTCCGGTCACTATTTACATTTTTCCAGCAGCGTGTTCAGTCTTAGAGCCAAGCTCCTCCCAGAAGGGTCTGGCGCTGCAACGTCATCGCGTATTTTCCTTTCAGCCAATGGGAGCGGAGGAGGGCGTAAAGGGCTCTCGCGCCGGGTACAAAGGGATTTGACAGTTGGCAGGTCTCGAGCTGCTTCTTCAGTTGACTTCCTCAGTGGGACAGAGACCATGGCGGCGGCGGCTGCCTGCGGTCAACACACCGCGGCGATAACGGCCGGTAAAAAACCGCACACCGTCCGGGAACACAGCCGGAGAAGTCGGGAGAACTCTCGCCGGAGACAAGCCGCTCTTTTGTTCCTCAGTAACATCTCTCTGGACGGACGGCCGGTTCAGACTACCGCCGCTGAGAACGCAGGGAACCGTCATCACAGAGACACCGACTTAGAAGGAGCCGAGCCCGGCTTAGCAGCAGGGTCCAGGCTGACCCCGGAGCTGGGTGTTAATAACAGCTACGGGACGTTCTCCAGTGCGATCACAGCACCGAAAACAACACTCCTGAACATCCCGCCTATCCTCGTCCTGCCCTCGGACACGGGCTACAACGATGGGAGCGGAGCGGAGGGGCTCCTGGACTGCCGCAGAGGCTCGTTCCCCTCACCGGGGAACAGCAACCTGCTCTCGCCGTCTCCGTCCAACACCAGCCTGCTACCGTCTCCACTCGGACCGCGGAAGTCCTCGACACTGCTGTCAGTTCAGAGCTGTAACTCGGTGTCCTCAGAGCCGAGGCAGAGGTTAGAAACACACTGTTGGGTTTGTGTTGTTGTTGACATTATAGTGTTTGTGGTTTGAAACACGGACGTGACCAGAGATTTTTAATAGGGTGGCCCAACAGGGGCTCTGACTTAAGGCATGTGCACAGGGGCAATGATACCCAGCGTTTGTTTACATATTCTGCCTTCACTATTTATATCCACATTCAATACTTACCTTTAAGTATCATACAGATAGGGGAGAGTGGGGTAAGTTGAACCACCCCCTGTTGCTTGGAAATGGTAAAATAATTGATCATGTGACCAAATATTTTGGAGATGGGCATCAATTCATGGAGTCTGTGAAGGTTCGAAGCACATGGGCATTTGACATTTATTTTGACACATGTTTTATTAGAATTGTGTTCAAACCAAAAAAGATCATTTTAAATTTGTTTTATACATCAATCGTGGTATCTAAGCGCTCCAACATGAGGTCAAAAACCATCAAAGTCCACCATTTTAGCTCAGAGGACTAATAAATTCATGATTGTAGTTCTGGGGTAACTCTCAAAAATACAGCTGTGAATGTGAAGAAGTGAGAGTGGAAGGGTAGTAGGGATACGGCTCAACTTACCCCGCTCATATGGTCAACTTACCCCACACACGGGTTAAGTTGACCATAGGAGACCACTTTGTTTTTGTCCTGCTATATTATCAAGACACTTCTGTTTACACTCTTTCTGTTGGTTTGCAGGGATGAACAACATCCTGAAATATCTGCAGATACACGAGTTAGAGACAAAACTATGATGTAGTGACCCGATATATAAGAAATGTCTCATCTTACCCCACTCTCCCCTACAGATCACATATTAATGTGAGTATTTAAACTGTGAGCACACTCTGTGGAAGTTTCAGAGAAATGTATGATCTTATTATTCCACTAAATCCACTTACGAAGTTTCAAGTGTGTCACAGGTGGTGATGCAAGATTTCCCTGTTTATATAGTCCCCCACCTGGATGTGAGACTGGACTCGGAGCAGTCTCTGTGGGTCTGTAGATATACTGAGTCATGTCTCACTGCCTACACCTGCGTTCTGCAGGTGAAGGAGAGATTTCATAAGAAATATGACTAATGTCTGCTGACATTAGGAGGCGCGGTATGGATTATTTGCTCCTTTATTCATTAGCTACGTGAACATTTCTGGTATTTTTCTTTGTCATGCGAAACATGACTCAGTCGGCTAATTACAGGAACTGTTAAACCACTTGTTCTGATACCTAGATACACGATGATGTTTATCGTTCACTCAGTTTGTTGTTGTTTTACTCACTCTGATCAAATGCTGTGGATTCAAATGAAGAATTATTGCAATTTTAACTTAAAAATAGTTGATCCAGCATTAAACTTATTGAACTAGATATTTTTTCAGTGTAGAAAATAGTTTAAAGTCTTTGGGTGCATTTTTAATCTCATAGTAAAGTTCAGTTTGAAGGTTGTAGCACGCTGGCGTAGCTGGGGGTTTTCTGGAGGGGAAGTGGACCTGGGGGAGGGTTAAAAACCGCAAAGAGACAACATGAAGTTGAGCTGCACGCCACGGCACAGTAACCTAGAATCGTTTTAATTTGCGCATTAACTCTTTGGACTCTGGATTACTCTAATCTGACTTTGTGAAGAGAGGGAGACATTCTGACAAACAAACAAACTGAATTTCCTCCCAGCTGTGTGACTGTGGTTTTAGAAGGAAGTGAGTGACAGTTTGTGTGAACGCGTATGTGTGTATCTTACTCATCTGGCAGTGTTTGAGTCGCGGTGGGCCGGTGTGTGGCTGCTGATGGATGGCTCGGCTTCGTCACCGTGTTGGCAGCAGATCAAAACCCAGAGAATGTCAGCCCTGCGGCGATAAACACTGCTTAACCCATTTACACCTAACAACAGGCGGGAAATTAGCAGCAGATAACAGCTCATCAGTCAGACTGCAGCGGCAGACTCCTGCTGACATCCACAGCTCCTGCTAACACTTAATTTTGTTTATGCAGTGCTGCACAAACAGGGTGTTATTGTACTTCAAGCCTGGTGAAATTTACACTCCTGATATGCTTTTTGTTTTAATTTTTGATTTAGCTCCTGGTTCTGCAGAGCTGCTGCGAACAGCTGTGGCTGGAGGCGGGATATTTGCAGGTTGTCCATCTGTGTCTTAGTAAATGTGGCACCTCGTCCTCCGCCTCGGGGATGAAATATAATGTTTCTTTGGTGAGCTAAATGTCAAGATCACTGTGATTTATCCCAAACATTTTCGGTCATAACTGGAGAATAATGAAACATCAGCACTTTTCAGAAATGTTCTCCTCACTTTCTAGGCGGATATTTTCAGAATCAGAGTCACTCATGCACCTCAGAGTAGGAGATAATCTGTGTCGGACGTGCTCTCACGATTTTCAGCACTTCATCTGGTTCTAGTGAGGGTAGCACATGCAGAGGGAGGAGGAAGGTGACTATAATGGTGGAGTGTCTGTGTCTTCAAGGCCGGGGGATACAAGCAGCAGGTGTTTTCTGCAGAAATCTTAAAGCTCCTGTAAGGAACTTTAGGTTTGCATCAACTTTGGCGCCCCCTAGACTTTGCTTATCTTGACCTCTGTGTGCTTAAAGGTGGGGTAGTCAGGATCTGAGGAAGTTCCAGTTTTTGGGAGAAATCTTGAATGTAAACTCTACCCCTCCCAACCAGTTTTCCCCTCAGCTCCTCCTCTCAAGCCCCGCCCACAAACAGACGCTCCTGCTCGCTCGTATCGTTCCAATTAAATTCAGATATAATGCAGATATAATGATTGACTGATGTCCCTCAAAAAGATCTCCACCTCCTCGTTCTTGTCTGTGCCGTTAGGAGCAGCTGTTGTGTTTGGAGACCTATTGCAGAGTCCGTTCACCTCTACCTGGCGATATGAATGTTTGAGACGATCACCTGCTGCTGTCAGGCGAAGATCCGGGTAGATCCGTGGTGAAAAGTCAGCGTTTGTTCGCACATTCAGCCTACCAAAGTCAGTGTGGTGCATCTGTAAAAGAAGCAGTTTTTTCACACCGATGACTGATGGTGACGTCTAACACAGAAAGGTCAAAGATGAACGTCACTACCACATGTCATATAAAAATCATCTGAGTGCGCTACATCAGGGACGCCTGAGAGGTAGATCTTCAAACATGACACAAATAACCGCTCAGGGCGACGCAAAGGTCAAGGTCACCGTGATCACACATGAGAAGAGCGCAGGATGTTAACAAAGCCGGGACAAAATTTAACCACATTTTTTCATCCTGTGATCTGAAGAACAATCCCGCCCGTGAACAATGAGTGCGTGATTTCCCTTCGTGCTCCTGATTGTTCTCCTGAAACAAGAGGGAGCGAGCGGCGTCTCTCGTCGTTTTGTCTCAGACTCTTTGTTAAACGTCGCTCAGTAATGATGTGCTTTCATTAATTGTGGCGCCTTTTGAATTCCTAATGTCCAAGATAGTCGGGCTTTGGCGTTCCACACTCACATGGAAGGTTCTGGAGCCCTCAAATAACCCCAATATATAACTACATCATACTAAATACAACCATCAAGCTGCTTAATCGTCTACTTAAATTTTAACTATCAATTGTTGAGATGGTGACGTTTAAGTCTAAATGACCGTCTGAACGAACGTGTGAACGCTCGGTCTGTTTCTGTTGGCGGCAGTGGATGAGTCTTAAAGCAGCTTCCTCCTCACCTACACTCTTCCTGTTGTAATAAAGTCTGATACCGCCGTCTGTCACGCTCTGTTTGGTCTCAGTGTGTGAAGTCGTGCCAACCAGCTAACCAGCCAGCCAACGTCTTCATTAGCCTTCACACACAGAGACGCACTTTAATACACAGGATCTCTGCTGAATGGATAAAAAACAATATGAAGCTTTATTTTAATCAGATCAACCAGTCAGGTAAATAACAAGGGGACTAAATCTGAATGGATTTAGTTTTTTATCACCTGGCTATGAGACTGAGTGATCGAGAACTGAATTAGACAGTTTAATCCAGTGTTTAATGTTTGAGTTACCTCCTCAGTTTGCAGCACAGGAGTCCTGAGAAACAGTCTGGGCTCACATTAACATCCTGCAGTTACAGATGATTTTCCAGAAAGATGCTCAACTTTAACATCTTTGTGGAGAGAATCTGTGTCTTTTATTGGTCGTGAAATTTTACGATAACACGTCCGAGGCACAGGAAAACAAATAAAGGTTATAAACGTTTGAGCCGTTCGATGTTTTCTTTTTTCTTCAGGAGATCCAACTAAACAGATCATTAAACATTTATGAGTTTGGCAGAAAACTACAGCAGAGGACAAAAGCAGAGAAAACATGGACGTACACAGACTTCTGCAGCATTCAGGGTGCAGCGAGTCCGCTCCATGATTGAGTTAGTCCTGAACCGAGACGCTTTGACAGTATTATGACAAGTGTGTGTTTGTGTTTGTGTGTGTCAGGGCAGCATTAGAAAAGAGATGATTGTGCTTTTTTTCTCTCCAGCGACTGTTTGTAGTAACCTGTCAGTGTGAGTTTACTCAGGTGTCAGTTGTGTTGTGTTGTATGTGTGTGTGTGTGTGTGTGTGTGTGCACGCAGAGAAAACAATGTTTTGCACGAGTGACAAAGCTTGAAAACAGCCGAGCGTGGACAGCTCTGTTGTCTCTGAGTCAGCGCTGAAGTCTCGTCACAGTTTTGATTTTCTAAAGTCGTGACACTGAGAAGTTCTGCTGACGACAAAAACACAACCTGATTGACTGATTTCAGCAGAACCGGGTCATGGATTCTGGTTCTGCTGTCATAGACGTACTCGAGTCATATTGTGTAGTTTGTTTTGCATTTCTACGATTAGTAATAGTATGCTATGATGAGTCTATTTTGTCGTCCTGTGCTACATTCATGTGTGCGAAAATCCTGAAAACTTATTGAAATTTTCAGGATAGTAGGCAGTAGGGCTGGACAATAAACCAAATTTTTACTGATACCAAAATTTACGACAATAATCAACGTCATTTTGCCCATATCGGTATACTCGTTGTCAAATAAATAAATCAATCAAAGTTGTTTTTGGATGTGTGTAGGTAGGCTATGGTCTCATGTCCCTTTAAGACGCTGTCCTACATCAGAGACGTGACTCCACCCCATCCAGTCTGTAACAAAGAGGGAAGATGGAGGACGGTTCAAAAGTTGGAGTGGCTGAAGTAGACGAAGTTAATGTGGGAGGGGGTGAGCAGCTGGTGGAGTAGTTATCATCCATTTATCGTTATCGAGGTGAACTGATCAATATATTGTGATATTGATTTGAAGCCATATTGCCCAGCCCTAGTAGACAGCATGTTTGCAATATTCTTGCCCTGACTTTGCCAGGGATTTCTTTTGCAACTTGAAACTTCTGTAGGAAATATTCACAAAGATTCGTTGCAAGCGAGCAAAAAACTTTTTTTGTTTGTTTTTGAACTTTTCTTTGCTGCTGTGTGCAGTTTATTCGTAAAAAAAATGTTAGTTTTGTCCCTTTATTTGCCCCCCAAAAAGTTGCATGAGTCCCACACTTCAGCAGGTAGATCCTCCGTCTACATGAACTCTGACCCCCCCCTCCACTCTCCAATTAGGACATCCGGTCTGCAGTCAACCTCTGTTTGAATTTAGCCGGATTAATACTCCTCTGAGCGGTGTCAGCTGTACTTAGCTTTATCGAGCTGCAACCTGCAAACGTAACCATCCATGACACTGGAGTTTTTCCCACAATGCACTTGACTCAGTTTGCTAACGGGATGTCAGCTGTCCTCTCGCACACGGATAAACTTTCCGCTGATACCCGGCTTCTAGGAATCCACTCAAATAGAGATGAGCTGGAGAGAACATCCGACTGAAACAAGTAAAATTTAGAAAAAGTTGCGAACTTAGAGACGATTTAACATCAATAATTAGTGGTTTTTATCTCTGTGCATGCTTCTTTTGCAGCGATCGAACATCATTTTCCAGAGCTGAGTCGCTGAAGAGTGATATGTATCTCACTTCCTCAGTATCTCCTCTGAGAGTTGCTCATGCAAAACAGCGAACAGAAACTGAGAGGCAAACACAAACTGAGCTTAGCTTCAGTTCAGGTCGGACAAAAGGTCAAGTTCAGACCACAGGCTGATTAGCAGATAGCTCGTCTTCACTTCCTGCAGGAGCGTTTCTTTCTATCGACGTGCTTTGGCGTGGAAAAATCTGCCATCTGTCCGTCTGTCTGGACGCCTAATGAGGTTATTCTTCTTCAGATCCAGACCGATCAGTCTCAGTGCCAGAGGGGAAACACTAAAACTCCGCTGACCTACCTGTCACACCAGGTGAGGAAACCCTGCCAGCTCTGTTTGGCTGAACTTCTCTCTGGAGGGTCATGTGTTCCCTTAATGATCTCATGGAGTCAATGACGTAGTCCGCCAGAGACTCCCCACTGAGTCAGGAGGGATGTTCCCGCTTCAGGTCGGGATTAGGAGTTTCCCTTCGTGACGTCACGGAGGAGATGAGTTTAGGATCTTTGCATCAGGATTGAATCGACTCTCTCAAAGGTTCTTTTATTGTCAGGAGGAAGTGAAAGACAAGCGCGGTTACGGGTTGGTAGAAATGAAACCGACACACGCCCTTCACTCACATGGGATCCTTTCCCACAAGAACCTCATCTTAAACGTGTTGCGACTCCTAAATGATCAAAAATCTGTCATTTTTACTGAACTACCTCATTTTTATATGAGCTTTAAAGATGCCTGATGATCAGTGGAGCCTGAACCTTTAATAATAAAAACTCATAATTCCAGGACATGAAACTCTCTCTTTCATTTTGCAAGTCTCCAGTGTTTTTCTGCATGAGTCACGCACACTTTTTTAATCATGTTGCCTTTAAGGTGGAGTAGTCAGGATCTGAAGTAGTTCCAATTTTTAGGAGAAATCTTGACTGTAAACTCCACCCCTCCAACCAGTTTTCCCCTCAGCTCCTCCTCTCAAGCCCCGCTCACAAACAGACGCTCCTGCTCGCTCGTATCGTTCCAATTAAATTCAGATATAATGCAGATAAATACTTCAGATCATTACAAATGGGGCCCAGTCAAGGTGAAAGTCAAAAGCATTGGTGCTACTGTAGATGCCAACAGACTACCAGCAAACACAATGTTTGCAGGACTTCTACAACGAGGATAAAGTGACATAGTCCAGGACCCGAGGGAGGACAGTTTAGCGATGGCGCTACAACACGCTACAGCAGGTCCGTTTGACAAGAAACACTTCTGTTACAGACACTTGTCTTACTTTGTTAAAGCGGTTTACCTGTCCAGCAGAAAGGTTACAGGGTCACCAAGATCCCCAAGCGTCCCCCATCGTTTATGTTGACCCGGCTTTTTAGCTCTTGTCTGGTCTACCTCCGTTTTAAGCGCCCGTTATTCCTCCAGAGTCTCCGGTATTTACTTTGTTTTCTTGCTTGTGTCGGCAGTCGTGGCCAAAGGAGGATTCAGACAATTTTCCGACAATTTTTATGCTTTCTCTCATGTTTTACACCATGCTTGTGTTTGCAGCATGTTTTTTTTCACCTCCAAACTGGCGCTCATATTTTCAGCTTCATCTGTCTGCATCAATATGGAGTGAAATCATCGTTTTTATGCTCAGACCTCCATCTGATTGGAAAAACTGGCACCAAGTGAAGCAGGAAAGCGTCATTTGTTTTCACAAAGGTGCTCAATAGAAGCTCTCGATGTGTTTGTGATGAATCCTCATCGTTGCCGTAATGATGGATTTGTGATTAATCGTGCGGCGCCGCTAACCTCCTAGTTTTAATAAAAGCTCCGACACAGCCTTCAAAAACAGCCGCCAAGATAAATGAGCTAATATTATCCGTATCAGTTTGTCTTTAACAGACGATCACAAGACTTTTTTGTTTGATTTACTCGAATAATTCTGTTCAGATATATCTTTGGTTTATAAAAACAGTTTTACACTCAGAGTAGATTATTCCTCTCTGATAAAACGTGAAGATTTTCTTTTAAGGGAATTTCTCCTAGCAGACAAATAACTGAATGTCAAGATAAAATAAGATGAATTTGTGGCTCTTATAAACTGAATTTCCCCCGAGATAAATAAAGTTTTTAACCGATGAACAAACAACATGACCTTTTTTATGTGTGCGTGTGTTTTCCCCTGCTGTCCCTCCCTCTTTAGTTGCTCCAGAGTAAACATCATTAAAAGGATTGGTTGTTCAAACTTGACCTGGTTCTCACTCCTGTTTACGCTCTCTCTCTCTCTCTCTCTGTTATTAATTTCTTTCACGCCCTCTTTCTTGTTTTTGTTTTTTTGAGCTTGTCACTTTTTCAAGAGAATTTAGTGTCAAATCTGTTCTGAAAAAGTCTCATTTTTCACACTGAGACGACCTTGAGATGTCTGAATAATACCGACTGAGTTTCTCATGAGCTCTGCTGCGTCTCCTACCTGTGTCTGATAAGAGTCAGGGAAATGTTACGTCTGCCGAACTGGTACTGTCAGTGCGGTTCATGTACAAGCACATACATGTTGTCTTCAGGTTTGCGCTCTAACTTTTACTTTGAACACACACATGCAAACACACACAAATTGCACGAGAATAGGCACACACACTGCAAAATGAGTAAAAGTTAAATTTGCTGCTTTGTTCCCCAAAACCTTTTTTCTTCCCTAAAGCAGAAAACGTATCAGATTCAGCAGAAATACTGATTAGACACACCCTAAGGAGAAGCACACACACACACACACACACAGGCTGCAGACACACACACAGGCTGTAGACACACACACACACACAAATAAGCACTCGCCAAACTCTGACAAACAAAACGGGGAGACCAGCAGGAATCTGACTGACATCATCTGTATGTCTTGTGTGAGTGTGTGTTCTCTAGTGCGTCTAAACACACATGCCTGTGCAGTGAACACAGAGCCCTCCACACCCTGAATACACACATGACGTCTGGCTCTGCTTCAGTCCACATCCTCACCAATAAATCAGGAATCAGCCCACACCAGTGAAGGTTTCTAAACTCTTTTTTTACTTCTGATCTGAAACAACTAAAGCTGTTTAGTACATTTATAATAGTAAATGTCAGTTACTACACTAGGAGTCAACACAGATCTAGGGCTGGGCGATAAAACGATAACATGTCAGTCATGATTAGAAAGTAAACATGCTAGAAACTTTGACGTGTGTTATAAGGATGTCTTCGCCTCTTTGAGATGTTGCTTCATTTTAAACACCACATAATTAAAGATAGAGTAGGCGACTTCAAGCCCATTCTGAATCAATGCTCAGTTTCTCTCACCTGTGTATTCAAAGCAGAGTGTTACACTCACATCTCACCAGCTGACATTTGCTTATCATTGGCGTGTTTGCATGTGAAGTGGACGGTTATTTTAGAGGACAATTCAAGACTCATAACCAGCCTGCAACAATCACAGACATCCAAACTAAATCGACTTCATTTAAACGCCCTCCTGAGGATGGGGTTTAGAGCCGCGTTCAGGCTGATCATCACCATCGATGTGAACAGACAACCCTCTTCCTGTGACCTTTTACAGGAGGCTCTTATCAGTCACTTCACATCTCTGTTTACATGTCAAAGTTTAACAGGCGGATGAAAGGATGTCATTTTAAACCCCTCTAACACCAGTATTAGTCTTATTAATAACACAAACACCTTCATCCAGGTGGAGTCCTACAGGGATTGGGATTAATCAGAGTGAGAACCAATAATCTATCAAAGCTTAGCCTGGGTCAGTGTGTGCAGGAAACTGATGGATACAGAAAATTACCGGTCTGAAATTACACTGTTATGAGTCAATAAACAGCAAACCCATATTTTATTGACTTTAACGGACTGATAATTGAAACAGGTGAGCTTTAAACACAGGTGAGAACATCTGCAGTCAGCTGATCAGGAGGTTTATTTTTAGAAAGACGACTGAGAGAGAAGAAGGAATTAAAACGAAGGCTGAATTTTTATTCACTGCTGGAGGAGACTGTTAATCTGGTGATGTAAGACACACAACAGGCCTGCTGCTGCTGCTGCTGTGTGTCTGTGTGTGTGTGTCTGTGTGTGTGTGTGTGTGTGTGTGTGTGTGTGTGTGTGTGTGTGTGTGTGTGTGTGTGTGTGTGTGTGTGTGTGTGTGTGTTGCTCAGTCAGAAGTCCTTGTAGTGTAATCTGTGGAACGTCCAGCATCAGTCAGTCAGTGTCAGAGGTGTGGACAGACTGTTCTTACACACAGCTGCCTGCTGTGTGTGTATGTGTGTGTGTATATATGTGTGTGTGTGTGTACAGGGTGAGGATTTAGACAACCGAACATTTAATCTATGGTTGCTCGTTGGTCAATTACAAAGCGAGTGCATGTGTGTGTGTGTGTGTGTGGAGAGGATTTAGCAAGCAAGGTACTTAAGTAAAGCTGTGAGTGTGCACGGCGTGTGTATCTGTGTGTGTGTGTGTATGTGTGTGTTAGAGACTGTGTGTTTGTGTGAAAGAGAGGGGTAGAAAGATGGCGCTCTGAGTAGAAGATTTCCTGATGAACTTTCTGTCTGTGTTGATTTCGGCGCCCCCTGTGGACAAAGTTATAGCCCTCATATTGTTAATAACTGCCATGAATAAAAGGTTGATATGGTTAATTTCTGTCTGTTTAATTACCGATCAATAACTCCTTTAAGTGATCCAGTTTGTGTGACGGCTTTTTCCCTTTCACACGTGTACGAAGGAAACCAAAACAAACTCCTTCTTCCCCAAATATTTCAGCCCAAAATCAACTTTGAGGATGTTAAAAATGTATATTAATCACACATAAATTGCTAGATTATCGTTAAATGATTAAATGAAAGCAACCTGAATAATAAATAAATGTTTAATGTGGAAAAACTTTAAAAGAGGTCCTCAAAAGTGTCGATATAAATCATAAATCATGTCTGTTTAAGTGTCAGGAGATGTCTGTGTTTTGAGCACGCTGTGAGGACTTTAATCAAAACTGATATCTGTCTGTTTTAGGCAGACTCAGTGTTGTTTTTTTACTGTTTTAGCAGTATATCATTTATTTTCTGTTCATATGTTTAATCCACATCAGTATCCGTATGCATGTGTACAGGTAGGGTGTGTATCTCTCTCCTGATGTGGGTTGGATTGCTTCAAATTGCATCGATTCATCAGTATAAATCTGCAGTCTAGTTGTAATATTTGATTTTATACCACAGCGGTCTCAGGACTCTGGTCGTAGCCTCAGTAATAAAAAAAAGAGTGCAGCAGTGATATCAGAAGGAGCTGGCTTTAGAACAGATCTTTGACAGCAGCCATGTGGAAAATTGGATCGTGGAACTGCTGAAACTGCAGGACAGCCGCTAAAGTTCCTGTCATGGCAGAAATCCAGCCGATAGTTTGACGGTCAGATTGTTGATAATTCAGTCGTTCAAAGGCCGGTTAAAGATGCTCGCCGGGTTAATCGAGGAGACGTTAAAAAAGGTCGACGCTCTCGTACGAGCATCAATGCAGAGAGCAAACAAACATGGCTGACAACCTGCAGAATCGAAATTGATTTCTGTCCCAGAGTGTGAGATCAGATTAATCCGGTGTGTGCTGATGTATGCCAGTACATGTGTGTGAGATAGTGTGTGTGTGTGTGTGTGTGTGTGTACGGTATGTTTCTGTGAGTCTATTCTGAGCTTAACTGCGCTCAGTGAAAGCTGTATGTGAGGAGGAAACAGCTGTCGGCTCCTACGTCACTATAACACAAGAACACATCCTCCCAGCCAATCAGGACGCAGCAGGATTTTACTCTATAGCGTGACAGTTGTGAGTGAGATACACAATCACAGCTGATCAGTTTACTTTCTGTCCAATTTGTCAGAAGACAGCTGTCATCTCTTGAGGTAAAAGTGTGAAAGAAAGAGAAAAAACAAGTTCCTTTAGATGTCTCATAAAAGCTGAGAGTTAAATTTGGAACAGAGTTTGATGATGAGATTAAAGCTGTTTTCAGACTTCCTGTTTAATCTGACATTTTCTTTGTATCGGTGTGACAGTCTGTTCAATCCGGTCAGCAGAGAGAGAGGAAGAGGAGAGTAATGTCAGAGATGATGAAGGGCTCTAAAGCTCTGATGAAAACACTATTAAATATGAAGGAATTCAAATTACAGAACTAAAGTATTGAGAGGGATTTGTGCTGTGATTTCTCAAGAGGGGAAATTAAACTGTTTCATCTGCAGAAGGCGAGATTTTAAATCCAGAAGAACCGGGCGGAGGGAGATTAAATCCTGCAGAGTGTTTTGGAACAATGAGAAGTTTAAAATAAGACTCTAGAGAGGACAGTAAGTGTAACATTTCCTCCATAAGAAGACTCTTTTTTTCCTGTAGTGTGGGTAGTGTGAAATGCAGTGTATTCTGGGATGGATCACAACATGGAACAAGCTGGCGGCACCACTTTAATAAACAATGTGGTGGCTGGTATGATTGGAAACACTCTTCAGTGTAAGACAAGTGACCAGCAGCAGAGGGTCCTCACTTCAAAACCACCAACTCTACTGTAGACTGAGCTCAACTTCTGCACCGACATGGCAAAAAACAAAAAGAGAAGGAAAGTAGGGCTCGGCGATAAAACGAAAATTTACAGATACCCAAATTTACGTCATGATTTACATTACAATTTACGACTTCCTTTTTCTCATTTATGCTGTTTGACTTTCGCTCCCAAAACACTTCAAGCCAGTTGAGGGCTGATTGAGGTGCAAGAGAAAATCAATCCACTATCACATTATTTAGGTAGGTACGTGCAACTTACAGAAATTCGACTTGCAATTGTAACGTCAGCAGACTTATGTGTTAATATGGTACTTTAAAGTGGCAGGATGTCAAACACAGATTACACCAGAAAGTAGGGCTGGGCGAGACACCAAAAATTTACTGATACCTAAATTTACGACAATAACCAACGTAATTTTGCCCATATCGGTATATTCGGAAACAAGACTCCACCCCATCCAGTCGGTAACAAAGAGGGAAAGACAGGTGAGGAGATGGAGGACGGTTCAAAAGTTGGAGCGGCTGAAGTAGACGAAGTTAATGTGTGAGGGGGTGAGCAGCTTGTGGAGTAGTTATCGTCCACTTATCGTTATCGAGGTGAACTGATCAATTTATTGTGATATTGATTTGAGGCCATATCGCCCAGCCCTACAAGAAAGCAAGTGGTGCGAGAAAGAGCATCACAGCTGCACAGAAACTGCAGTTTACTGACTTTTCAGGATGACGGGAAACTTTTTTTATTCCCAAATAACGAACTGTGTCTTATGAACCCATGTATACAACTTCTATCCTAGATTTTACAGTACCCACACACACCTTTATTTCATGGTAAAGAATGCAAAGTTTCTCTTCTAATAAATCGTACCTGTGACCGTCTGTTTGTTTTCGAGCCTCTCACTCCACCTCCTCTTGACTTTTACAGTCAGATTACCGTCGATACAGTTCCTTCACTGAAACTTTTTGTTCCTGTTCAGTTTTATGATCTGGAAGAAAGAGTAAACATGAGAAAGCAGACGTGATGATTGATGTGGAGAGAGGAAATAACGTCACAGAGAGGCAGGGGAATAATAAAGAAGAAGAAACCGAGTGAGACGGATCAAAGCTCAGGTTTGCTGGAAAAGTACAGACTAGAAACATCTCACAGACATATTTTTTTATTCTATTTAAAGCAAACAGCGTCCTGACAGAGTGTGTCGGCACTAGTTTATTTTCGGCTATTTTTAGGCCGACTCTGATGTTGCTCATGACTCAAACTGGATGAAATGACTCTGCGTCCCAGAAAAATCCATCACAAGAGTCCCCAAACGCAGACCTGCTGCAGGGAGAGGGACGAGACAGTCACTGCATGAAAATAAAGGGAATTGATCCAAATCAATGATTGTGTGTTTATGTTTGGTTTTATTAAACACTTAAAACGTCCTGTCCTGTACATCAGTGCACTTTTAACCCTTCATTTCCATATCACGAATAAAACAACCCTATGGAGAGTTTTCGCCATGAATGAGCAGCTCTTTCACCCTCAGGGTCACTTTTATCAGACCTGTAATGTTGAAGGTCTTTCAGTCTGAAATCTGAAAGTATTCGCCTGGGGGGAATAAAAATGGCTGCTGAGAGTTTTGCAGAAGCCGCAGTTTTTGAGTGGTTTGGCTGCAGGTGAAATCGCATTTTGAAGCAGATGACTTTTGGTGAGGATGGGGGTTGAAGACCTGGCTGCAGAATGGAAATATTGTGGCGCGTAGAGGAAGCATTTCATGGTTATTGAGGGTAAAAGGCGTCCAGTAAAGTACACATCTTTCTGAGGCAGGATGCAAATGTTCACCTTGTATCTGCTTGAACATCAAGTTTTAGTTGAAAAAGGCGTCAGTCAAACTGATAAAACAGCCTTTGTTGAAAACAGCAGCTGATGGACATTAGTAGGTCAGTCTCTGTTGTGTCTGATCACCGTCACCCAAACCCTCAGGATACAAGCGCACATGCAGCCACTGAGCATCTTCCTCTAAACGCCGTACATCACGATTATCTTCACGCTCAGCTCTGAGCGACGTGGCGAACATGATTTTTCCGTTCCCACAGACGGGGGGGGAACTTTCCACAACATCCCAGACAGATGTAGTAGACCAGTTCTCATGGAAATGGGCCACTGGTCAGACTGTTGTGATAATGACTCTGCAGATCCACGGCGCAGATACTGGGACAGATTTAGACCGACTGGGAGAGCGCTGGCGTCAGCTAATCGCGCTCTTACCCAGATACTGATGATGTTTATGACCTCAGCGTTTCTCTCACAGCGGAGCCGAGATAACCGACAGAGATGTTTATGGAGACGGTGCAGCAGTTTGCTATTAATAAACCTTTCTGTTCAATGTCAGGTACACTTCATAAATCAGACTCTATGAGAATTAAACTGTATTGACCGCATGACTTTTACATTCAACGCTATCCTGGTGATAATTTGTCTTGGTTGTTTACAGTTAGAATCTCTGTGCATCAGTGTTGTTTTCATAAATTTAAATCAGCTGTTTTGCATTAATGTGAAGAAAATCTGCTTATTCCAGAGCAGACAGATTCTACCTCTCTTTTTCACTCATACTGTATGTAGACAGCATTTTGCGTTGTCAGGATGAGAGTGCGCAGAGCAGCTCTGTGCAGCAGAGAGAGCAAAACTGACTTCACTCCAAATCTCATGTTTTCTCACTGTTACAGAACTTAGAAACATAGATTTGAGGTTGTTCTCCACGATAGAAATATGAAATATAGATGCAAACCTTTATGCATTCATACAGGCTGATTTGCTTATCCTGATTTATTACGTTGGACGAGCTCCCATGGCAACAGCAAACTAATTCCACTGATTGGTTTGTTTTGACCTGTGGATTCAGCTTGTTGTGATATCAAAACACTTAATTATCGGGTTTCAACCAATCAGAATCAAGCATGTCCAGGGCTCGACAGAGTGACAGTTTCACTCGCATTTGCGACTGAAAATAGATGTGTGCGAATCGTAAAATGTATTTAAGGGGCGCATAAAGAAAAATCAGCCGAGGCAACAAATGTTTTTTCTTGTAAATACGGCGGTGAAGTTAGTTTTAGGTTGGATATATTTTCCTGTAAATACGGCGGTGAAGTTAGTTTTAGGTTGGATATATTTTCCTGTAAATACGGCGGTGAAGTTAGTTTCAGGTTGGATATCTGACGGACATTCTCTGAGGATCTACCGGTGTCTTCTCACTCTCTATAACCGGGAATAACAACAGCAGCGCGGTTAAATCTACTCGACACCCTCACTGTCAATGTCGGTGTTGAATAAGGGACCGTCAATAAATTACCGGTTGATGTTCTCAGAAAAGGCTGTTTTCCTTCAATAGCTTCAATGTCAGTGACCAATTGACCTAAAATTGAGGTCGGACGATAAGACAAACCTCTTTTTTTCCCTGATTTTTCCTCTAAAATAATTCTTTGTTAAATTTAAAGGCAAATTTTCAACATTTTCTTCAACAACTTTCATGTCATGTGACCAATTGATCTAAGATTGATTTTAAATAATACTACTTATATCGACCAATAAGACAAACATTATTTGATCAGTTTTCATTGTGTCCTTAAAGTTCTTTGTGCACTCCTTGTGAAAAAGTTAGTGTCCTGCCCTGATGTCATACTTTCTCTCAAACTCGAACCCTGTCACCGTTGTCTTCTCCGCCGTCGTCCATCAGTGGGTGTCAGACATTCCCCTTTTTCCATTCCCACACAATCATGGTGACATTCCACAGCATTCCGGAACGTTGTGGAATGCCGGTTCCCGTGGAAATGGAACGCTGAGAAGATTCCATCACGTGACCGTAGATACAGTAGACACCAGATATAGAGTCGGTGGAAATAGATGTTCAGTGTTTAATAATAATAATACAGCAGGAGCGATGGATCAGTCTGTTTTATCGAGCTCAGACTGAGAGGAACACAGAAACCGGAGGAGGAGATGTATGTCACTGCCCAGATGTTCCCACAGCATCACACACACACACACGCACACACACACACACAAACACACACTCAGCACTCTCTAACTGAAGTCCTGAGAACTGACAGTAAAAGTTCAAGTGTGTGCGTCTCATTCAGACAGTGAGCAGCAGTGATAACAGTGATTTAATCTCCATGTGGCGTGGAATCACCAGGTCAGCCGTAAAAAAACAGAGGCAGATGCTCCGTGTGTGTGTGTGTGTGTGTGTGTGTGTGTGTGTGTCTTTGTTGTTTGAAGTTGTGTAACCGTTCGGTTTCTCAGCAGAAGGTCTCGGCGTTCTGGTTCCATCTGGGGTTCAGTTCCAATATGCTCAGACTCTGTGTGTGTCTCTGTGAGAGTTTCTGGGAGTCATTCGTCATTTTATCCTTCACACATACTAACCTGGTGAAGCATCAAAACTGTAAAACTTGAACTGGTAATATCTAAATGTTGCACCACGTGCTTTTGCTGCAGGAGGAAAGAGACTTTCTTTTATACGCAAAGTGTCAGTTCAACTCCTGGTTGACGATCTGAGAAGCAGTTGAAAAAAACGGAACCTCTCTCCTCTGTGCTCTACGATAACTCCGCCCTGAACCTGTGTCACCCTCCCCACGACACACTCAAGCCAAACGCGGGCTGTCGGCTCTGTACATCGAACAGAACATTATCACACCTCTGAATCTCCTAACCCTAACCTGACAGACGATGATGTTTCACAGCCATAAAGAATAACCAATCGAAGCCCAGCACTTCTAGCCAATCAGATGCGAAGGGGGGCGGGACCTTCCCCTACCATCCTACAAAAAAAAAGTTTGTGTCCAGGCAGGATGGCTCCTATTGGTCAGTGTTTTTGCAGCCTTGCACCTGATAGGATGAACAGATTTTTTCCGATCTTTTTTATCTTCACTTTGTGGAGATCGCACTATAGGACCATGATCGCCATAGAAACGAGGTTTATAATAATTACCAATCTCTAAAATCGTCGACCATGTTTTTAAGTTTGAAATGTGGACTTGTGTGGTTCAGAGAGGTGTTTTCTTGTCTGCGCTGTGAAGGGAAAGCCTGTTTGTGGTGTTCCTGTACATTAGCATATCTGTGCTGAAGGCCTGTGTGCAGAAAGTGCTCTCTATTGATTATGCATGTGCCCTATATACAGATACAGAGAGTGGAGTTAAACTGTGCGCTGCTTATTGAGTGAAACATGCAGCTTTATTTTCAGCAGGTGCCGTGTGTGTGTGTGTGTGTGTGTGTGTGTGTGTGTGTGTGTGTGTGTGTGTGTGTGTGTGCGTGTGTGAGACTTTATGCTGATGTCAGTTTTGTTATGTAACTGCTGTGATGTCAGAGAGCTGAGCTCCTTGGCCTGCTCTGGTAGCAGAGGTCTGTTGTTTTAATCCCACAAGGTCGGCACGGCGACAGAACCTGGCTCATGACCTGACCTTCACACACACACACACACACACACACACACACACACACACACAGAGCATTGTGGTCACAAATCAGCAGGTCTTTTGTTTGTCTCTGTTTGGGAGTGTGCGGTTGTTGTATCCTGTCATCCTAACACCAACAATAATAGGTGTGTGTCCCGGGAATGCACACACATTGTCATTTTATCGTGACCACAGTGGTATTTTAGTTTTCTGCCACTCTAAGCCTTGTGTGTGTCTACTGTGTATATTTCACTCACATGTCCTCAGCCTAGGCCTGGGCGATTGAGGCGAAAAAAAGATCACAATAATATTTTGTCATATCGTCCGATCTCGATTATTATCATGATTTTTTAAAAATCTTTTAAACTGCCAGTTTAAGCGCATCTGTACCAAAAACTAAAGAAATGAGAGGTTAGTTCAACATTTTATTATCATACAAAGAAAATAACAAAGCAAATAAAATAAGATAAATGTAGAAAAATATAAAAAACGTTTTTACTCAACAATACAGCAAATGTTGATTGCACATTGGCTTCATTGCTCGACGTCACTTTAGAGATACCCGAACTGCCGCCACACAACCGACGTTGAATAACTTTTCTTCTCAACAATGGCGTCTTCGGAGGAGGACTCAAAGTCACGGCGGACATCTATTTTGCTGCCTCATTCATGATTTACTCCCTTGTCACTCACCTCTGCTTCTGTCCGTTTGTCTGCAGGACTCGAAACCTGTCCGGCGGCTCTCCCAGACCTCGACACACCAAGAAGATCAACTTCAAAAACATGAAACAGTGTGATATGAGAGGAAGCAGGTGAGACACACGAACACTCTTCTTCTCCGGGTCTTTGCTGTTGCTCTCCCTACTTTAGCTTCACATGTGAAAGGAAGAGGAAGAACAGAGCGATGTCTGTGATCAGTAGAGGTTAAAGCGACCCTCTTTCATCCAGGTGTGGACTGTGTTGAGTAGTATGTTGATCCCTCTCACTTCCAGCGTGTTCAGTTACAGGACAACACTTAAGCACAGCAAGGTCGGCGCACAGGACTCTGGTTTAGCAGCTCGTCGGCCTGTATTTATAAAACTCTCTCCTGCTCCCTGGTAAAAAGAGGTGCTTGGATTACTCTTATTAGCCACTCTGTCTTTATGTAACCGCACTGGGAACTGTAATTTCTGCAATAAATCAGACCACTCATGTCCCACCACAGCTGACAGACACTAAATCTTCCTGTAGAGTCATTTTGGACTCATTAATCTGAGAGTACAGCCTTAGATTCCTCTGAACAAAACCACAAACCAGATTTATTGATCAGAAATACAACAGAAATCTGTCTCTGAGTTCAGATTCCTGCAGGTATAACTTGAATTTTCCATCATGGTCGATTATTCTTCACCTTTACAAACTCAGCTGACATGCAGAAGTGTTGAACCTTTCCTCTCAGAGCTGAGCTGCTGGTTTGTGTCACACGCAGCCTGGACATTGTCATTCTGCTCACCTCTTCCTCTATTGTTTTCTATTCTCGTCCTTCCGTGTAGGGTGTATAAATCAGAGCTGTGGGTCAGAGGAACATAAAGCTGCTCATCAGACAATAATAGACTGGAGCTGATTGTTTTAGAATAGATCCGGCTAAGAGCAGCCGAGCTGTTGTTTGTGTTTCAGCCAAGACACCGTGTCATCACAGAGAGAGAGGAGTAAATCTGCTGAGTGCTCACCCAGCCGCGGCTCATGGGAGACTTAAAAAGTATGAATCATGGTGTAAATAAAAATGCTTTAAGCGAGTCCCTGCTCTCAGCCCTGCTGCGGTTTCTCACTGTGACGGTCGCCCATTCAAATTCAGCGTACGATTTCTGACTGATGGTTATTTGTTTTTGTATAACGCCACAGAATCAGAGAGTATGTGGATAAAACTGTGGGATAAAAACATGAGAAAGAACCAAAAGAGCGATCATGGGGGTCTGAAACTTGGGGGTCTGAAACTCCTCCATCCTGTCAGTTACAGATATCTGCAAGGATGAAAACTGAAGAACATGAAGGTCAGAAGATCCAAAGGGTGTATTTGATAGAAATAGGGCTGTGTGATACGAACTATTTTCTCAGTGTTTTTCTCATAATTATAACAATATGCAAACAACCAAAAAAAAAAGTGTATAATTCTTGTTAATTTTATAATTAAGATACTGTGTTAATTGTTATACCCTCTCCTTAAACTTGTCTGGTAAACTGTGACTGTCCTCTAAGTAGGGCTGGGCGATAAAACGATAATGATATATACAGGGCTTGAAGACCTCCGGCACGGTGCCAGTAATCCAGCTCGGAATTATTATTATTTTTTTGTCTAAATCATGTAAAAAAAAAAAACTAGTTAGTTTGATCTGAATATGACCGGTAGAGGACAACATTATAGCGTACATCCTGCCGAAGAAGAAGAAAAAGACACGTCAGCGAACGGCCCAGCCCTACATGATACAAACTGAAAATAATTTCTCTGTATTTTGAAAATAACAATGACAACATGCAATATCTTAAAAGAAAAAACAGCCCAAAAAAAGTGTATAATTCTTGTAAACGTTAAAATTCAAGATACTGTCTGAATTGTTGTATCTTCTCCTTAAACTTGTCCGGTAAACTGTGACTGTCCTCGAAGCCGACAAATTGAGGGATTTGAGCTGAAACAGCCCGGGGTTAAAACAACAAGACTCTGGCTCATATCCTGTGTAACAGTGACCTTTCTGTGGATAAATGTAAGTGAATAACATGTGAAGTCATCGGTCACAGTTACTCTGAGGAGGCATTACTGATCTGATCCCAGCCTTCAGTTTCTCTGCATGGATACAGAGTTTATTTAGATCCTCTCTTGTTTTCATTAGTGGTTCTTTTTGGAGCTCAGTAATTACGAACAGGGGTCAGGGGTCTGCTTCCCAGGAGGATTAGTCTGGTGTTTTTCATCTGAGGTGACCGTGGAATAATGTGGCCCCCAGCGCTATGAAAAGTGTGGTAGTGCACGGACGTGCAGCGGGGACAGCCAGAGTCCCAGCAGAGTCACGTTTCCAGCTGGCCTGTTGTGATGCTTCTGCTGTTTCCACTGAACTCCCCGCTGACTTCCTGCTCTCCACTTTCCCATGCATCATAAAAAAACAAGCTGTGTGTGTGTGTGTATCTCAGCGGCACATGCAGACAACAACAGCATTAAATCCAAACTCATCATCGGTCTCTGGGGATGCACAGAGGAGGGGGAAACAGCGGGGGCCGAGGAGGACAGTCAGTTTTTAGACTTTTATTTAAGAACTGATCATTTCCCCACAGGAGGCAGAATCTTATTAAAGAAAAACTACACTTCAAACATCATAATAGACCTTCAAAACACCATAATATCATGTCATACAATAACATACTTTATAATATCATACCACACTTTATGATTACATTGAATACTATGAAATATAATGTATTACTATGCATCAAAATTCATTAAGACTAGTCGCAAATGCATGTGAAATGGTCGCACTGTTCAGCCCTGATATTACAGTACAATAATACACCATAACTCATCAGGTGACACTATATGTTTCTAATTAGGAGTGATCAAATTACATGAACCAATACAATGCAATATGATACAATATGATACAATAGTACACTCTACATTGTGGTACAATATTACTCAATATGGTATGATCTGTTATGATAGGTTACTATGAGATAATGTGTGTTACTAATAAAAAAGTAAGATAAGATAAAAGAAGATACACAGTGTGACATAATATGAGAGGATTCCGGAATGTATGATGTCATACTATACTATATGATAAAATATTATATGATGAAATATAAGAGGATTCTAGAATGTATGATGTCATGCTATACTATGTGATAAAATATTATATGATACCACATAATACAATTTGATAAATTTAACTATGTTGCAATATCATACAATATAATGTAATTAGAAATAATATGATGCTACACAAAAGTATGCTTTACAATAGTACTACGTGATAAACTATTACATGATGCAATACAATACTACACAAAAGTGTTTATTAAAATCACTTATGATGTAGCCTACTACAATACAACATTAAGATACCGTATGATACAATACTACGGTACCAGAGTATAGGATGTAATAGGTTACAGGACAGCAAGTAATGTTTTATATGATGTGATATGATACGATATTAAAGGATACAATATAATACCACAAAATATTATAGTATAAGAAACATTGTAAAACTATACAATGATATATTATAATATAATATGTACAATACCATCTAATTTAACCCAGTTTAACATACTGTATTTATGAAACAGATATAGTAGGGCCCTTCTTCAGCTCAGTTTGTCTTCCCTCTGCGGTGAGAAACTTTCCCTCCATCCCGTCCCTGACTTCTCCCTCCCAAAAAAGGATCGTGGTTTCAAACAAATCTGCGTGTGGGTGTAAGGGTGCTGGGAAGTCTACCGGGTCATCAGGTGGGAGAACTACCAATCTCTGACAATTTGTTGAGTTAAGCCCACAACACCAGGAAACCTCGGCAGAACCGCCCCCTCTTTACCTGAACCGAAACCCACGCGCTCAGCAGCTTCAGGTTAGAGGATCCGGCTCTGCTCTTTTACAGCTCTTAGTTTGTTTTATTCTCAAATCCAGGTTATGTAACTTTCTCCAAGTGCTGTGATGAACCTCCGAGCTGGTTGGCGTCTTAGTTTGATGTGGCTGAGTCTGAACTAAAGGGTTTTTCTTCCTCCCTCTGACCATCTCTGAGGGAAGCAAAAGGTCAATGATTCTGTGTCTCTTCGGAGGAAAAGCAGAAATGCTGATTACTCACCAGAAAGCAGATGAGCTCACAGATGTTTGTGTTTATGTTTTCTCACACTCTGAATCATCTCGCAGCCTCTTTGCTTTCTCAGCCAAACATAATGACTGTAAACATTTTCCTCTCAGACACAAAGGAGGGGAGCGACGTGCAGTCTGTGCTCCACAGGGCTTTATACTCCAGAGGATCCACTAAAAAAAAACACACACACACACACTGTTCCAGTGAACTCCAGGGTCTCCTGTGAAGCTGGTCAATTAGGAAAGAGTGGAGTGTGTGTTTGCATGTTTACAAAACATTTCATTCCCCTGTGGGGAGAGATGACTGGGAGATAAAAACTTTCTATATTTAAAGTCAAACGTCTGACCCGTCTGTTGTGCTTCTGCAGCTTCATGCTGTTTTTCAGCTTTTCTCTCACTGGTTTGATTTCCATCTTCTGCAAAACAAGCCCTGAACTCACAGCACAGTGAGGAACTGTCTGCAGTGTCAGCACGACTTCAGGGGTTTGAAACAGAATAAAGACAGGATTTTTAGGATAAACCCGACTTTGTATAAAGTTCTTCTTATTCTTATTTTTTTGACAAATACTTCGACCTTTAAAGGGATATTCTGGTGTAAAACTAAGTTAGGGTCAAACACACCATAACACCGAGTTAGACAACCCGTGGCGAGATGAATGTTGCCGACCGCTTGCTTCTCTAGTTATACCAACTTTAGTAACGACCGCAGGATAGCAATACAGAGAGACAAGCCCTCAACTGAAACGCCACTCTATAGCCACAAATAATGCTCAGAACAGCACCTAACTTCATCAACAGGACATATAGGGTCACAGACATAGTACTAGACACCAAACATCTTTTTAAATTTGCAAAGAGACTAAACACAGCTCACCTACTCTCTTCCAGCAGCTGCTTGTTTGTAGCGAGACCGCAGACCAATCCATTACGGACTACAGCGGGGTTTCGCAGCTCAAGGAAGAACATTTATGATCATGGCTCCTTAGACCGCTGTGTATTGCTGTCGAGAAGCAAGCTTTCGAGGGGGTGTCTAAGTCGGTGTGTTTGACCCTAAATTAATTTTACACTCCTCTGTTTTCTGACTGCGTTTGCTCGGAGCTCTGATGTGTTTTTTCCTGACAGGATCTCTTCTCCACACGCTCCATTTTTCCAACATTTGAGTCACTGCATTAATAACCCGGACTCTCCCTGTTAATTAAATCACTTCTAATCTAATTTGATGAAATAGACTGAAGGATCTGATCGTTTTCCTCATTTACAGAAAAGTTGGAGTCATGTCGAGATGACGTTAACTTCATAATAACCACTAATCATGAGTTTGTTTGTGTTTCAGGATTGTGTTGATCTGCGCCAAGAGATCTCTGTGTGCCGCCTTCTCTGTCCTACCTTATGGAGAGAGCTTCTACCTCAGGTAACCCAAACACACACACACACACACAAACACTAACACACAAGCAGAGTCACACCCACCAACATCTCCTGTGTCAGAGGTCAGGGAAGAAGACAGAGTAGGAGGAGATTTATGGCGAGGATGAGGGATTTCAAGGAGGAGTAAAGAAATACGAAGCACATTTATAACATCACACTCCACCTGTAACCACAATCGCAAATATCCTGATACAAAGACCCTGCTATGTTCACAAACAGACACACACACACACACACATCCAACAGCGTGACTAACTCGGGTTCTTCCTGCGGAGGATGTGAGCTCTGATCACACTTCCACTTTATCTTCCAGCTGATGTTTTGTCCTCCAATCCTGACAGTTCAGCGTGTTGAGCAGAACATGTGACCGTGGTGGGAAGTGACTTTTGACCTTTCACTCACGGGACTGTCTCTGAGCATGTCCCACCCCGTCACTCTAACAGACTGTGGACAGAGAGACAAAAAGAGGATAATAACACCGAGAAAAAAAAGGGATTCAGGGTCCTCTAGCAATCCAGGACTGGAGGAATTTTGGGGTTTTCAGGAAATGATGATTTCCTTAAAAGAAAAGATCACAGGGTCAGAATATTGTCTTTTTTAATCCCTGAAGCTGGTGTGAGAGGGAAGGTGTCCTCCGAGCAGCTGCAGATCAGCCCTGTTTGAAGATTTATTTATTTATTATTATTATTATTGTTAATATTATTATTAATATCAATATTATCATTGGTATTATTGTTTTTATTTTATTATTATTATTAATTATTTATTTATTCATTTATTTTTTAATTTACATAATTATTTATTATTATTGTTATTATTATCATTATTTATATTAATATTATTATTTATATTGTTATTTTTTTATTTTATAATTTATTATTGTTTTTTTTTCAAACATGTGCGTACAACACAGAAAGTAAACTGAAAACAAACTTAACTAGTGAGAATATTTAAAACAACGAGAAAACTAATCAAAGCAAAAAAGTATAAATAAGATGAATTAATAAAAAATAAAAGTAGTAATAATAATGCAAACCCAACATGTCTGAAAAGGAGCAGGATGAATTAAACCTACCTCTTCTCCTTTACTCAGTAATATCAGTCAGTTTCCGGCAAAATTAAATTATATTATCAAAATACAACATAAATAGAATAAAGGTGCGAAAACACCTCATAGTTAATGCCCTTCTACCTTCCTTTACCTGGTGAGAACCATGTGTCTGTCCCGCTTTTTAAACTGGGTATATTCACATTAAATGATACATTTTAATGTCAAATATCAGCAGGATTGTTTTGTGATAAAAGATAATTCAGCAGGTGGAGGACAAGATAAGCAAAGACAGGGGGCGCCACAGTCAACACAAAACAAAGGTTCCTCACAGGAGCTTTAATGTAGCTCTGACCTTGAAAACATCAAACCAGGGAGCAGAGGATGAGACCCGATGGGAGCAGATGGTCACAGCCTGATGTTAGAGGAAATGAAAAGGATCAGCTGTTTGAAGTCAGCACCTGATCCGCCTCTGAGACAGAAACAGACAAACCTACTAACTTATGACTGCATCAAACTCTATCACCTGCTCATGCAAACCACTTCACTTTGTCTCCAGTGACCCCACATTAAACCACCCCAGGAGGAGGCACTCGTCTGGAAACATCTCCACCACCCTGGAGATGCTGCCGGGGCTGGAGGGCTTCCACCTGGACTCCTACGGCCGGGTTAGAAACACACATTCAGACACAGACACAGATACTTAATCTGATCAGATCATACCAACCATCCTGCTCTCTCTCTCTCTCTCTCTGTTTCAGTCGGTGTCGTACGCCCAGTTCCTGTACCCCACTAACGCCCTGGTGAGGCAGAAGCCGGCCTCGGCCAGCGACCTGACGCTGCAGATTCCCCAGTCCAGGAGCACACACAGCATGCCGGGCCGGAGCTACCCGCCCAGCAGACTGAACAGCACCGTGGGACTGGACCTCGGTAATACACGCCCACACTGACACTGTCTCAGAAGAATTCATGGATCTCCGTTTAGTTAGTTTAGTTTAATTAAGAAAACAGGAAGTGGAGTCTGAGAGTGCGCGCATATGTATAAACACCCCGTCTGGTTCTATCTATAAACACACACACCCACAGTGACACAGCCCTGTATTAACCTCTAATCCAGAGCCTTTCATTAACATAACACAGCTGTGTGTGTGTGTGTGTGTGTGTGTGTGTGTGTGTGAGGGAGGCGGTGTGCTCACTGATAGCAGGTCTGTATTTTTAGACTTGGTGTGACGTTACTCTTGTTTTTCTTTTTTTTCATGCTCCGATTTTAAAGTAACTGTGGATTCATATTAAACACATTCACATCAATATTTAACCCATAATGTAGTCAAGTTCAGAGATATGAACCAAACTACAGTTGGTCTGCAAAGAGGTGCATGTGTGAGCGCCAGATTGTTCATATTGCAAAATAGCAAAATAATACAGTAAATGTAAATAAAACATCAGAGGAAACAAGATGAAAATAAATAAAGGCATAAAAAAACATCAAGTTAGTCTCTGAATATAAGACTTATTTTTATCTTATAATTATATAAATTTGATGTTAAAACCTGATTTATGATCCTGCTCCTTCAATCCAGTTAACTCAGCGTTCTCTTTGTGTCTTTCTGTGTTTTTGTGTTTTCAAGGTCTGGAGGACGTGACAGACTATGACCCTAACCTCCTCAGTGACCCCCAGTGGCCTTGTGGGAAACACAAGCGGGTGCTGATCTTCGCCTCCTACATGGTAACGCCACCCTGAGGATTTTTATTTCTGATTTAAACTCTGCTGCTTTAAGACAAAACATCGTTTTATTCAGTATCTTTAAATATTTCTCAGTGTGAACCTCATAAATCAGAGGAAGAATAAACCTCTAGACCTCATCGTCTTAAAGAAGCTCCAGTATTGTTATCATGTCAGAATTACAGGTCAGAGGTCACTTAATCCCTGATAACCTCACACATCGTGGTCATTTCCAGGCTCCCAGATTAAAGAGACGCCACAAAGACAACAGGAAGTAGAAATCAAGAGAGAGATGGCGCCATATGTCCGATTATAAAACATATTTGACGGCCCCTTTACAACCTAACATGACTCTTAATCTGGAATTCAGTAAGACAGTTTTAATATCACAAGATTAAAGAAGAGAAAACAGCTGTGCTCTTAGTATTTTATTTTGAAGGGGAGCTCTCAGAGGAGCAGCTTCCTGTGCAAAACAAGTTTCACAAACACCTGAAAATAAAGAGGTTATTCTGGTATTATCACAGCTTTGTTCTCATGACTTGATCGTCTCACAGCTTTTTTATTTTTAGAGCCTCTGATTTTTCAGAAAACAGAGTAAAGGAGTAAAAATAAAGAGCTGGAAAAGAAAGAAAGAAAAGAAGAGAGGAAATAAAAGTCAAGAATTCAAGAGGGATTATAGAACACACCAACACTCACACCCAACGTAATTATTCTATAGGCTGCAGCTGAGTTTATCCCTGCAGAGATGAGTTCAGATCACACACACACGCACACACACACACACACACACACACACACACACAGGATTTATCAAGCCGGTTTAATCCATAGGAGAAGATTACTGCGGAGGTGGGTCGCTATGTCACTGATCTCACTGTGCGTTGTGTGTGTGTGTGTGTGTGTGTGTGTGTGTGTGTGTGTGTGTGTGTGTGTGTGTGTGTGCGTGTGTGTGTGAGCATTACACAGTGTGATCTCACCACCCACCGCAGTCTCAGCTCTCTGACAAACACCCTTAAATACACTCTCTAACCTCGTGCGGCCGCTGTGGGTGATCAGAGGTTTCCAGAGGAGTGTGGGTCAGACCGCCGTGTGGTCGACTTCAGCAGAGATTACAGGACTGAACCTGGACCACGAGAGGCCTTAGTCCTGGATATCACAAAGAGAATTTAAATGAACCAAAATCAGTTTTACTTCTGAAATGGCCCAGACTCTATTCATTAAAAAAAGAAGATTCATTAATCCGAAATATGGCGATTTTGTCTCGCTTTTAGCACCAAAAATAACCATTTTTAGTGTCCTAGAATTGTGGTCCTGAAACTGCAGTGTTGCTCTGCGGACAACAGGAGAAAAAACACACGTGTTTTTCCACTGGGGGGCGCTAAAATCAACATAACCAGAAGTTCCTCACAGCAGCTTTAAGAAACCGAACTTTCTATTTGAAGCTGCAAAAGTCCGACCAGCTGATGTCATAAAAATCTCTCAGAGTTTCTGTGAAAACATTAAAAATAAGAAGATTTAGGGCGTATAACTTTTGTTGAATTAAGACAGAGCAGTAACGTCGCTCTGTTTACGTCTTCATGGCGTTCATTTACATCTGCTGACCTTTGGTTCACCTGTAAATCTCTCCTGTTTACACTCTGACATGACTGCAGTCTCCTCTCTTTAAGTATTTCCTCTCTCCTTCACTCTCTTTTATTCCGCTGTCACTTTTATTTACTCAAAGTCTCTCCTCTTCTTTTTAATCCTGCAGACGACAGTCATAGAGTACGTCAAACCGTCTGACCTGAAGAAAGACATGAACGAGACGTTCAAGGAGAAGTTTCCTCACATTAAGCTCACTCTCAGCAAAATCCGCAGGTAGACGAACTGAATCAAATCTCTAAACAAACATGAAACTGGACTGATGTGGAAAAACGAGCTCTGATTGTAACTTTGACTTCCTGATGCTCTGTCCGCCTCACAGCCTGAAGAGAGAGATGAGGATAGTCGGGGAGGACTGTGGGATGCAGCCTGTCACCATAGCGATGGCGTTCGTCTACTTTGAGAAGTTGGTGCTGCAGGGTCGGCTCAATAAACAGAACAGGTACTGACACAACACAACAACATGACACAACAACATGACACAACACGACAACACGACACCTATGATAGGTCAAAGAAAGGGAAGTCCTGCTCGTACCACATGTAAAAACTACGGAGGATGATTACGGCCACAGAAGAGAAAAAAAAATTTACAGGAGAAAGATTTTTTAAATTTCCGTTTTAAGATTAAAGTTAAAATTTTAAAAATTCAAAATGAAAAAAATCAAAATTTCAAAATCTAGAAAATCGTTATTGAGTGAATAAAGTCGAGATGTCGACTTTAATCCCAAAATTTTAATTTGTTAACATCAAAATGTCGACATTATTCAAAGTTCAACATTTTTTAATCTCAAAATTTCAACTTTAATCTTTAAATTTCAGTTTTTGATTTTGAAATTTTGACTTTATCGACATAATTTTGATTTTTCAATCTTGAAATGTCGACTGTAATCTCCTTCCTCTCATTATTTTTTCTCTTCATGTGGTCCTAATCCTCTTTTGTAAAAAACAGTGAATCCATCTTAACTCAGAGATTTAAAAGGAAGCAGAAAAAAGTCTCTGATTAAGACACTAAATGCCAAAAAACCTGAGTTGCTCTAATTGCATTAAAAAAATCAGCCTGTTAAATAAAAGTCATTTGTTTTTCAAGTGTCTTAAAATAAGAGTGAAGTTTGTTGGTGAATCCTTTTACTCATTTCTACTAAATCAGATCTTATTTTTTCGGTGTGTAACATCTAAATTAGGTTATTTTCTAAATGTGTCGGGTTTATTCATATTTATCATTTAAGGGTCATAGTGTGTCTTTATATCCACTAGAACAGTGGTTCTCAACTGGTGAGTTCCGACCCAAAAGTGGGTCGTGGACACGCTCTGGATGGGTCACGAACAGCTGGTCAAAAAAATAAATATTTAATGTGATATTTATTAGATATTCAATATTTTCTGTATAAGCAACTTCAGTAGTTGTCGTCCTCATGTTATGGATTTATGTTCAAAATTAGAGTCTTGGTTTGAATTTTATGAAAGTGGATCAGGAGAAAATGTGGGTCCCAGAGTGAGACCAGCTGCACTAGAATAATGACTAAGGCCAGAGTGGTTTTTGTGTTTAATGCTTCAGAAAAAGACCTCCACCCTGATCATGAACTTAAACTGTTATATGACTATAAGAGAAGAAGTAAAACTGCAGAAAATCTTCTAAAAGTCCAAGAAAATGAAGATCGATTTGAACCGTTTTGGACCCCCATAGTCTGCAGAACCTGAGTGAAGTCCAGCTCTGCTCAGAGGACCTCCTCCTGTGGTCTTAAATCCGTGTCAGATGATAGAGAAGACTTTGTGTCGTTTGGTCTCATATTTTCTTCGCTCTCTTCCTCCCAAACCTCACACTGTTTTCGACGCTCTCTCACGCTGAATACGGACATCATGTGACGGTTTCCTCTCGCCTTCACTGATTAAAATTCTTCTCTGACGGTTTTTATCTGCAGAGGATCAGATTTATTATTTGAATGAAAGCGTGAAAAAAAAACAACTTTAGAAACATCCAGGAAAACATCATCGACTCCTCTGAGATCTTTTAAAGAAACCGTTTTATTAGCTGATTAAATCTGTGGCTTTCCCAGGATGCCGCTGGGTTGTCCTCTGCAGAGGAGCGGCACCCCCTGGTGTTTTAAAAGTGCGACTACAGTCCTGTTCCTGTTCCCAGAATTCATGAAGTAATCCTGCAGCTCTGTCGTCCGTCTCCTCGGTTTATTGTCTTAAACGGCGGTTTGGTTCGCCGTCAGAGCGCCGAGGAACAACATCCCGACTCTCACTCTGTCTCTGCTCTTGTTGTTGTTTTACAGGAAGTTGGTGTCAGCCGCCTGCATCCTACTGGCCGCCAAGATCAGCAGTGACCTCAAGAAACAAGAGGTCAAACACCTCATCGATGTAAGTGCAGAGTCAGATCAGGGCGTCTTCCTGTCACTGGGATCATGTTGCTCTTACTCAGGTGTTCACATACCTGAGAGACTTGGAGGTCAAATACCTCAGCAGAGTCAGAGTCACATGACAGCAGAGGTTACAGCGGCGGTATTTCAGAGGGTTTTCAAAAAACACAGAGAAGGAGGAGCCAAAGATACACGCTACGAAGTGTAACGAGTGTCTGCATTACAAAGAGTGTCCACCAGAGGGCGACGGCTACTTTGTTTCCTACCATAAAATAAAATTCACCTCAGTCCACTTATTAGAAACAATTTAATCAACAAATAATCTCAGGAAAATATTTGTTTGAATCAGAAAAAAAAAAAATTCATATTTAATATTAAATGTTTAATTAGTATTTATGTTTATTAATAATTTCACTTTTTTTTAGAAATATTAGAAACAGCTTCAGAAAAATCTCTTGGTTAATAATTATTAAATGTTTCATTAATATTTATGTTTATTAATATTTTCACTTTTTTGAAACAGATAAGTCAAAAAAGTGCGAACACACCTCTGACACGTCTCTGACACGTCTCTGTCTTTGGCGTTTGTTTTGTGCAGAAGCTGGAGGAGCGTTTCAGGATCAGCCGGAGGGAGCTGATATCCTTCGAGTTCGCCATCCTGGTCGCCCTGGAGATGGCGCTCTACCTGCCTGAGAGTAAAGTCATGCCTCATTACAGACGCCTGCAGCAGCAGCAGCAGTCGTAGCAGCGGGACACATGGTGATGGCGGACAGACGGGTGGATCCTCGTGCTGATCCTCAGAGGCTCGGACGCCAAAACTCGTCAGCACAGGCCCGGTGGCGCCTGGATTTACAGCACAGTGACGAATGGAGCGACATTTTTCTCTACAATACCAAAGTGACGACACACTGTGAAGCCCGGCTCAGCAGTGCCAACCATCACTGAAGTACAAATCCAACATGAACCGAAGAGTCGAGTTTTCATAGTTTCAGATCTGCATGAAAACAGGAGCAATAACAGGAGAAGGCGTCACGACAGAAAGAGAAGGTCGGATTTCTGAGTCGTGTCCTAAACGCACGATTAAAAAAACACTCGTACGAGATGAGTTTTAAAAACGCAGCACAAATTCGTTAAAAAAGAGTTTCAGACTTTCAGAGCTGTGGTAAAGCTGAAGCCAAAGTCTGTCGCTAAAACCGTCTCAAATTTAATAATTTCACTTTAAGACTCTAAACGCAGCAGATTCCTGTATTTGACAATCATTAGAAAGCGTCTGAAAGCGTCCTAAAGCCGCGGTTCTTCCAGATCAGGTTTAGGGGATCATTTCAGACAGATGAGGGACCAGGTCAGACCGTTTTCCATGAATCCTTTTTGGACACCCGCTCAAACTGATGTCATGAAATCTGCACTTTTCCCTGTGAGGTCCAGACGATACAGCCGTCTGTTTCTGCTCGACTTTGAGGACACTCATTCTCGAACCCTCGCTCTGATTGGACTTTAACTCAAAGACGGTATAATCGGGACAGTTTTAGCGGGACTTTACAGTCCGCTCCACCCGAGGAGTTTGGATGATTAAGTGCCTTAAGCTTCATCTATAATTAACCGAACCTTCGAGCTGTCCCGCTGTCGTCATTGTTTCTGCAGAATCTCGTGTTCGGATATCCCGTTTGCTTCTTGGAGGTTTAAATGCACAAGTCCAAGTCTCTTTTTTTTTCCCCAGGTTACCGTGACGATGCAGGACACACGGCGGCGCTCAAAGCACAGAGATTTAAAAGCCAGTTACCAAATATAACCGCAGTTTAAAGAAAAAAGGCCGTCTCAGCCTGTGAAATTTTTTTTTATCTGATATCAAAAAGAAGAACTAATCCGTCAGATAATGACACAAGAAAAAAATGAAATAAATATGAGTGCAAAAAAAAAAGATTTGCACTAATATTAAAAGTTTTGTTTCAGCATCTTAAACATTTTCCCTCCAAACGTCTCCAGAGATTTATGGTTAAAGAAAAACGCTGCAGCTGCAGATTTCATCACGTCTGATTTTGATGTTTTTAATCTCTTAAGGTGGACTGGAAAGTTCTCCTTCTGCTCTTGAATCACCTTTTTTATTCCAAGACTATTTATTCTGTTTATAAAGGGACGACCATTGAACCGAACGGAGGCCTCTGATTGGATGTTTGTGTCTGTTTCCTCTTCACATCGCCTCGTTGAAGACGCTGACGGCACAAACTCTCTCCTCTAGGCCTCTGTTGTTTTTGCACTTTCAGCCTTTTTGCTTCACGGCCCTGAACCTTTCTTCACGTTTAGAAACGAGGGCGATGATGTTTGTTTTTCTACATTTGTTGTTTTGTTAAAAACTGACCGAGACACTGAAATCTGTTCATCGATTCTCCTCCAGATGAAGAACATCGGCCGTAAACCTTCAGAGAGGTTTGAGTCTGGAGGTTTGACGTCGATGTTCCTCCTCTGGGTTTGATTTCTATCGTGTTTAAAGGGACTCTTGTTTTCTGGAAGTCTGTGGTTCTCTTTGCTGGAATGTTGGAGCTGGACACGGACGCTTTAAGGTTTAATTTGGTCCAAACAAAACAACCTTAAATCAGGAATAAGGAAGTCAAAGAAGGAAAACTTCTCCGTACTCCTTCTTGGTTTGATTTTTTCTCTCCGGCTCCAACATCGGCACCAAAGAAAACTCCGACTCTGCTGTTTGCACTGAGACATCTTTGTAAACTCTACTAATTAAAAAAAAAAGAGAATTTTAGCAATAAAACGAAGCTCTCTTTAAAGAAGTTAAAAGAAGCACTACAGAAAAAAGACAATGATGTTTCCGAGAGCTTCCAAAGTCGTCTTCTCTACATTAGAGATTTGTGATTTTGACTCTATGCAGCTTTTCTTCTGTTGTCTGACCTTGTGTTTGTGTTTACCTGTAACGTGCCACAGCATTTATCCACACCTGATGAACCTTTATTTGATCGAACCAGACTTTGTTTTGTATCATGTGACTCTCGCTGTAAAGGGAATATTTAACGAGTCTTCCACTCATAATTTTGAGTTTTTTTTATTGACGACACGTGTGTGAAAAACTTTATTTATGTCCTTTCAGGTTCAGCTGTTGTTTCTCCATGTGATGATCCAGATAAAAACAATGTGAGACAAGGGTTCAAATATTTTATACGTTTATTTTTTGACATTTATTGACACGCTGCAGAGACGACAAGTGCAGTTAGTGACGCTGCCGGAGAGTTCAGAGGGCGTAAGAGGATGAAATTATTTATAATGAATATTTTGTAAAAGAGAAAAAAGAGCATATATTGTTGAAGCTGCCAGTGTCGGATTCATGTCGTTTATTTTCATTAAAAATATCCAAATAACTCTTTCTGTCTTTGTTCGGCTTCTTACTTCCACTACCTTCATGACATTTTCTATCATCCTAAAATATGACATTTTTTTCACTCTAAAATATATTTTAATCATACTATACAATGACATTTTTTCATACTATACTATGACATTTATTTCATAATAAATATGATTTTTTTTCACACTGAAAAATTGAATTTTTTCACACTAAAATGTATATTTATCATACAATACCATGACATTTTTATTAAATTTTACTATGACATTTTTATCACACAAAAATATTAAATCATTTTTCACAATAAACGTGATATATTTATCATACTATACTATGACATTTTTTTCATATTAAAATATTTTTTTACACTAAAATATATTTTTTTATTTTACTATACCATGACTTTTTTCATGATAAAATATAATTTTTTTTTTCACAGCATAATTTAAATTTTTAACATATTTTACTATGACATTTATTTTCATACTAAAATGTGATTTTTTTTTTCCACAATGAAAAATGAAAATTTTATCAGACTATACTGTGCCTTTTTTTCATACTAAAATATAATAATTTTATCATACTTTACTTTGACATTTTTTTTTCATACCAAAATATGAGTTTTTATTTCACACTAAAATATGTTTTTTTTTCATAATTTTTTATCATTTTTTTAATCATACTACACTACTCATACTTCTCTCAAGTATCAATCATCCTAACTCTATCAATCACCTGTCTTGTCAGATTCTCTTGAATGCATCACAGTGTCTCTATTGGCTCCTTGTGGAAGTGGGCGGGGCCTCTGGAAATACCGGCGCGCAGCAGGAATATGTGGCTACCTTCCAAAAAACATGGCTGAGTGTTTTTGGTGCTAAAAGGTCAGATTCTCACCTGGAGTGGCTGCAGGATTGGATCTAAGCGTGGCTGTGTCGAAGGAGGGAAGTTTGAAACGATATTTCTGATCTGGGGTAACTTTCACGCTGACCTGAAAGTTTTGGAGGATGCAGCACAGTCAGTTTTCCCGGGCCTAACACCGTTTAAAGATCTCATCTGAGGAGCCACACTCTGGATAAACTCAGGAAGTCTCTGGAGGAAGGTGGAGATGTGAAAGAAGACTTTGAGGAGTCTTGGTGTCCCGGGTCCACTCAGGTAGGAGCTGCTTTTGTCCTTTTTTGAGGTTTTCTTCTTCTGCTGAAATGTTCTCAGAGGAGTGAATATAAACAGGAGCTGGTTTGTTATCACTGCTGTGTGAAAAGACTGTCTTTCAAGAGGTCATGAGGGTCACAGATGAGGTCTAGATCGACGTTTCCCATTCGTGACCCCTGAAATAATAATGGTGGCAACAAGTAATCACAGTTGGTCATGTTAATAAGCTGCTGTATGTGAACCTTTCAGTTTAAAGGGATATTCTGGTGTAAAATTAAGCTAGGGTCGAACACACCGTAACACCGAGTGGGTCAATGACCTATAAGGTTTTTAAACATGCCAATTTTAAAAACAGCAAAAATAAGAATAAATTTTGCTTAAGTTCAAGCACTAAGGATGTTGTGTTTACAAAAATTAATGTTAAATTTTTAAATTACGCAATTTTAGTTTTTTTTCATATCGATTGCCCGTGGTCGTAAAAAATGTCATGTGGTGCGACTATAATTTATCTCAATATTATTACATTTTTTCAACATACTTAAGAGTTTCTTACAAATTACCTGATGATAATTGCTTTGAGTTGATTTAGTAACAAAATAACAATTTAATCCAAGCCAATGCAGAAAAGTTTGAAGAGTTACTGTGAAAAAACTACAAATAATACTAAAATGTTCATGCAGAGTGAAAAGGCCCAAAGGTGAGGAGATATTTCAGAGGTGGAGTGAAGTTCCTGCTAAGATACATGACTGAGTTTAAGTAGTTTGAATGGGGTTAAAACTCTAAATGGTAAAATGTTCGGACTCTCTGTTAAACCTGTAAACACACAACATCCAGACTCTCATGTACTCAGGAGTTAAGAGAGTGAATGGAAATTTCCTCCCTGAGGGACGCTGGCGTTGCCGTGTCCTGACTCTGACCCCGTAGAGAAGTGACAGCAAAGCAGTTTCATCCAAGAATTCAACAAGACAACTTCCCTCTTCGAAGTCCTGCAGCTGTCTGTTTATCTCTGCATGCTGAAAAAAGCAGAAGTAAACATGTTTGCGGCTCGCTACCAAACTAATTCCTCTTATCATGACGGATGTTACAGCTTTTTTCCGCCGTCTGGTTGAAGGTCAAGAAGACGACTCGAAAGCTTTCTGAAGGAGTTCATTTTAGAGTTTCAAGATTCCCAATAAACAGAGAATTAATACAGATTTGGATACTTCCTGATTTGATACATGATGCTCAGCAACCTTTATTTGTGACAAAACCTTTACAGCTACTTTACAATTACAGAGGCCAAAGAGTTCTCAAAAATGTTTTTCGCCTCTGCCACTCAAACAGATCACATCTTACTACGCACGTTTAATTTAAAATCAGCTAAAAGCTTTTAAAGTGAAGTGACGAGCGAATGCGCGGCCCCTTTCAGTCAGACAGACACACTTTAAGACACAAAAGTGGTTTGCAGAACAGTTTATTTAACAGTTTTATAGAGTTATTTTTAAAATGTGTGTGACATAGATATTTAAACGAGCAGCCCTAATCTGCAGGACCGTTTATTATGTAACAGCACCCTAAACATCACCTGTTTTTAACACCATTCTTATATGAAACTCATGAGTTAGCATCAGAAGTAGTAACAGAGAGATACATAGAAAAACCCAAACAGACACACACACCTCCCACCAAGCATTGTTCGGTTTAAAAGACATTTAACAGACAGCCAACCGTCCTTCGACGTCTGGGCTAAAATCGGTCTAAAAATGAAAGTTTTTTAGTCGTCTAAGTTTAGACAAGCCGTCTAATAGACTAAACTACACTTTAAAATGTTTTAATCCAACATTTGGCCGTCATTTATACAACTTTCCATTGTTTTTTATTTAACATTTAATACTTAATGGATTCAATTCTACATCAAGATTTGGGCTAAAATATAGACTGAGTATAGATATAGTATCTAAACTAAGACGAGACGTCTGAGGCTCAGCGGGCTGTTTGGCATCACATTTTTAGCTACTGTCTGAAATAACCGTAAAAAAACGTAATATTCCACATGAATAAACTTACATATAAAAACACTTTTTATCAGAAAATCTCCATATTTGCTTAATTCTGTTTACACTCAGTCCTCGGATTAAATGACGAAATCAAAAAGATGCTGCAGTCATTTCAAAATTTCAACATTATAAGTGAGCGATTTAAAGCCGAGATACTCAGATTTTTAGGTCAATTCAAGTGTTTCAAATAGAGATGATTCCCCGAGAGGAGGTCTGCTCTCGCTGTCCTCCTCTCTCACCTCCTCGAGCACCTCGTTGTCCTGAAGGGAAAAGAAAGAGTCGTGAAAAACAAATCAGAGAAGAAGAAGGAGGAGGAGGAGGAGGCAGGTGTGTTCGTATGTGTGCCTGAAAAGCCAAGGGACGGAACAGAGCGGCTAATAATGATGATGAGCTAACACGAGTCAGTTTAATCAACGAACAATCAATCAGCACTAGTGTTATCCGTTTCCACTTTTGTTTGGCAAGAGAGAGAAGAGTCAGCAACTGAAGTCAAAGAAAATCCTCTACACTGGGCGGTGGAAAAGCATCATTGGGACAAAAGAGCAGCGGTGCAGGAAACCACGCAGCCACACAGGTATCGGGCTCGCTACCGGCACTGGAGCCGGTTGGGCTGTATTGGAGCCAGTGATTGGGCTGCTGAGCAAGTCACGTTGGAGCGGCGGCTTACTACCGAAACCACTTTGGGCGTTACTGGAACTGAACGGGATTATCACGGCGGTAGGACCTAGGGGTCGCTTATGTTCGGAGGATCATTGCAACGATTGGCGATGTGGGTCGCTATTGGCATAGGACCATTGCGGCAGTTGGAGCTGTGGGTTGTTACCGGCGGGTCATTGCGACAATTGAAGCGGTAGGTCCATTCCGGCGAGTCATTACAACGGTTGGAGCTGTGGGTCACTACCAGCGTAGGATCAGCGCAACGGTAGGAGCTGTGGAACGCTATCGACAGGATAATCACAGCGATTGGAACTGTGGGTTGCTAACGGTGAAGGATCATCGTGGTGATTGAAGCTGTGGGCCGCTACTGGCAGGTCATCGCCACGGTTTGAGCTGTGGGTTGCTACCGGCATAGGATCATTGGGACGTTTGGAGCTGTGGGTCGCTATCGGCTTGATCATCGCGGTTGTTCAAGCTGTGGGTCGCTATCGGCTTGATCATCCCGGTTGTTCAAGCTGTGGGTCGCTATCGACGGAGGATCATTGCAGTGGTTGAAAATGTGGGTTGCAAGTGGCATAGAATCATCACGGCGGTAGGAGCTGTGGGTGGGCGGGATTAGCGCAGTGGTTAGAGCTGTGGGTCACTATCAGTGGAGGATCATAGCGATGTTCGGAGCCATGGGTCGCTATCGGCAGAATCATTGCGGTGGTAGGAGCTGTGGGTCGCCTGCATCGGTTCAACACCAGTTCGTATCATTAAAACGTGTAATCCTTCCTCTTGGTACTTGAATCTGAAGCTGGTGATTGTTTTTGTTTTTAAGAGCTCAAAGTTAAAACGAATTCAAGGGGGAAAGGAGAATAGCTTAGCTCAAAGTGAGGTTAAGTTTCTGAAAGGTAAAGGTAAACATACCTGCTCTGTGAGTGATGTTTCCGGGGTGGAGGACGGTGGGTTTGAGGTTGAAAAGGACTGTGGAGTCCACGTTGGTTCAGGTTGTTGGTCAGCTTTAGCTGTAGCTGTAAAATAAAACACGTTTTGGGAGGACTTTATTATACGGTGGACTTTTTGTTGGTTTTAGCAGAGCGTTAGATAAAGTGTTGCTCTGATTATTTTAAAATCACATTATAAGTTAAAAAAAATGTACCTGAGGCTGGAGGTGGTGTCGTTTCCTGGGTGGAGGCTGATGTTGGAAAAAGCCGAGGAGGACGAAGAGTTGGTCGAGGAATTGTTGGAGCTGGGAAAGACAGATTTTCATCCTGCATTAACTTTCCACCGTAAGGAAACACAGTTTTAGTTTGACTGTGTTGTTATCAGTCAGTACGTTTACATGCACAGTTGACTAAAGCACGACGTCTCTGCGCCGTTTGTTTGGAAAGTTTTATCTCTGTTACGACTTTTCTCCGTCTGTCAAGGTTTTATTTACTATCTGGCTTCCATGCTGTTCAACCCCCGGCTCAGAGCCTGGCGTGCGAACCCTGGAGCACGCTCAGAAGGTCTGGGCCAGCTGTGAGAAGTTTGATTAAAGTCGGACTGAGCTTGTAAACGTACTGAGTGTGTTTGGAGGTTCAATCAGCTGTCGTTTAGTCCGAAACATTAGAAATATCAGAGAAGAGTCAAACTCACCTTCTTTAACTTTGACCTCAAACTCAAAGATTTCATGTGGAGACCGAACACTCCCACTAAAACAGCTGTACCTCCCAGAGTCAGACTTGGTCAGGTTCGTGATGCTCACGTACACCGGAGTCAAAGAGACGGGGCCACGGTCCAAGTACCACATGCTGTATCTTCCACTCTGAGCTTCGATTCCATTGTCTTCCAGAAGGACGTGTCCGTCTTTGCAGCCGTCTCTGCAGAAGAACCTACGTGTCTCGGGGTAATCGAAGTAGCATGTCATTTTGACCATTCCTCCGATGGTTCCGGTCACGACTTTCACACCTCTGGGTCCAAATAGACAAGAGTTTCCATCCTGCAGTGAAGCTGGAAAGACGAATACAAACAAACCAAATCACTTTGAGAGCCTAAATCAGTCAACGATCAGTGACGCAACGTTAGAAATGATGTGAGAAGTTTCACTTTGTCCACAGGGGGGCGCCAAAGCCAAAACAAACCAGAGTTCCTTACAGGAGCTTGAAAGGGACAATCCGGCATATAATTGATTTAGGGTCAAACACACTGTAACACGGAGTTAGACCCCCCCTCCAGAGATGAATGTTGTCGACCGCTTCCTTCTCTAGTTATACCAACTTTAGTAACGACCGCAGGATAGTAATACAGAGAGCCACGCCCCCAACCAAAACGCCACTCTATAGCCACAAATAATGCTCAGAACAGCACCTAACTTCATCAACAGGACATATAGGGTCACAGACATAGTACTAGACACCAAACATCTTTTTAACTTTGACTCATTTCTTTAGAGAAGAGACTAAACACAACTCACCTACTCTCTTCCAGCAGCTGCTTGTTTGTAGCGAGACCTCCGGCCAGTCCAAGAACATTTCTGATCATTTCTTTATCATTTCCTTAAAGTAGTAATCACCATATTAATCATTTTTCACTGCAGACGCGGTAGTTCTTCTGTCTTAGCGTCTCGGTCTGATTGTATTTCCATGAAGAAATGATCATGAATGTTCTTCCTTGAGCTGCAGCACCCCGCTGTAGTCCATAATGGACTCGCTTGAGGTCTCGCTACAAACAAGCAGCTGCTGGAAGAGAGTAGGTGAGTTGTTTTTAGATTGTTTGCAAAAGAAATGAGTCAAAGTTAAAAAGATGTTTGGTGGCTAGTACTATAGCCACCATTATTTTTTAGTTCTGAGCATTATTTGTGGCTATAAAGTGGCGTTTTGGTTGAGGTTTGTTTGTGGCTCCTCAGACCACTGTGTATTTCTATCCTGTGGTCGTTACTAAAGTTGGTATAACTAGAGAAGCAAGCGGTCGACAACATTCTTCTCTCAAGGGGTGTCTTACTCGGTGTTACGGTGTGTTTGACCCTAAATAAATTTTATGCTGGAATATCCCTGTAATTCTTGATGCTCTAAATTCATGTTTTTTCTGGAGGACATTACAGCTTTTACCGATGTCACGTGAAAGGAAGAAAAAGTCTTTGAGCGTTTTTTTACAAACTTCTTTAGACTTCTCGCTCAGTCCGTTTAAATTCAGGTTCCTCTTTGACTGAATCTGAGACATCCTGAGATAACTTTAACACAGACTCTGCTGAAATAAGAATTTTTGGAGTATAATACTTGACTTATTTCAGGATTTTAAGAACTGATTATAAGAAGGTCTGGAGAACTTACCGAGGAGAAAGAAGATCAAACCGAGACAAGTTTTCATGTTGGACTCTCCGAGCGTTTAACTCCGAGTCTCGCTTCCTCTCCACTTACAGCCAGTGACTTCTCTTTTTTTTTCTTTTGTTTTTTTAAGTAATGATGACACTCTTCCTCATTACGTAAAACTCAACCCTCCTCCTCTTGCTTTGTGGTTTTTCAATGGAAAAAAAAAACTTCAGCTCAAAAAGTCAAAAACCTTCGAATCCGCCTCATGGACTGTTACTCACAGGATTCAGATCAGTTCTTTTATTTTGAAAGGACCATGCCTTTAGTTTATCTTTAACTTCTGAATAAACATTTAAGCAGACAGGCTTCCTGGCATGAATTTGTCCTTTGGACTCCAAACTCGTATTTATACTACGACGACGTGATCAGCTGTGTCAGTTTTGGGGTCATTGTTATCAGTGAATGAGAAGACGGATCGTGATATCACGTCATGTCCATGTACGCTGAAACAAGTAAACATGCTGAGCAGACTCTGCCTCAGTGTCAACATGACAAAGTGCCCTCAGAAAAGACCTGATCAATACTGTGTGGGCTGGTCCAAACTGCTGATTCAGATCCTAGGGATGAGAACTCAACCCTTTCTGGAGGGGCTTTCTTTGATTTTTAATTTATTTTTTTAGTAGTTACAGATCAACTGAACATTAAATACACGTTATGCGCTAAATCAGATTCTGCAGGTATCACAACGGCATGGCTCTGCAGTAGAAGAGTCCTCGGGTCCAAAGAAGACGCGGTCCAATCCGACTGTCCTCTCCGACCTCCTCATGCATTTACTCAGCCTGCGAAGAAGAGCAGTGTTCGCTTTGTCTCAGTGTCACATGTTTAATTCCAATCTCAGGGATTTTCTCGGCGCGAGTTGAAGAACAACTGGACGACTTTCCTCAGACACTCACCTCTGTGATATTCACATAATCGAGCTCGACAGGAGGCTCTGAAAACACACAGGTCAGAGGATTAGGACCACTTAAAGCTCCTGTAGGAAGTTTTTTAAGGGTAATAACAGACTGAAATGAACACTGATGGATCTCTATGATGTGCAAAAGAGAATGAGATCCTCAAATATAAAGGGATATTAATTTAGGGTCAAACAGACTTCGGGTCAAAGAGACTAAACACACTCACCTACTCCCTTCCAGTAGTCGCTTGTTTGTAGGGAGACCTCAGGCCAGTCTGTTACAGACTACAGCGGGGTGACGCAGCTCAAGGAAGAACATTTATGATCATTTCTTTATCATTTCCTTGAAGTAATAATCACAATATTAAACATTTTACTCTGCAGACGCGGTAGTTCTTCTGCCTTAGCGTCTCAGTCTGATTGTATTTCATTAAGAAATTATCATGAATGTTCTTCCTTGGGCTGCGTCACCCCGCTGTAGTCTGGAACGGACTGGCCTGAGGTCTCTCTCAAACAAGCGTCTGCTGGAAGAGAGTAGGTGAGTTGTGTTTAGTCTCTTTGCTAAAGAAATTAGTCAAAGTTAAAAAGATGTTTGGTGGCTAATGCTATGGCTGGGACCCTATATGTACTAACCTGAGTAGAACATGGTGTAGTTCTGTTTGGTAACAGAACCTCATTGGAAAATTTGCTGATTTAACTTTACTGTGCTCTTGTTCAAATATACTAACTCAAAAGCACATATATTCATACCTGTTAACAAAATCATCATTTTATTGATAATTCGGCTCAATAAAAACACCTTTACCTTTTTATTTTACTACAGTAGAAGTTTCTTGGCTCAGCTTATAGACTACAGAGGTGAAGAAATGCCCCCGTTTAAGTTTATGTTTTTATAGGAGTTAGAACAACTCTGAATATAGTACTATGTCTGTGACCCAATATGTCCTGTTGATGAAGTTAGGTGCTGTTCTGAGCATTATTTGTGGCTATAGAGTGGCGTTTTGGTTGAGGGCGTGGCTCTCTGTATTTCTATCCTGTGGTCGTTATTAAAGTTGGTGTAACTAGAGAAACAAGCGGTCGACAACATTCATCTCTGGAGGGGGTGTCTAACTCGGTGTTATGGTGTGTTTGACCCTAAATTAATTTAATGCCAGAATATCCCTTTAATTAATCGTTGATTTGATGTTGGTCCTGGTGCTTCATCTCTGTTCGTCTGAAAACTTTCTCTTAAGTTATGAGAAGTTGAGCGCTCAGCACTGTATGTAGATACAATCTCAAAATATCTGTTTCCTGTTTCTTACTCAGATATTTAATTTTAACTTCATGGTAACACTTTCTCACTTTCTTTTTCAGTTGACTTTATCATGAAGCTTGAATCCAGACTAACACATTTTTAGTTGAGAGAACTTTCTGAAATGTTTCATCAGACCTCCTCGCACACTTGGTCAGGTATTGGTACAGTATTGGTCATCCGCAAGTATTATAATCAATGTGAGTCATTCCACAGAATCCGTCCGGCCGGATCAGATATGCAAGGCTTCTATTTTTGCCGGACGCCTCTCACGAGAAATATCGGTAATCTTATTAGTTCATTAAAAGGAGCTTCAACATGGAAATCTGATGACTCAGGAAAAGCATCTAATTTTGCACCACGTGTAAAAATGTATTAATTCAATTTAAATCTTGAAATCTTCTGTGTCTCTTTAATTGTTGAAAATTCATGAAGGAAGTTTGGATTCGTGTCGATTTGGCGCCCCTAGTGGACAAACCAATCTCACAGATAGCAAAGATCTTGTTGCTGATGATCTTGTTTGATTTTTAGATGATAAAAAAAGTTAGAATTAAAAAAGCCTTTGTCTGTTTGTGTGTGAGCTTCCTCACCCTGTGGTCCACTCGTCCTCCTCTTCCTGCACAGTATCAGCACAGCAGATGATGACCCGATAAACACCACGACCAGAACCAGCCGCACATACAGAGGAACACCTGTTTTTGTTTGAGCAGAGGATCCAGATTTAATTATTAAACTTCTTTGTCTGTATATGAAACAAATCCCTTTATCAAGTCACTTTAACCAACACAGAATCAGACTTTTTACACACATGGTACGAGCATGTGCAGAGGAAACAGGAAGATGTACCTGAGGCTGCGGTCGGTGTTGTCAGTGTTGTGTTCAGGGTGGAGGCTGATGGAGTCGGTGCTGAAAAGGATTAGAGGCCAGTTTGGTTCAGAAATGTTTAATAGTTTTATCATCAATGTGCAGACTTCACATCCTCTTTATATTTTTGACATCAACCAGCTGATGAAGTGAAAAAAGCCTTTTAAGGTTCAACCTCAGAGGAAACAGGAAGATGTACCTGAGGCTGTGGTCGGTGTTGTCAGTGTCGTGTTCAGGGTGGAGGCTGATGGAGTCGGTGCTGAAAAGGGTTGGAGGTTTGGAGTTGTGAAACAAACTGAATCAGTCAGTACTGATGTTTCTTTATTTTAATCGTCCTTTAATTCAAACTAAACAACCTGAAAACAGTCGGTGTGTGCAGAGAACAGCTCTGACTTGATGTGAATTTTTACAGATAAACTGATAGTTTTAAATTAAGCTCTTATCAGACTTCAGGATGATCAGTTTACGCTGCTCTGAGTCCAAGTGTTGGACTGTGTTGGACTGTATTGGGTCGATAGAAACGATGAAAGCTGTAAATGAAAAGTTCAAACTCACCATCAGTGACGATGAGCTGAAACTTGACTCTTGAATCTGGAGACAATCTTCGGTCCAACCAACAGCTGTACCGTCCAGAGTCAGACTTTCTCAGATTTCTGATGCTCACATTGATCAGTACAGGAGGTGTTGGATAACTTCCTTTATAATAGTCAATCCTGTACCTTCCTCTACGATGGCTGTCATCTGTTGTTTCAACAAGAATGTCTCCATCTCCACAATCATTCCTACAGAAGACTCTCCTTTCTCCAGAGATTCTGAAGAAGCAATGAACTCTGATTTCTTCTCCTTCAGTTACATAATAATCACTGATATATTGTTCAAAGTCATCTGTGTCTCCATCCTTCAGCACTGTGGAAAAGATCAACAATCACAGAGTCATTTTCAGCTCCTTCTTCTCTGAGAGAAACATCTGCTGATTCAGGAGCTTCAAACAGTCTGTGGAGATTTCACCAACCACCATACACATCACTCTTAAATATGTGATGTTTCTAAGTTATCCAGGAAATTTAGATTCATTTCTGAAGCAGAACTAACAGACTAGTTTGTTCCTCTTTGCTGCACTTTACCGCCATGAAGGTGATAAAAATAGGAACAATAAATAAAAGTATAGACGTTATCTCCCTCAAAGTCCAAAACGACAAGATTTAAAAAGTTCAGTATAGAAGTTAAAGTATAGAAGAATGAACTTACAGAGAAAGAAGACGATCAAACTCTGACAAACTCTCATGTTGCTCTCAGGTTGTTTCACACCTCTATGGTTGGCAAGAACAGGAAACTTATCTTTTCCTTCATCGACCTCTTGACTCTCCTCCTCCTTTCAGACTTATGTTTTTTTTCTTTAGTCCAGGTTGTTTCCGTCAAATTTGATCTTTGAATAATATTTATAATTCAACCAAACAAGCCGAAATGATTCCTCTAATAATCAGAGTTACTCAAAGACTCACTCTGACACGCAATACACACCCATTATAATCTGAATATTCTCCAAAAATGATCAGGGTCATCAAACAGTCAGGGATCAAAAACTACAATACCCATCAAGACGTCAAATAATAGACCAATAAACACGACTTGTATCTACATTTAAAGGTTTTAATGGAGTCTCTGAGTGAAAGTACGCTGGAGCAGTAGACGTTTGGAAAACTCCAATAATTGCTCTTTCTTTTCAGCCTGTCCCATTCACTTCAATGAAATATTTTTGATCGTTTCTTGAACTTACGTTTTAAAAATTTCATGTACTGTATGGAAAAGTAAAATCACGCCGCTCCAGATCAAATCACCCGTCTTTATATATAATTTGTCCAACAACTCTTTAAGCTGTAGGACTAGTCGTGAATCAAAATTTGTCCAGAAGAGGAATAAAAGAAAAATCCACAGTATAATAATCACACTGGCCCCATATACTTTAGTACAGGGGCCAGGGCCTCGGTGCCTTTTCCTCATGGCCCCAATAAAAGATGTTATCTCCCTCAAGGTCTAAAACAACAGGATTTAAAAACTTTAATCTGATAAAAGAGAAAACTGTTCCTGTCCATCTTTTAATACAGTGTCTGCATTAGAGAAGTGGCTCCAAAACTTTTAATGAGATTCATAAACTCAAAATCCTTCAAAACCCTCGAACTGAACAAATACATTTGATTTCTTTAATGAATATAAATATGTTTAGGCAAGGCAAGTTTATTTGTATAACAACATTCATACACAAGAGAATTCAAAGCTTTACAGACGCAAGGAAATAAAAAATACAACAGAGATTAAAATGATTTAAAATCAGTACAACAGAACAATTTATAAACAATAAAACAAACAGATAATTTTTTCATCTGTTTCATGTTTGCCCTGATTATTTATGAAAACCATCATTTCCCAGAAAACAAAATAAGTTTCAAGCTTTCAGACCCCGAGCTCCTGAGATGGTAAATTAGTTTTCTTGTTGTCTATCTCAGACGGTATTATTTATACACTACAGGCCAAAAGTTTGGAAGCAAGATCAGATTTGTACAGAAAAAGATCATAGTTTCATATATATATAATTTGCAACACAATAAACATGACTATTGTATAAAGAGTAACTTATCAGAAGACATTTTGACTATAATTATTGGGTATTTGAGTTATTGTTGCTTAGCCTGACAGAGCTCGGCAGAGTGCTTAGAGTCATTATCTTGCTACAAAACAAACTTATGAGCCACAAGTCTGAGTCCAGATGGAGCAGCATGGTGCTGGAGGATGGAGTGGTACTGTTCCTTCTTCATGATACCCTTTACTTCAAACAAATCTCCTACTCCATCACCTGCAAAACATCCCCATACCATGGAGCTACCTTTTCTCTGAGACTTTTTCACAGTTGGACGGAGAGCTTGAGCGTCGATCATGTCAAAGAAGTTTAAACTGTAGATGTTTCCTCAGGAGGAGATCTGCTCTGACCGTCCTCCTCTCTGACCTCCTCATTAACTTGATCAGCCTGCAGAAAAAGAAAAAACTGTTTTCATTTATTCATACTGACTGAGTTAAAGAACAAATGAACCACTTTTCTCCAACACTCACCTCTGTGATGTTCAGATGATCCAGCTCTACAGGAGGTTCTGAGAAGATACAGTTCAGAAGATTAGGACCACCCAACATGGACATTTGGGCAACCAGGGTTAGAAAGCATTTGGTGTCGCCCATAAACCCTGTGTTAGTTTGGAGAAAGTTTGATAAAGTGGCTGTGTGTGAGCTTCCTCACCCTGTGGTTCACTCGTCCTCCTCTTCCTGCACAGTATCAGCACAGCAGATGATGACCCGATAAACACCACGACCAGAACCAGCCGCACATACAGAGGAACACCTGTTTTTGTTTGAGCAGAGGATCCAGATTTAATTATTAACCTTCTTTGTCTGTATATGAAACAAATCCCTTTATCAAGTCACTTTAACCAACACAGAATCAGACTTTTTACACACATGGTACGAGCATGTGCAGAGGAAACAGGAAGATGTACCTGAGGCTGCGGTCGGTGTTGACAGTGTTGTGTTCAGGGTGGAGGCTGATGGAGTCGATGATGAAAAAGATTAGAGACCAGTTTGGTTCAGATATGGTTAAAAGTTTTATCATCAATGTGCAGACTTCACATCCTCTTTATATTTTTGACATCAACCAGCTGATGAAGTGAAAAAAACCTTTTAAGGTTCAACCTCAGAGGAAACAGGAAGATGTACCTGAGGCTGTGGTCGGTGTTGTCAGGGTCATCTTCAGGGTGGAGGCTGATGGAGTCGGTGCTGAAAAGGGTTGGAGGTTTGGAGTTGTGAAACAAACTGAATCAGTCAGTACTGATGTTTCTTTATTTTAATCGTCCTTTAATTCAAACTAAACAACCTGAAAACAGTCGGTGTGTGCAGAAAACAGCTCTGACTTGATGTGAATTTTTACAGATAAACTGATAGTTTTAAATTAAGCTCTTATCAGACTTCAGGATGATCAGTATACGCTGCTCTGAGTCCAAGTGTTGGACTGTGTTGGACTGTATTGGGTCGATAGAAACGATGAAAGCTGTAAATGAAAAATTAAAACTCACCATCAGTGACGTTGAGCTGAAACGTCCGTAATGAATCTGGAGACAATCTTCGGTCCAACCAACAGCTGTACCGTCCAGAGTCAGACTTGCTCAGATTTCTGATGCTCACATTGATCAGTGTATAAGTTGTTGGATAACGTCCTTCATAATAGTCAATCCTGTATCTTCCTCTTTGACGGCTGTTATCTGTTGTTTCAACAAGAATGTCTCCATCTTCACAATCATTCCTACAGAAGACTCTCCTTTCTCCAGAGTATTGGAAGTAGCAATGAACTATGATGTCTTCTCCTTCAGTTCTATAATAAACACCGATATATTGTTCAAAGTCATCTGTGTCTCCATCCTTCAGCACTGTGGAAAAGATCAACAATCACAGAGTCATTTTCAGCTCCTTCTTCTCTGAGAGAAACATCTGCTGATTCAGGAGCTTCAAACAGTCTGTGGAGATTTCACCAACCACCATACACATCACTCTTAAATATGTGATGTTTCTAAGTTATCCAGGAAATTTAGATTCATTTCTGAAGCAGAACTAACAGACCAGTTTGTTCCTTTTGCTGCACTTTACCGTCATGAAGGTAATAAAAATAGGAATAAATACAAGTATAGACGTTATCTCCCTCAAAGTCCAAAAACAGGATTTCAATAACCTCAAATAAACAAAAGCAGGAGGTCAAACTGTTCCTGTTCATCTCTATATAAAGTGTCTGTGTTAGAAAACTGTCTCTAATACTTTAAATGAGATTCATAAACTCAAAATCCGGTCATTAAAACGCTGTAAAATCAGGTGGTACTGCTCTAACCGAGCAAATACATTTGACTTAATTAGAAATATAAATATATAAAAAGAGAAGATTAAACTTATAGAAGGATGAACTTATGGAGAAAGAAGACGATCAAACTCTGACAAACTCTCATGTTGCTCTCCGGTTGTTTCACACCTCTATAGTTAGCAAGAACAGGAAACTTATCTCCTCCTTCATCACCCTCTTAACTCTCCTCCTCCTCTCTGACTTATGTTTTTTTTTTCTTTAGTCCAGTTTGTTTTTGTCAAATTTAAACTATGAATAATATTTATAATTCAACCAAACAAGCAGAAATGATTCCTCCAATAATCAGAGTTACTCAGACTGATGTGTCTTCAGGCTGAAGGTTCAAGTATCTTTCTTTATTCAGCATCATTTCTGACTAAACTCTTTGGGTGAAAGCGTCTTTGTCGCCTTTAAAAGATCTAAAAACAGCTGTTTAGATCACTGTGAAAAAAAACAAAAAAACATCTGTATTTAATTTATTTACTCAATAACAAATGCACACTTTGAAAATAGATATATCTTTGCCACTGTAGGTGAAAGGGCTGATGGGAAATGAAGTTTTCATCTTAGAAACACACATCTATCAAAAACTCTTCTTATTTCTGCACAAACAGAGGAACACCTGTTTTTATTTGAGCAGAGGATCCAGATTTAATTATTAAACTTCTTTGTCTGTATATGAAACAAATCCCTTTATCAAGTCACTTTAACCAACACAGAATCAGACTTTTTACACACATGGTACGAGCATGTGCAGAGGAAACAGGAAGATGTACCTGAGGCTGCGGTCGGTGTCGACAGTGTTGTGTTCAGGGTGGAGGCTGATGGAGTCGGTGCTGAAAAGGGTTGGAGGTTTGGAGTTGTGAAACAAACTGAATCAGTCAGTACTGATGTTTCTTTATTTTAATCGTCCTTTAATTCAAACTAAACAACCTGAAAACTGTCGGTGTGTGCAGAAAACAGCTCTGACTTGATGTGAATTTTTACAGATAAACTGATAGTTTTAAATTAAGCTCTTATCAGACTTCAGGATGATCAGTATACGCTGCTCTGAGTCCAAGTGTTGGACTGTATTGGGTCGATAGAAACGATGAAAGCTGTAAATGAAAAGTTCAAACTCACCATCAGTGACGATGAGCTGAAACGTCCGTAATGAATCTGGAGACAATCTTCGGTCCAACCAACAGCTGTACCGTCCAGAGTCAGACTTTCTCAGATTTCTGATGCTCACAAAGATCCGTGTATGAGTTGATGGATAACTCTCTTCATAATAGTCAATCCTGTACCTTCCTCTTTGACGGCTGTCATCTGTTGTTTCAACAAGAATGTCTCCATCTTCACAATCATTCCTACAGAAGACTCTCCTTTCTCCAGAGATTTGGAAGATGCATTGAACTATGATGTCTTCTCCTTCAGTTACATAATAATCACTGATATATTGTTCAAAGTCATCTGTGTCTCCATCCTTCAGCACTGTGGAAAAGATCAACAATCACAGAGTCATTTTCAGCTCCTTCTTCTCTGAGAGAAACATCTGCTGATTCAGGAGCTTCAAACAGTCTGTGGAGATTTCACCAACCACCATACACATCACTCTTAAATATGTGATGTTTCGAAGTTATCCAGGAAATTTAGATTCATTTCTGAAGCAGAACTAACAGACTAGTTTGTTTCTCTTTGCTGCACTTTACCGCCATGAAGGTGATAAAAATAGGAACAATAAATAAAAGTATAGACGTTATCTCCCTCAAAGTCCAAAACAACAAGATTTAAAAAGTTCAGTATAGAAGTTAAAGTATAGAAGAATGAACTTACGGAGAAAGAAGACGATCAAACTCTGACAAACTCTCATGTTGCTCTCAGGTTGTTTCACACCTCTATGGTTAGCAAGAACAGGAAACTTATCTTCTCCTTCATCACCCTCTTGACTCTCCTCGTCCTCTCAGACTCCAGTTTGTTTCCGTCAAATTTGATCTTTGAATAATATTTATAATTCAACCAAACAAGCAGAAATGATTCCTCCAATAATCAGTTACTCAAAGACTCACTCTGACACGCAATACACACCCATTATAATCTGAATATTCTCCAAAAATGATCAGCGTCATCAAACAGTCAGGGATCAAAAACTACAAAACCCATCAAGACGTCAAATAATAGACCAATAAACACGACTTGTATCTACATTTAAAGGTTTTAATGGAGTCTCTGAGTGAAAGTACGCTGGAGCAGTAGACGTTTGGAAAACTCCAATAATTGCTCTTTCTTTTCACCCTGTCCCATTCACTTCAATGAAATATTTTTTATCGTTTCTTGAACTTACGTTTTAAAAATTTCATGTACTGTATGGAAAAGTAAAATCACGCCGCTCCAGATCAAATCACCCGTCTTTATATATAATTTGTCCAACAACTCTTTAAGCTGTAGGACTAGTCGTGAATCAAAATTTGTCCAGAAGAGGAATAAAAGAAAAATCCACAGTATAATAATCACACTGGCCCCATATACTTTAGTACAGGGGCCAGGGCCTCGGTGCCTTTTCCTCATGGCCCCAATAAAAGATGTTATCTCCCTCGAGGTCTAAAACAACAGGATTTAAAAACTTTAATCTGATAAAAGAGAAAACTGTTCCTGTCCATCTTTTTATAAAGTGTCTGCATTAGAGAAGTGGCTCCAAAACTTTTAATGAGATTCATAAACTCAAAATCCTTCAAAACCCTCGAACTGAACAAATACATTTGATTTCTTTAATAAATATAAATATGTTTAGGCAAGGCAAGTTTATTTGTATAACAACATTCATACACAAGAGAATTCAAAGCTTTACAGACGCAAGGAAATAAAAAATACAACAGAGATTAAAATGATTTAAAATCAGTACAACAGAACAATTTATAAACAATAAAACAAACAGATAATTTTTTCATCTGTTTCATGTTTGCCCTGATTATTTATGAAAACCATCATTTCCCAGAAAAACAAAATAAGTTTCAAGCTTTCAGACCCCGAGCTCCTGAGATGGTAAATTAGTTTTCTTGTTGTCTATCTCAGACGGTATTATTTATACACTACAGGCCAAAAGTTTGGAAGCAAGATCAGATTTGTACAGAAAAAGATCATAGTTTCATATATATATAATTTGCAACACAATAAACATGACTATTGTATAAAGAGTAACTTATCAGAAGACATTTTGACTATAATTATTGGGTATTTGAGTTATTGTTGCTTAGCCTGACAGAGCTCGGCAGAGTGCTTAGGGTCATTATCTTGCTACAAAACAAACTTATGAGCCACAAGTCTGAGTCCAGATGGAGCAGCATGGTGCTGGAGGATGGAGTGGTACTGTTCCTTCTTCATGATACCCTTTACTTCAAACAAATCTCCTACTCCATCACCTGCAAAACATCCCCATACCATGGAGCTACCTTTTCTCTGAGACTTTTTCACAGTTGGACGGAGAGCTTGAGCGTCGATCATGTCAAAGAAGTTTAAACTGTAGATGTTTCCTCAGGAGGAGATCTGCTCTGACCGTCCTCCTCTCTGACCTCCTCATTAACTTGATCAGCCTGCAGAAAAAGAAAAAACTGTTTTCATTTATTCATACTGTCTGAGTTAAAGAACAAATGAACCACTTTTCTCCAACACTCACCTCTGTGATGTTCAGATGATCCAGCTCTACAGGAGGTTCTGAGAAGATACAGTTCAGAAGATTAGGACCACCCAACATGGACATTTGGGCAACCAGGGTTAGAAAGCATTTGGTGTCGCCCATAAACCCTGTGTTACTTTGGAGAAAGTTTGATAAAGTGGCTGTGTGTGAGCTTCCTCACCCTGTGGTTCACTCGTCCTCCTCTTCCTGCACAGTATCAGCACAGCAGATGATGACCCGATAAACACCACGACCAGAACCAGCCGCACATACAGAGGAACACCTGTTTTTATTTGAGCAGAGGGTCCAGATTTAATTATTAAACTTCTTTGTCTATATATGAAACAAATCCCTTTATCAAGTCACTTTAACCAACACAGAATCAGACTTTTTACACACATGGTACGAGCATGTGCAGAGGAAACAGGAAGATGTACCTGAGGCTGCGGTCGGTGTTGACAGTGTTGTGTTCAGGGTGGAGGCTGATGGAGTCGGTGATGAAAAAGATTAGAGACCAGTTTGGTTCAGATATGGTTAAAAGTTTTATCATCAATGTGCAGACTTCACATCCTCTTTATATTTTTGACATCAACCAGCTGATGAAATGAAAAAAGCCTTTTAAGGTTCAACCTCAGAGGAAACAGGAAGATGTACCTGAGGCTGTGGTCGGTGTTGTCAGGGTCATCTTCAGGGTGGAGGCTGATGGAGTCGGTGCTGAAAAGGGTTGGAGGTTTGGAGTTGTGAAACAAACTGAATCAGTCAGTACTGATGTTTCTTTATTTTAATCGTCCTTTAATTCAAACTAAACAACCTGAAAACAGTCGGTGTGTGCAGAAAACAGCTCTGACTTGATGTGAATTTTTACAGATAAACTGATAGTTTTAAATTAAGCTCTTATCAGACTTCAGGATGATCAGTATACGCTGCTCTGAGTCCAAGTGTTGGACTGTATTGGGTCGATAGAAACGATGAAAGCTGTAAATGAAAAATTAAAACTCACCATCAGTGACGTTGAGATGAAACGTCCGTAATGAATCTGGAGACAATCTTCGGTCCAACCAACAGCTGTACCGTCCAGAGTCAGACTTGCTCAGATTTCTGATGCTCACATTGATCAGTGTATAAGTTGTTGGATAACTTCCTTCATAATAGTCAATCCTGTACCTTCCTCTACGATGGCTGTCATCTGTTGTTTCAACAAGAATGTCTCCATCTCCACAATCATTCCTACAGAAGACTCTCCTTTCTCCAGAGTATTGGAAGTAGCAATGAACCATGATGTCTTCTCCTTCAGTTCTATAATAAACACCGATATATTGTTCAAAGTCATCTGTGTCTCCATCCTTCAGCACTGTGGAAAAGATCAACAATCACAGAGTCATTTTCAGCTCCTTCTTCTCTGAGAGAAACATCTGCTGATTCAGGAGCTTCAAACAGTCTGTGGAGATTTCACCAACCACCATACACATCACTCTTAAATATGTGATGTTTCTAAGTTATCCAGGAAATTTAGATTCATTTCTGAAGCAGAACTAACAGACTAGTTTGTTCCTCTTTGCTGCACTTTACCGTCATGAAGGTGATAAAAATAGGAACAATAAATAAAAGTATAGACGTTATCTCCCTCAAAGTCCAAAACAACAGGATTTAAAAAACTTCAAATAAACAAAAGCAGGAGGTCAAACTGTTCCTGTTCATCTCTATATAAAGTGTCTGTGTTAGAAAACTGTCTCTAATACTTTAAATGAGATTCATAAACTCAAAATCCGTCATTGAAACGCTGTAAAATCAGGTGGTACTGCTCTAACCGAGCAAATACATTTGACTTAATTAGAAATATAAATATATAAAAAGAGAAGATTAAACTTATAGAAGGATGAACTTATGGAGAAAGAAGACGATCAAACTCTGACAAACTCTCATGTTGCTCTCCGGTTGTTTCACACCTCTATAGTTAGCAAGAACAGGAAACTTATCTCCTCCTTCATCACCCTCTTGACTCTCCTCCTCCTCTCTGACTTATGTTTTTTTTTTCTTTAGTCCAGTTTGTTTTTGTCAAATTTAAACTATGAATAATATTTATAATTCAACCAAACAAGCAGAAATGATTCCTCCAATAATCAGAGTTACTCAGACTGATGTGTCTTCAGGCTGAAGGCTCTAGTATCTATCTTTATTCAGCATCATTTCTGACTAAACTCTTTGGGTGAAAGCGTCTTTGTCGCCTTTAAAAGATCTAAAAACAGCTGTTTAGATCACTGTTAAAAAAAACAAAAAAACATCTGTATTTAATTTATTTACTCAATAACAAATGCACACTTTGAAAATAGATATATCTTTGCCACTGTAGGTGAAAGGGCTGATGGGAAATGAAGTTTTCATCTTAGAAACACACATCTGTCAAAAACTCTTCTTATTTCTGCACAAACAGAGGAACACCTGTTTTTGTTTGAGCAGAGGATCCAGATTTAATTATTAAACTTCTTTGTCTGTATATGAAACAAATCCCTTTATCAAGTCACTTTAACCAACACAGAATCAGACTTTTTACACACATGGTACGAGCATGTGCAGAGGAAACAGGAAGATGTACCTGAGGCTGCGGTCGGTGTTGTCAGGGTCATCTTCAGGGTGGAGGCTGATGGAGTCGGTGCTGAAAAGGGTTGGAGGTTTGGAGTTGTGAAACAAACTGAATCAGTCAGTACTGATGTTTCTTTATTTTAATCGTCCTTTAATTCAAACTAAACAACCTGAAAACAGTCGGTGTGTGCAGAAAACAGCTCTGACTTGATGTGAATTTTTACAGATAAACTGATAGTTTTAAATTAAGCTCTTATCAGACTTCAGGATGATCAGTATACGCTGCTCTGAGTCCAAGTGTTGGACTGTATTGGGTCGATAGAAACGATGAAAGCTGTAAATGAAAAATTAAAACTCACCATCAGTGACGATGAGCTGAAACGTCAGTAATGAATCTGGAGACAATCTTCGGTCCAACCAACAGCTGTACCGTCCAGAGTCAGACTTGCTCAGATTTCTGATGCTCACAAAGATCCGTGTATGAGTTGATGGATAACTCTCTTCATAATTGTCAATCCTGTACCTTCCTCTTTGACGGCTGTCATCTGTTGTTTCAACAAGAATGTCTCCATCTCCACAATCATTCCTACAGAAGACTCTCCTTTCTCCAGAGATTTGGAAGATGCATTGAACTATGATGTCTTCTCCTTCAGTTACATAATAATCACTGATATATTGTTCAAAGTCATCTGTGTCTCCATCCTTCAGCACTGTGGAAAAGATCAACAATCACAGAGTCATTTTCAGCTCCTTCTTCTCTGAGAGAAACATCTGCTGATTCAGGAGCTTCAAACAGTCTGTGGAGATTTCACCAACCACCATACACATCACTCTTAAATATGTGATGTTTCTAAGTTATCCAGGAAATTTAGATTCATTTCTGAAGCAGAAGTAACAGACTAGTTTGTTCCTCTTTGCTGCACTTTACTGCCATGAAGGTGATAAAAATAGGAACAATAAATAAAAGTATAGATGTTATCTCCCTCAAAGTCCAGAACAACAAGATTTAAAAAGTTCAGTATAGAAGTTAAAGTATAGAAGAATGAACTTACGGAGAAAGAAGACGATCAAACTCTGACAAACTCTCATGTTGCTCTCAGGTTGTTTCACACCTCTATGGTTAGCATGAACAGGAAACTTATCTTTTCCTTCATCACCCTCTTGACTCTCCTCCTCCTTTCAGACTTATGTTTTTTTTCTTTAGTCCAGTTTGTTTCCGTCAAATTTGATCTTTGAATAATATTTATAATTCAACCAAACAAGCCGAAATGATTCCTCTAATAATCAGAGTTACTCAAAGACTCACTCTGACACGCAATACACACCCATTATAATCTGAATATTCTCCAAAAATGATCAGCGTCATCAAACAGTCAGGGATCAAAAACTACAATACCCATCAAGACGTCAAATAATAGACCAATAAACACGACTTGTATCTACATTTAAAGGTTTTAATGGAGTCTCTGAGTGAAAGTACGCTGGAGCAGTAGACGTTTGGAAAACTCCAATAATTGCTCTTTCTTTTCAGCCTGTCCCATTCACTTCAATGAAATATTTTTGATCGTTTCTTGAACTTACGTTTTAAAAATTTCATGTACTGTATGGAAAAGTAAAATCACGCCGCTCCAGATCAAATCACCCGTCTTTATATATAATTTGTCCAACAACTCTTTAAGCTGTAGGACTAGTCGTGAATCAAAATTTGTCCAGAAGAGGAATAAAAGAAAAATCCACAGTATAATAATCACACTGGCCCCATATACTTTAGTACAGGGGCCAGGGCCTCGGTGCCTTTTCCTCGTGGCCCCAATAAAAGATGTTATCTCCCTCGAGGTCTAAAACAACAGGATTTAAAAACTTTAATCTAATAAAAGAGAAAACTGTTCCTGTCCATCTTTTTATAAAGTGTCTGCATTAGAGAAGTGGCTCCAAAACTTTTAGTGAGATTCATAAACTCAAAATCCTTCAAAACCCTCGAACTGAACAAATACATTTGATTTCTTTAATGAATATAAATATGTTTAGGCAAGGCAAGTTTATTTGTATAACAACATTCATACACAAGAGAATTCAAAGCTTTACAGACGCAAGGAAATAAAAAATACAACAGAGATTAAAATGATTTAAAATCAGTACAACAGAACAATTTATAAACAATAAAACAAACAGATATTTTTTTCATCTGTTTCATGTTTGCCCTGATTATTTATGAAAACCATCATTTCCCAGAAAAACAAAATAAGTTTCAAGCTTTCAGACCCCGAGCTCCTGAGATGGTAAATTAGTTTTCTTGTTGTCTATCTCAGACGGTATTATTTATACACTACAGGCCAAAAGTTTGGAAGCAAGATCAGATTTGTACAAAAAAAGATCATAGTTTCATATATATATAATTTGCAACACAATAAACATGACTACTGTATAAAGAGTAACTTATCAGAAGACATTTTGACTATAATTGACTATCAGGTGGTGCTGCTCTAACTGAGCAAATACATTTGATTTCTTTAGAAATATGAACATATAAAAAGAAAAGATTAAACTTATAGAAGGATGAACTTATGGAGAAAGAAGACGATCAAACTCTGACAAACTCTCATGTTGCTCTCAGGTTGTTTCACACCTCTATAGTTAGCAAGAACAGGAAACTTATCTTCTCCTTCATCACCCTCTTAACTCTCCTCCTCCTCTCTGACTTATGTTTTTTTTTTCTTTAGTCCAGTTTGTTTTTGTCAAATTTAAACTATGAATAATATTTATAATTCAACCAAACAAGCCGAAATGATTCCTCCAATAATCAGAGTTACTCAGACTGATGTGTCTTCAGGCTGAAGGTTCAAGTATCTTTCTTTATTCAGCATCATTTCTGACTAAACTCTTTGGGTGAAAGCGTCTTTGTCGCCTTTTAAAAGATCTAAAAACAGCTGTTTAGAGTTAAAGAACGATTGAAGGTCTTTTCTCAAACTCTCACCTCTGTGATTTTCATTTAATCCTGTCTGCATGTTGGTGTCTTATTTTGAACAAAGATGTGGTTTTTATATGAAACTCTTTAGCATAACCACAGCGCTTAGTTTGTCACTGTGGTTGTCATCAGTGTTTTATCGCTTCTCATGATTTAAAGATGATGGTTTCTCTCTCACACTTTAGAAGATCAAACAAAATTAAAGTTCCTATCTGTGGTTTTGAAGCCACACATTTGCCAGTTACAGGAAGAGTGAATGCAGCAGCTCTGTTTGCAGGAAACTACTTCAGAAAATCCACGACAAAACAAGAGTGAAAAATGCCTGTATTTCGGGAACAAGTCATGAAAAAGCGGTTTAAAAAATGAAAAGTTCACCTTTTAAAGTGTAAATTTGTAAGTTTTGTTGCCTATAATCTGTTGAAAATATGAATGTACTCACAGAGGAAGACGATCAAACTGAGATAAAGTTTAAAGGGGGGAATCGCCGACAGCTTTAACACCACCTGTCTTTCTTCACTCGCTAACCAGAGACCACACTCTACCTCAATAACGACTATTACCACACGCTGAACCGTCCCTCCTTCTTTATTCTATTTTCTGCTTTTTATTTGTGAATTATGGATAATGTCAACCTCACATTTTAAAAAGTGAGTTTTTGAAATGAACACATAAAACTTGAGAAGAGTTTTAAGGGATATTCTGGCGAACGTTTGCTTCTCTAGTTATACCAATTTTCATAATGACCGTAGATAGTAATACAGAGAGCCACGCGCTCAAACGAAACGCCACTCTATAGCCACAAATAATGCTCAGAACAGCACCTAATACCAGGCATTCGTTCCACAAGTTTTCTAAGGTCTGTTCCAGGGATTACATTCCAAGCTTTCTTAAGTTCATTAAAAAGAGACGCTGATTTGTGGGACGCGTTTTTCTGACCGATTGATCCAATTCATCCCGCACAAGCTCTATCGGAGAAAGGTTTGGAGACTGAGGGGGCCAAACCATCTTTTGAAGAACACCTTCCTCTTCTTTTTGTCTCGGTAACCCTGACAGAGCTTGGCAGAGTGCTTAGGGTCATTGTCTTACTGCAAAACAAACTTATGGGCCACAAGTCTGAGTCCAGATGGAGCAGCATGGTGCTGGAGGATGGAGTGGTACTGTTCCTTCTTCATGATACCCTTTACTTCAAACAAATCTCCTACTCCATCACCTGCAAACATCCCCATACCATGGAACTACCACCTCCATGCTGAATTGTGGGTGTAACATATGGTGCTTTCAAATGCGATGTGATGAGTACATATAAATTTTATTTATTTTATTTTATTTATTTCTGTTTTGTCTCATGTCACCCTGTCCTTTTTTATCTTTTACTTTCTATTTACTTATGTTGTTATTGATAGTTGTCTGGACAACTCGAAGTATGGTCTTTTTACAGATGGAGACGACTACGCATTTCATTGTCCAACTGTCCATGTATGTTTTTGATGAGCTCAGTCTGCTTCTTTGACCAAACTTAAGTAAGGTTTGTTAAATATAAATTAATTAATAACATGATGTTTTGAAAATAAAGCTCCCTTAAGGAAAATTCTGTTTATGTTGCATTTGGCGCCCCCTTGTGGGCGAAGTGAAATCATCTTTGGTATTTTAAAAACTGAAAACACTTCATGAAGTAAACAAAGATGAATATTATCGTGTCAAAAGCAGAAAAGCCAATACTCACCTTCTGCACAGCAGCGCCCTCTGGTGTCTCACAGCACCTTAATGCAAAAACACCACAGACAGACTGATACTGAAGACATGAGTGTTTATTCCAGTCTGTTTATTTACAGTAGAAACTCCTTACTGGAGCTTTAAGTTTCATATCTCTGAACACAGAAAATCGACTGTAACATCAAATCATCAGAAGTTTGAATCTGAAGTCTCAGTTTTACAGGCTGTTGTTCTCATAATAACCAGGCGGACCACATTAACAATAATCATAAAAACAAAGTCCTGAATAAATACGTAATCCAGCTGAAATCAAATAATTTACACTTCAGCAATAAACACAAAATAGCTTATAGAAACATCTCACCTTTGTTCAGCTTTTAACATTTTATTACTTCAATATATTTTTAACTGTTGACTTCAAGATCACTTTAAAGTAAAGGGACAAAATTGGATCTTCATCATCTATTTGGTCAAGTCTGAACTTTTGTTTTACCTCTTGCAGACAACCTTTTCCCTCATAAACAGGAAGTCAAACTTTGAACTCATCATCTTTTTTGGCGTGATTATCGCTGATCAATTTGACTTTAACCGCTGTGTCAAAAATTCGGTATCCATCCTGCAGGTGAAGAGCCTTGAACGCGACACGGCTTTGACTCAGTCAAAATCAGTTCTTAGTCATTTATTTTAACAATGAAGTCTGTTTTGACCTCAGATTAGATCCCATTTTCTTACTCGTTGTTAAAGAATTAATGCAGAAAAACTTTAATTATTAATACATTGAATTCTTAGAAATATTCAAAACAAGCTCAACGTAAAATATAAGATAAAAGTAGCTCTAACTTAAAGCTTTTGTTTGTAATGCTTCAGAGTATTTATGCCTCAAACCCTAAAGTGTCTCTCAAACCGTTCGGAGTTCACCCGTCTGTCCCTGAGAGAGTAAATGTTAGCTCAACGGCGTCAAAGCTAAAGCTAATGTGGAGTCACAGTAGAGTAGAGAGGAGGATCGGCGTCTTCTGAGGTGGCGTGAGGAACGCGAGGAACAGAGTAGATGACGTTCTTTGGCTCTCTGGAGGGGGCGCTGGTGAGCGAGGCAGCCGGACTGTTGGAGAAATCCACAGTGGTGTAGAGGAGTTTATTCGAGTCGTCTCCAGTCTGGAAGAAAACAAAGAGGTCAGAGGTCAACGATTTTTGAAGGAGGTCGAGCGTTGCCATCAGGACCCCTTAAAGGTGGTGTAGTCAGGATCTGAGGAAGTTCCAGTTTTTAGGAGAAATCTTGAATGTAAACTCTACCCCTCCCAACCAGTTTTCCCCTCAGCTCCTCCTCTCAAGCCCCGCCCACAAACAAACGCTCCTGCTCGCTCGTATCGTTCCGATTAAATTCAGATATAATGCAGATAAATACTTCAGATCATTACAAATGGGGCCCAGTCAAGGTGAAAGTCAAAAGCATTGGTGCTACTGTAGATGCCAACAGACTACCAGCAAACACAATGTTTGCAGGACTTCTACAACGAGGATAAAGTGACATAGTCCAGGACCTGAGGGAGGACAGTTTAGCGATGGCGCTACAACACGCTACAGCAGGTCCGTTTGACAAGAAACACTTCTGTTACAGACACTTGTCTTACTTTGTTAAAGCGGTTTACCTGTCCAGCAGAAAGGTTACAGGGTCACCAAGATCCCCAAGCGTCCCCCATCGTTTATGTTGACCCGGCTTTTTAGCTCTTGTCCGGTCTACCTCCGTTTTAAGCGCCCGTTATTCCTCCAGAGTCTCCGGTATTTACTTTGTTTTCTTGCTTGTGTCGGCAGTCGTGGCCAAAGGAGGATTCAGACAATTTTCCGAACTTCCTGGTTGGTTTCTACTGTCCGATATTGTAGCACGCTAACTTTGTTTGGGCTCCTGAACGACACGGGGGAGCAGCGTCTGCCTCACAACCAATCAGGTTAGAGGAGGTGGAGAACGGCTTTGTTTACAGTCAGAAAGAGCGGACCGCTCAGACATAACAAAACACAGCGATATCGTGATATTACCAAATGTCATCAATTACTAATAACTATTGACTGATATTAAAAGATTTTTTGTTTATACACCAAAAAAAAAGATGTTTCTTTAACAGAATCCTGCCTAACCCACCTTTAATTAATCCTTTTGCTCAAACCATTATTAATAATAACTATAATAATAACGTACTGAGGTGCCTGTGGTTCCATGTTGGAGGAAACCTGAAAAGTTCTTGAGAGTTTGACAAACTTTCGCAGCAGTTTCCTCCTTTCGTGTCTCAGAGACTCTTTGAGGGTCATTAATGCCAAATCAGGGTTTTTAAAATGTTGATTTCTGCTGTGAGGATGATCTTAAGTAGACACTAGGGGAGCTCTCCTTCAGTCTTCAATACCAGAGGTCTCTGTTTGGGGTGAAGCTAACGTCCTCTAGTGGCCATTTGAAGAACTGCAGTCGTTGGCTGTTTTTACTTCGCTTTCAACCCCTTAGAAAAATCACCAGAGTGAACTTCTCTTTAATATGCAGTAAAATCTCGCTTTTTTGAGATTTAGAGTCACATAATTTATGACTTAAATTCTTATCAGCCAGATAAGTATCTACATTTCAGAGTAACTTCCTTCTCTTTTTTTAACACGCAGGCTTCCTTCCTGGTGCAACAGTTACTGGAGGCCTGAGGTAAGAGCACAAAATAACCAAGTTCTTGTTTCATTTTTATTGTGAAAGCCAATAAAACCCCATCTAAACCACAGATGTGAGGAAAAGCCTCTCTCTTTCTGCTGCGAAGATATTTCCTCTACCTAACATTTCAGTAAAGATGAAAATGAAAAAGATCGTCTCTCTGCTTCAACATTTCCTCACCTTGTTCTGAGATTCCGCAGCAGAGAGCAGGCTGTAGTCATCCGTGATTTCAACCCCATTTGGTTTGGAAAATTTGGCACATGCGTAAACTGTGAAAACTGGTCTGTCCTCCTCCCGTATCTCCTCATAGTCCCGGTTGGTCTGCAGGAAGAGCGAAAAATGTCTCTGTTTCGTGTCTTTTTCTACGATCATTTCCTTTAAATCGCTGAGTCACTCCGACTTACCTCTGAAACATCAGCGTAGTCTGTTTCAACAGGACGTCCTGAAGATGAAACGGTTTAGAGAGTTAAATCACACAAAAGAGACACACAGAAATTGAGAGAGGACGTTGGAGGTGGAGGCTCATGTGAGCTGCTTTTTTAAATCTACTTTGTGTTTTTTCTCGACTTATTTCTCTCACAATTCAAGAATTCTGGAGAGAAATATCATAATACGATCCAAGATACTTGCAAAAGACATAATCCTGAATCTGGATGAAAAAGGAGAATATCACATAAATTAAAACAAAATAGAAAGAGGCCGAGGACACAGCCCTGCGGTACACCAAAAAGACCTGTTTGGAGGAATCGAGACTGCTCCGTTTGTTTTCGGGTGTGTTTGCGATACTGTTGCTTTATGACTCACATCTAACTTTTTCTGTGTATTTTTAACCATCAGATGAAAGATAGAGGAAGTGAGATTTCTCACTGAACAGCTGCTTCTATCATCGGCTTTTGAAAAAGAAAAAAAAGGGTGTGAGGTGAGAAAGAGGAAGTCATCTGATAAGAGGGTTTTTGAAGATGTTTTAACGTCTGCTGGATGTTATTCAAAGAAATACCACACAGACGGATACAGGCTCTATAGGGTTCATAGATGGGTGCATAAACTTATTTTGACCTCGTAGACTAGAACCATGAGAACTGAGAACATTTAAATTAAACATATCCACCGATTGGAGAAGGTCTAAGATGACTAAAATATGCAGTTTTTATCAGAGACTTAATTTTCATTATTGAACAACAGAAAACAAACTTTCTGATGCACATAATCTAACAGCTCAGCTTTGATCAATAGGTGGTCAGGTGATCACCAAATCTTTATCATATCAACTAAAACAAGATTTACCTGAGGCGGGTGGGGGGGAGTAGGTTGTGTTAAACTTAGTGAGAAATAAAGAGGTTTCCTTTTCATGAGTGAAGGATGTCCGAAAAATGAATTAATGCTAAGACTTTTTAACTGTTAGGTGGGTATTCTCTCTTCATATATAAAGCTTACAGTTAGACACTCCCTTAAGAGAGATGAATGCTGCCGACCGCTTGCTTCTCTAGTTAGACTAACTTTCGTAACGACCGCGCGATAGTAATACACAACAAACCTCACAACAAACCTCAACCAAAACGCCACTCTATAGCCACAAATAATGCTCAGAACAGCACCTAACTTCATCAACAGGACATATAGGGTCACAGACATAGTACTAGACACCAAACATCTTTTTAACTTTGACTAATTTCTTTAGCAAAGAGACTAAACACAACTCACCTACTCTCTTCAAGCAGACGCTTGTTTGTAGCGAGACCTCATACCAGTCCATTATGGACTACAGCGGGGTGACTCAGCTCAAGGAAGAACATTTATGATCATTGTGGAAATACAATCAGACTGAGACGCTAAAGCAGAAGAACTACCGCGTCTGCAGTGAAAAATGATTAATATGATGATTATTACGTCAAGTAAATGATAAAGAAATAATCATAAATGCTCTTCCTTGAGCTGCGGCACCCCGCTGTAGTCTGTAATGGACTGGCCTGAGGTCTCACTACAAACAAGCGTCTGCTGGAAGAGAGTAGGTGAGTTGTGTTTAGTCTCTTAGCTAAAGAAATGAGTCAAAGTTAAAAAGATGTTTGGTGTCTAGTACTATGTCTGTGACCCTATATGTCCTGTTGATGAAGTTAGGTGCTGTTCTGAGCATTATTTGTGGCTATAGTGTGGCGTTCTGGAATATCCCTTTAAGTTATGCTGCTTTAGGCTTAGACTTTAGGATTCCTGGTACATTGAGCTCCTTTCTCTCCATCTACATCCTCCTTCTGTCAGTAACAATAACTTTGAATCATCATTTCCCATTAGAGTCAATAAAAAAACAGCTTTTCTGGGAGTCTCTGAGCTCCATCATGAGGTAGCTTCCCCTGGATCGCTAAATCTAAAGTTCTCCAGATTTAAGAAAATAGAAAATGGCGTTTCTGTCAGGGCTGTTGTGTTTTTGTGTGTGTGTGTGTGTGTGTGTGTTTCACCTGTAGCCTCATTTTTGGGTTTGGGGGCCCTCTTCTTGTAGTAAATCAGCAGAATCAGCGAGAGTATGATGATCAGGAGGAGCAGGAGCAGACCCAGATACAGCAGAGGATCTGAAGGTGTTTGTGCACAAGATTAGATTGTTGAAGAGGTGTGAGTTTGTTTGCAGTGAAATATGAATGAATTTTGAAAAGATAACCTGAGTGACGACTTCACACACTCTCAACAAAGATACATGTTATTTATTTTCATGTTTTTGAAATCTGAAATACATGAAGATGAACCGACTTGAAGAAGATTTCTGCCCAAGAGGAGTTGTGGTGTTTTCTGTGCTGGAGTTCACGCTCTGGATCGTTGTTGTCTTTGTTGTTGTCGTTGTTGTCTTTGTTGTTGTCGTTGTTGTCGTTGTGGAGGCTGATGAGGTGGATGATGAAACAGTGGGGTTAGTCCTGTTTGGTTTACGAGTGGTTCGAGCTGTCGAACATGATCAAACAATCAGAGACTCAACTCATTTCTAATCGATTTTTAGGGTCACATCACACAATCACACTCACTTTTTTTATTTAAATACTGTTTCAAAAATAAGCTGTAGGTCTGAAGAGTTTATCAGAGTTCATTATGAAGAAAACATGCAGCTGTCTTCATCACTGAGTAAAATACTGGGTTTTATGAAACACTGGTAAACATCAATGAGGAGAAGAATCTCACCATTTCTGACGTTGAGCTGAAATGTTTCTTTTGAATCTAGAGACAATCTTCGGTCCAACCAACAGCTGTACCGTCCAGAGTCAGACTTTCTCAGATTTGTGATGCTCACATTGATCTGTGCAGGGCCAATTAAACCTCTTTCATAATATTCAATGCTGTATCTGCCTTGATGACGGCTGTTATTTGTTGTTTCAATAAGAATGTCTCCATCTCCACATTTATTCCTACAGAAGATTCTCCTTTTTCCTGAGATTTTGAAGTTGCATCTAACTGTGATGTCTTCTCCTTCAGTTCCATAACGAACACCGATATCTTCTTCAAAGAGAGCTGTGACTCCATCCTTCAGCACTGTGGAAAAGATCAACAATCACAGAGTCATTTTCAGCTCTTTTCAGGAGCCTCAAACAGTCTGTGGAGGCTGGAGGTTATAATCAATCTAATCAATCCAATCTGAGATTTAAAAGTTTTTAATGTTCTTCTCCAGTCTGCTGTTTATGTCTGCAGGACTGTTGGCCTTTTAAAGACGGGCTGTTGTACTTTTTTCAGACTCTGTATTTCCTCTCTGATATCTCTTTAGTATCTTTACATGATTTTCTGAAAATCATGAAAAAAAAAAACTCTTGTTTCCTACTCTGTGGTATTAAAACATTAATTTTTCAGCCTCTAATTAAAAGCTTCATTTTAGCTGCTGTCTCTTTAAGCCAGCTTCGACAAAAACCTCCCTGAAGAGGTGGCCAATCAGAGGGAAGAGGGGGAGGGGGTTAAACAGCTAAAACAAAGCATTTTAGATGGAGACTGAAATAATAACGTTTTAGGTTTTTTTTAAATCTGGAAATCACATGAAGATATTAAAGTGGAATCAGAGATCAAATATAGAGTCTGAAAAAAAACACATGATACTCCTTTAATACACCAATGGTAGAAGACACAATAGGAAGTGTCCAATCATTTTGCTTAGTTATATTTGCTGCCAAACAAAATTTCGTTGTATTCTTGTACAATCAGGACTCGACACTAACTTTTTTCACAGGTAGCACATGTTCTCCTCCTAAGTTGAAAAAGTAAAGAGCACACCAAGAACTAGGGACACAATGAAAATTGATCAAATAATGTTTGTCGTATCATCTAACCTTAGTACGATTATTTTAAATCAATTTTAGGTCTTTTGGTCACATGACATTGAAGCTATTGAGGAAAATGTTCAAAATTTGCCTTTGAATTTAACACAATAAATTTTTTAGAGGAAAAAATTGTGAAATAAAGAGGTGTGTCTTATTTTCCGATCTTAGTACGATTATTTGAAATCAATTTTAGGTCTTTTGGTCACATGACATTGAAGCTATTGAAGGAAAACAGCCTTTTCTGAGAACATCAACCAGTAATTTATTGATGGTCCCTTATTCAACACCGACGTTGACAGTGAGGGTGTCGAGTAGATTTAACCGCGCTGCTGTTGTTATTCCCGGTTATGGAGAGAGAGAAGACACCGGTAGATCCTCAGAGAATGTCCGTCAGATATCCAACCTGAAACTAACTTCACCGCCGTATTTACAGGAAAATATATCCAACCTGAAACTAACTTCACCGCCGTATTTACAGGAAAATATATCCAACCTGAAACTAACTTCACCGCCGTATTTACAGGAGAATATATCCAACCTAAAACTAACTTCACCGCTGTATTTACAGGAAAATATATCCAACCTAAAACTAACTTCACCGCCCTATTTACAGGAAAAACATTTGTTGCCTTGGTTTCACACACAACTATTTTTAGTCACAAACGCAAGTGAAACGGTCACACTGACAATGACAATAACTTTCTTCTTCTTCTTCTTCTTCTAGGTTCTTCTAGGACATTTTAGCGTGTGGGAATCAAACTACCAACCTTTCATTGAGGAGACGACTGACACCGAGTCTCTAAGGTGAGGTTACTTAGAAAAGTTAGCGGTGTAACTTTTGCATGTGTCGAGGATTCTCAGTTTGAATTTGTCTATGTAAATTTTATTGTACTGAATAAATTTTCATACTATGTTTCCCTTTTGACCCTGACTCAGTCTGAATAATGTTGCTCATGCTCTTGTTTGCATTTAGATATCATAAAAGGACAGTCTTCTCCATGGAGGTCTAACCAGCACATGGGAGCTCTAACTTTATGTGTATTAGGTGAAGGACTTAAATTATAAAACATTCTTGGAAAACCGATAAAAACTGTTGAACCTTTTCATGATATTCTGAGTTTTTAAGATGCACCGGTGCACCTTTTTTGAATCTGAAATAAAAACAGCCTGTTCAGCTGAAGGTAGAAGTAGTATTGACATGGTCAGACACATATTATGATCATCTGTGAGACTAAAGACATCAACCCTGAACATGAGGAGTCTGTTGTGTCCTGCAGATAATCACAAACCTCGCTGTTATTGTGATTTCTGGTATTATCCTTACATTCCTGCTTCGCATTGTCAACTGCACTGCAAGACTCGGGCTAAAAGGCTGCGTCCAACACCCCTACATCCGTTATGTAACAAATTTAGCATGCGAAAGAAGTTGAATGTGTCCGATTATTAGAAACTGAGCAGAAAGAAATAAGAAGGAACAAGGAAACTGAGTTGAAGCAGTTGTAAGGTTGTTTTTAGTCTGCAGAGTCGGCTGTAAAATTACCCTAACATTCAGTTTCCTCAATTTCATCCAGAGTGCAGATACTGTCTAACCACAGAAAAGCACCACGTCTTTTTTTTTTTTATGTGAGATGTGACAGAAAACTGTAACTCTGACATATCAGCTTCTACTGAGCATGAAAACTTTGGAGAAATGGTAAAAAATATATTTGCAGTAAAAAGAGTGAAATAAAAACAGGAGGCACTCACTGAGGAAGAAGAAAGAGCAGATCAAAGTTGGCTGGACTCTCATGTTGGAGGCTGTGATGGTTGAACGCCGCTCTCTTCCGTCTTTACTGTGAAAGGAGGAACTTGACTCGTCTGTTAAAATGATGATCCTTCCTCTTAACACGCCTCCCCTCTTCATTAGCCCACAACAGAGGCCGCTTCTGGGTGATCTGCTCGAAAACTGTGCCTCGCAGTGACTTATTCTTTCGCGGTCACGCCATTTTCAAATTGGTGATGAACCTCAGAGCTCCATGGTGACCCGTTTCCAGAGAGTGAAGACTTTGAGTTGATGCTGACGTATACAGAGAGCCTGATACCGTGTCGGAGCAGAGAAGTGAACAACTGTGTCGTCTGCAGATGAATGAAAGTTTGCATGAGAACATTTTGAGCAGTGTTAGTGATATTATAAACAAACTTCAGTTCTTCGCCTTCTCTAAACAGTTTCCCCTCGGTGTCAGATATAGCACCCGATCCCAGCCCTGCACACCCTGAGAGATTTTAAAATCATGGTGATGGATTCGACGGTGACAAACGTGGTGAACACAGCACACCTCACACATGAAGACTTTGTTTTTTCACCAGCAGCAGGAGATCCAACTCTCAAAGTATTAAATATTTAACCTTATGTAACATGTCATTCTGTCTCGCACCTTCTTGTTTCGAGTCTCCACCTTACGTAAGTCTTCTCTAAAGTGGTTGTCACTGTGATTTTGTTGACCTTTGTAAACATGAGACAGCAGATGTGCTCTCTACAGTTAGTACTTGAGTCTTACATGTTTGGACACTAGAGGGCAGTAAGAGGACAGAAATATGGAGGTGACTTCCTGCAGGGCTCATGAAAACACCAGAAAGATTTATTCAGAGTTCTGTTCTGACTCGTCACCTGATTTTCTTCTTTTTTTTTTTTTTTGCAGTTTGCCGTTGATGGTTTGTTTTTCATGTCCTGTCAGAGCAACTCAGTCCTTTTGTATTATCAGGGAACTAATGCTTTCCTACTTGGTGTCAAGTATTGAGCTGAAATGAATTAACAGTTTTTATCTTCTCTCCTCCAGCAAAGGGAAATGAGAGTAAGTACATCTTTTTTTCTGACTTTCTTTACCTTATAAAACATTTCTCCTAAAATCTCCTCCACTGTAGGACTATTGATATTCAAATGCTGTTTTTGACTCTAAATTTGCACATCTGTTTTTAATCCACGCAGTCGTGAAAAATAACCTCGGCCTTGAAAAGTACCGGGACTGTTCTGAGTGATTCGACACTGATGAATACGCAGGTGCCGGAGGATATTCATACAAAGGAAAAGAAGGTTAGTGACAGCAACACACCTGAGTAATTTTCCACCTTCTTTGAGTGACAGCAGTCCATCTCAAATTAGCAGTGAACCATGACTCTGTGTTCATGTAAAAGATAAATTAAAAATCAATAGAAATAAATCAATAATGTTTATTCCATGGTTTTTCTGATCAGCAATGTGGAAGGTGACATGAAATATATAAATTTATATCAAGCTGTCATAAGATGTGAGAAAACTTATATAAACTGTTCTTAAATTCTCCTTTTCCTATGATTCAGTGTTTTTAGTCAACACTCTTAAATCTGTTGGTCAATTTCTAACACCATGGCCATTATCATTATTATTAATATTATACAACCTGTTAAAATTAGTAATAGTAAATTTAAAAATTTATTTTAACGATAAAGATTATTGTTATTGTATGATCCATTACAGTATAGTTTTTACTAAAACAATATTATCATACAGACTGTATGATAATAATACTAATATTAATAATAATTATTATTATTATTGTTATTGTTATTATTATTATTTTTATCATTATCATTATAATTACTTCTCTCCTAACTTTTGAAAGACAGCTGTCACTAAAAATGGAGCTAGCTCATCTGTTCCAGTCTGAAATAATGTTTCTCTGCTCTGTTCAACAGGAGTGTTCATTGGTGCAGGAGTGGGCCAGGAAAACTATGGTCATACAGAGTTAAGAGGGCCCTCTTTGGGTTTGGGAATGGACGTGGGCCCCGGGTCTCTCAAATATGCGGCCAAAGCAGAGATTGTGAGTGTTTCAGCGCATAAAGGTCCTGTCAAGGCTACGCTCAGTCTGGCTGCAGATTCTGCTGTTGGTATCGGTCCGACTCAGCAGGAGGCAAAGGTGCTGGGAACCGGCTCTGTGCCTTCTGATGAAGTTGTTTTTTCCTTCCTTCCATTCTTTCAGTTTAATTTTGACTCAGAACTGAGAGGCCCCATCTACTGAAATCCCAAATTGTGAGCGCAAACTAAAAAGATGCATGTGCTATTAGTGGCTGTGTTGCGGGTAAATGACTTCATTGTGTGCGCAATTGATAACAGGTGCAAAAGTGCTGCAGACCGTCCTCTTTAAATGTGGATTTTGCTGGCGGAGGCGGGATTTATGACCTATACTGCAGCCCGTCACCAGAGGGTGCTGTTCTCAGAGTGGCTTCACCCAGCGAGGAGACAGACGGCGTCCATTCTATACACAGTCTATGGTTAAAACAAGTGCCTGCACAATACATTATGGGCTCTACTACATGTTTTTTTTTTTTAGTACATTTCAGGTCAATGTTACATACCGGGCTCTAACAAGCCCAAACTGATCAGAATTTCAACAGATCGCAGGTTAACCAAACAAAAATCAATGCGAAGTGCTCAGCTGCTCCTGGGCTCAATCTCAGTTGAAGAGTACAGTAGCGGACCCTGAAGGTTGTCTCATGCTGCATCTGTAAAAATGGAGCAAAGCCTGTGAGCTAGACGCTGAACACAAGAAATGATCTGTTACTGCTGAAACAAAAAAAAAAACAGTTCGAAGTATATGAAACATACGTAAGGTAACAACAGTTGAATTTGTCTGTTATTTTTACACAACACAAGCTTCTGTTACACAATCAAATCATCCTTGGCCTGACAGTTATTTAAAATAATCATCTTCTTTTACGGGGCATGAACTTTTCTGATCATTGCCCCTTTTTCCAAGAAATGCAAAAGCACTTTTGGTTTTGGTTTGCTCAGCTACTTAAACATCCTGTTTTTTCAAAAACCTCCGTCAGGTAAGAAATCAGACGGATGTGGTTAGTTTTAAAGGGCAAAAAGACTTTTCTAAACTGTGCTGTGAATAACCTCCGCCTTGAAAAGTACTGGGACTGTCCTGATTTGCCTTCTGATGAAGTTGTTTTTTCCTTCCTTCCATTCTTTCAGTTTCATTTTGACTCAGAACTGAGAGGCCCCATCTACTGAAATCCCAAATTGTGAGCGCAAACTAAAAAAATGCACGCGCTATTAGTGGCTGTGTTGCAGGTAAATGACTATCATTGCGCAATTGATAACAGGTGCAAAAGTGGTGTGGACCGCCCTCTTTAAACGAGGATTTTGCGTGCGCTCTTGGTCGTCACCATGGAGAGCTTGAGAGAACAGAGTGAGTGTAGATGAAAAATCAAGTCTGAAGCCATGGAGTTGCACCATAGACTGTTTATACTATAGGCAACTTGGTTCCGCCTCCTGCCATTATACAGATTTGAAGCCAAAAAGCTCTCGGTATTTCCGTGATTTTTCTTCATTTCCAAACAGTGTACCCCCGGGTGAGCGATGCAATCTTTGTACACCAATAGGCTGTATCAGGTGTCAATCATAGAAAACATGAACCCCCTAATAACTTTTAAAAATGGAGCTGTACAGAAGAAAGAGGACTTGAGCACAAACCAGTCTGACAGTAACTACATGTCAACATCACAACCAGGGGGGAGAAACATTTATATTCTGTGTCATTAATTTCTAAAGTTTGTCCACAGCTCCATAGGGATTGCTGGAGGAGGCGGGATTTATGACCTATACTGCAGCTGGTCACCAGAGGGTGCTGTTCTCGGAGCAGCTTCATCCAGAGAGGAGGCAGACGGCGTCCATTCTAGAAACAATCTATGGCTAAAACACGTGCCTGCACAATACATTATGGGTTCTATTACATGTTTTTTTTAATAAATTTCAGGTCAGTGTTACATACCGGGCTCTAACAAGCCCAAACTGATCAGAATTTCAACAGATCGCAGGTTAACCAAACAAAAATCAATGCGAAGTGCTCAGCTGCTCCTGGGCTCAATCTCAGTTGAAGAGTACAGTAGCGGACCCTGAAGGTTGTCTCATGCTGCATCTGTAAAGATGGAGCAAAGCCTCTGAGCTAGACGCTGAACACAAGAAATGATCTGTTACTGCAAAAAAAAAAAAAACATTTGAAAGTACAGTGGAGGAAATAATTATTTGATCCCCCACTGAATTTGTATGTTTGCCCACTGACAGAGAAACTAACAGTCTATATTTGTTTTGGTAGGTTTATTCTCACAGTGAGAGATGAAATATCAAAAAGAAATTTCAGAAAATTACATTATATAAAATATATAAATTGATTTGCATTTCATTGAGTGAAATAAGTATTTGATCCCCTACCAACCACAAAGAGTTCTGGTTCCCACAGAGTGGTTAGACACTCCTACTCAATTAGTCACTCTCATTAAAGACCCCTGTTTTAACTAGTCACCTCTATAAAAGACTCCTGTCCACAGAATCAATAAATCAAGCAGACTCCAAACTCTCCAACATGGGAAAGACCCAAGAGCTGTCCAAGGATGTCAGAGACAAAATTGTAGACCTGCACAAGGCTGGAATGTGCTACAAAACCATTAGCAAGAAGCTGGGAGAGAAGGTGACAGCTGTTGGTGCAATTGTTCGAAAATGGAAGGAGCACAGAATGACCATCAGTCAACCTCGGTGTGGTGCTCCACGCAAGATCTCACCTCGTTGGTTTTAGGGTTATATAAAATAAAACATAACAAAATAAAACATTGCTTTTATTTCGTGAAAAAATGTAATGGAAACGCAGCTGCTGATTCTGAGGAAGGTGGAAAAATAGTCCTAGAACTACACGGGAGGAGTTAGTTGATGACCTCAAAGCAGCTGGGACCACAGTTTCCAAGAAAACCATTGGAAACACATTACACTGCAATGGATTAACATCCTGCAGTGCTCACAAGGTCCCCCTGCTCAAGAAGGCACATGTGCAGGCCCGTCTGAGGTTTGCCAATGAACACCTGAATGATTCAGAGAGTGACTGGGAGAAGGTGCTGTGGCTAGATGAGACCAAAATTGAGCTCTTTGGCATTAACTCAACTCACCATGTTTGGAGAAAGAAAAATGCTGCCTATGACCCCCAAAACACCATCCCCACCATCAAGCATGGAGGTGGAAACATTTTGCTTTGGGGGTGTTTTTCTGCTAAGGGACACAGGACAACTTCACCGCATCAACGGGAAAATGGACGGAGCCATGCATCGTCAAATCCTGAGCGACAACCTCCTTCCCTCTGCCAGGAAACTGAAATTGGGTCGTGGATGGGTGTTCCAGCACGACAATGACCCAAAACATACAGCAAAGGCAACAAAAGAGTGGCTCAAGAAGAAGCACATTAAGGTCATGGAGTGGCCTAGTCAGTCTCCAGACCTTAACCCAATAGAAAACCTATGGAGGGAGCTGAAGCTCACAGTTGCAAAGAGACAGCCTCGAAACGTTAGTGATTTAGAGATGATCTGCAAAGAGGAGTGGACCAAAATTCCTCCTAAAATGTTCGCAAACTTGGTCATCAATTACAAGCAACGTTTGACTTCTGTGTTTGCAAACAAGGGTTTTGCCACTAAGTATTGAGTCTTTTTTGTTAGAGGGTTCAAATACTTACTTCACTCGCTGAAATGCAAATCAGTTTCTTTTATTTAAAGTTATTTTCTCAGTGTTCCTTTTGATGTGCAATCTGTCCCTGTTAAAACAAACCTACCATTATAGTGATACTGTTCTGAGACTTTTCATCTCTTTGCCAATGGACAAACTTACAAAATCAGCAAGGGGTCAAATAAGTATTTCCTCCACTGTATATGAAACATACGTAGATGAACAACAATTGAATTTGTCTGTTATTTTTGCACAAAACAAGCTTCTGTTACACAAAAAAAAAAATCAGCCTTGACCTGACAGTTCACTAAGTTCATCACCTTCTTTTATGGGGCATGAACTTTTCTGATGAGTGCCGCTTTTTACAAGAAATGCAAAAGTACTTTTGGTTTTGATTTGCTCAGCTACTTAAACCCCATCGCCCCTCAGTAACTGAGCAGAGAGCGCAGCAGCACACAACATCCTGTTCTTTCAAAAACCTCCGTCAGGTAAGAAATCAGACTGATGTGGTTAGTTTTAACGGGCAAAAAGACTTTTCTAAACTGTGCTGTGAATGGTGCTGTATCAGTAATTCATAGCAGTCTTGATTACAATTATACTCATTAAATTAACCTCTTTTCAGGCAGTGGTCCTCTAATGTTTTTGCTTGAGTGTATGGTGTAAAAATCATTATAATAGAGGTGTGATTCTGCTTCTTTCAGAGTTCCTGGGACCTAAAGATGTCTGGTAAGCAAATGTTACAAAGATTTTCCCCTTAAATACAGTATACTGCTCTTCCTTCCTTTCTTCATGCTTGTTGTCTCAGTGTTAAAACTTAAAGCTGTGTGTGATCTGATGCTGATGTAAATCCAATAAAATGCACATCTGTCATTATTAACTGTGATGTTGTAGCTAAAGTAAAGTGATTGTGCTTCTCATGGCCCAGCAGCTGATAAATCTTTGAAAGCTGAAATGAATTAACAGTTTTTATCTTCTCTCCTCCAGGAGAGGGAAATGAGAGTAAGTACATCTTTTTTTCTGACTTTCTTTACCTTATAAAACATTTCTCCTAAAATCTCCTCCACTGTAGGACTATTGATATTCAAATGCTGTTTTTGACTCTAAATTTGCACATCTGTTTTTAATCCACGCAGTCGTGAAAAATGACCTCGGCCTTGAAAAGTACCGGGACTGTCCTGAGCGATTTAACACTGATGCATACGCAGGTGCCGGAGGATATTCATACAAAGGAAAAGAAGGTTAGTGACAGCAACACACCTGAGTAATTTTCCACCTTCTTTGAGTGACAGCAGTCCATCTCAAATTAGCAGTGAACCATGACTCTGTGTTCATGTAAAAGATAAATTAAAAATCAATAGAAATAAATCAATAATGTATATTCCATGGCTTTTCTGATCAGCTATGTGGAAGGTGACATAAAATATATAAATTTATATCAAGCTGGATGTGAGAAAACTTATATAAACTGTTCTTAAATTCTCCTTTTCCTACAAGTCAGTGCTTTTGGTCAACACTCTTAAATCTATTTGTCAATTTCTAATGCATGGCCAATATCATTAATATTAATATTATACAACCTGTTAAAATTAGTAATAGTAAATTTAAAAATTAATTTTAACGATAAAGGTTATTATTATTATCATTGTTATACAGTCCGTTACAGTATAGTTTTTATTAAAATAAATTGTAATATTATTATACTGTTACAGACTGTATGATAATAACAATAATAATAATAATTATTATTATTATTATTATTATTATTATTATGCCAGTCTGAAATAATGTTTCTCTGCTCTCTTCAACAGGAGCATTTATCGGTGCAGGAGTGGGCCAGATCAGAGATGGTGATACAGAGTTAAGAGGGCCCGCTGTGGGTTTGGGAATAGAGCAGGGCCCTGCTTCTAGCAGAGTCGCCGCCAAAGCTGAGATTGTGAGTGTTTCAGCGCATAAAGGTCCTGCAAAGGTTACGGTCGGTCTGGCTGCAGATTCTGCTCTTGGTATCAGTCCGACTCAGCTGGAGGCAAAGGTGCTGGGAACCGGTGTCTCCTTTGGTCGTACAATGGGCTTTTCTGTGCTTGGTTCAGGGTTTGAATTTAAGCTGTGGTAACATGTGGTTCTGTGCCAAATACAGCTCTCTTTGGTTGTGTCCTTATTATGAGCATGAGTCGCTTGTTTATTTTACAACAGTGAGATCTGCATCTCCGTGTAATCACATCTCTTACACCTGCATGATTTGTCCTGATCAAAATTTTCAATGAAAAACTTTGATTATGAGTTTTTGTCTTTCATTCTTTAAAATAATCATGAGTAAATGTGTTAAAAATTTATTCTTCAGAGTTATCTATAATATTATAAAAGCTTTTAATCAATGAGGTTACTTTGCATGCCTGTTCTGTATAAAAGGTGATATATAAATACCCCAGAAAAGTGTTGTGGGAGTTCTTTCTTGTCAGCAGAAAGACTTTGTAAGGAATGAATTTATTGACTTTTATAAACTGGGAGTCACTCCATCCTGTCTGTGCTTTTTCTCTTCTCTGTGTTGTCAAAGGAAATGCTTTTTAAACCCTGATTATCTGATTATCACAATAAAACTTCATCATATCCTGTGGGTGAAAAGTGAGTCTCTTCTGTTAAAGTTGTTATTTCAGCTTTTCAGTTTTGTTTTGACTCTGAGCTGAGAGCACATTATGGGCCTCATCTACCGAGATCCTAAATTGTGAGCGCAAACTAAAAAAATGCATGCGCTATTAGTGGGTGTGTTGCAGGTAAATGGCTATCATTGCACAATTGATAACAGGTGTGAAAGTGGTGTGGACCGCCCTCTTTAAAACAAGGATTTTGCATGCGCTCTTGGCCGTCACCATGGAGAGCTTGAGAGAACAGAGTGAGTGTGGATGAAAAATCAAGTCTGAAGCCATGGAGTTGCACCGATCGGTTTGGGGCAGCCAGCAACTGCATAAAAGGCAAGGTATGTTTATTTGTATAGCACGATTCATACAAAAGGAAATTCAAAATGCTTTACAGATGCAATAAATATAAAATAAGACATACAAGCAAAGAGGTACTTTGTCTGTTCCGTGTTTAACCCAATTATTCATCAGAACCATCATTTACTAGAAAAACGCTTTTGCACTTTTGCCTCCTTCTCCCCGCTATGACTGCAGCTATTTGTGCGTAACGCTGTGCCAGTTTGGATGATGGTTTCCAGAGGCTCTGTGATCCTAAAATGCTGCTCTGAATGATAAAGTGAAAGAACCGTCTGCCCTCTTCTGTGCCTTTGAGAACAAAATTTAAGAAAAAAAAAGGCATAGTACAGAGTGTTGAAAATGTCCTATTTTAGCATGAAAAAAAAATTTGGCCCAAGAAAAAACGTCATAGTATACTATGACCAAAATGTCAGATTTTAGGGTGAAAAAAAATTCACATTTAAGGATGATAAAACATGCAATAGTATAGTCTGATCAAATTGCCATAGTATAGGGTGTTTAACATTTCAGATTTTAGCATGAAAATAAAAAATTAAATTTTGGCCCGTGGAAAAAAAAACGTTATAGTATACTATGACCAAAATGTCAGATTTTAGGGTGAAAAAAAAAATCTGATTTTAGCATGAAAAAACATGTAATAGTATAGTCTGATCAAAATGCCATAGTATAGGTTGTGAAAAATGTCATATTTTAGCATGAAAAGAAAAAAAAAAATTTGGGGCCCGAGAAAAAAAACACCATAGTATACTATGACAAAAATTTCAGATTTTAGGGTGAAAAAAAAATCTGATTTTAGCAAGAAAAAACATGCAATATTTTGTCTGATGAAAATGCCATAGTATAGGTTGTGAAAAATGTCATCTTTTAGCACGAAAAGAAAAATAAAATTTTGGCCCGTGGAAAAAAAACGTCATAGTATACTATGACCAAAATTTCAGATTTTAGCATAATTTTTTTTTTTCAGATTTTAGGATGATAAAACACGCCATAGTGTAGTCTGATCAAATTGCCATAGTATAGGGTGTTTAACATTTTATATTTTAGCATGAAAAGAAAAATAAAATTTTGGCCCGAGAAAAAAACGTCATAGTATACTATGACCAAAACGTCAAATTTCAGCATAAATTTTTTTTCAGATTTAAGTATGATAAAACATGCCATAGTGTAGTCTGATCAAATTGCCATAGTATAGGGTGTTTAACATGTCATATTTGAACAGGAAAAAATAAAATAAAATTTATGCCCGAGAAAAAAACGCCATAGTATACTATGACCAAAATTTCAGATTTTAGGGTGAAAAAAAAAATTCTGATTTTAGCAAGAAAAAACATGCAATAGCATAGTCTGATGAAAATGCCATAGTATAGGGTGTGAAAAATGTCATCTTTTAGCACAAAAAGAAAAATAAAATTTTGGCCCGTGGAAAAAAACGTCATAGTATACTATGACCAAAATGTCAGATTTAAGCATAAATTTTTGTTTTTCAGATTTAGGATGATAAAACATGCAATAGTATAGTCTGATCAAAATGCCATAGTATAGAGTGTGAAAATTGTCATATTTTAGCATGAAAGAAAAAATTAAATTTTGGCCCATGAAAAAAACGTCATAGTATACTATGACCAAAATTCCAGATTTAGGGTGAAAAAAAATTTCACATTCAAGGATGATAAAACATGCCATAGTATAGTCTGATCAAAATGCAATAGTACAGGGTGTGAAAAATGTCATATTTTAGCATGAAAAGAAAAAACAAATTTTGGGGGCCCGAGAAAAAAACACCATAGTATACTATGACCAAAATTCCAGATTTTAGGGTAAAAAAAAAATTCTGATTTTAGCAAGAAAAAACATGCAATAGTATAGTCTGATGAAAATGCCATAGTATAGGGTGTGAAAAATGTCATCTTTTAGCACGAAAAGAAAAATAAAATTTTGGCCCGTGGAAAAAAACGTCATAGTATACTATGACCAAAATTTCAGATTTTAGCATAAATTTTTTTTTCAGATTTTAGGATGATAAACATGCCATAGTGTAGTTTGATCTAATTGCCATAGTATAGGGTGTTATACATTTCATATTTTAGCATGAAAAGAAAAAATGAAATTTTGGCCCGTGGAAAAAAACGTCATAGTATACTATGACCAAAACGTCAAATTTCAGCATAAATTCATAGTGTCGTCTGATCAAAATGCCATAGTATAGGGTGTGAAAAATGTCATATTTTAGCAGGAAAAAATAAAATAAAATTTATGCCAGAGAAAAAAACGTCATAGTATACTATGACCAAAACGTCAGATTTCAGCATAAATTTTTTTTTCAGATTTAAGGATGATAAAACATGCCATAGTGTAGTCTGATCAAATTGCCGTAGTATAGGGTGTTTAACATGTCATATTTGAACAGGAAAAAATAAAATAAAATTTATGCCCGAGAAAAAAACGTCATAGTATACTATGACCAAAATTTCAGATTTTAGGGTGAAAAAAAAAATCTGATTTTAGCATGAAAAAACATGCAATAGTATAGTCTGATCAAAATGCCAAAGTATAGGGTGTGAAAATATCATCTTTTAGCACGAAAAGAAAAATAAAATTTTGGCCCGTGGAAAAAAAACGTCATAGTATACTATGACCAAAATTTCAGATTTTAGCATAAATTTTTTTTTCAGATTTTAGGATGATAAAACATGCCATAGTGTAGTCTGATCAAATTGCCATAGTATAGGGTGTTTAACATGTCATATTTGAACAGGAAAAAATAAAATAAAATTTATGCCCGAGAAAAAAACGCCATAGTATACTATGACCAAAATTTCAGATTTTAGGGTGAAAAAAAAAATCTGATTTTAGCATGAAAAAACATGCAATAGTATAGTTTGATCAAAATGCCAAAGTATAGGGTGTGAAAAATATCATCTTTTAGCATGAAAAGAAAAAATGAAATTTTGGCCCGTGGAAAAAAACGTCATAGTATACTATGACCAAAATTTCAGATTTTAGCATGAATTTTTTTTTCAGATTTTAGGATGATAAAACATGCCATAGTGTCGTCTGATCAAAATGCCATAGTATAGGGTGTTAACAATGTCATATTTTAGCAGGAAAAAATAAAATAAAATTTATGCCCGAGAAAAAAACGTCATAGTATACTATGACCAAAACGTCAAATTTCAGCATAAATTTTTTTTCAGATTTAAGTATGATAAAACATGCCATAGTGTAGTCTGATCAAATTGCCATAGTATAGGGTGTTTAACATGTCATATTTGAACAGGAAAAAATAAAATAAAATTTATGCCCGAGAAAAAAACGCCATAGTATACTATGACCAAAATTTCAGATTTTAGGGTGAAAAAAAAAATTCTGATTTTAGCAAGAAAAAACATGCAATAGCATAGTCTGATGAAAATGCCAAAGTATAGGGTGTGAAAAATGTCATCTTTTAGCACAAAAAGAAAAATAAAATTTTGGCCCGTGGAAAAAAACGTCATAGTATACTATGACCAAAATGTCAGATTTAAGCATAAATTTTTGTTTTTCAGATTTAGGATGATAAAACATGCAATAGTATAGTCTGATCAAAATGCCATAGTATAGAGTGTGAAAATTGTCATATTTTAGCATGAAAGAAAAAATTAAATTTTGGCCCATGAAAAAAACGTCATAGTATACTATGACCAAAATTCCAGATTTAGGGTGAAAAAAAAATTTCACATTCAAGGATGATAAAACATGCCATAGTATAGTCTGATCAAAATGCAATAGTACAGGGTGTGAAAAATGTCATATTTTAGCATGAAAAGAAAAAACAAATTTTGGGGGCCCGAGAAAAAAACACCATAGTATACTATGACCAAAATTCCAGATTTTAGGGTAAAAAAAAAATTCTGATTTTAGCAAGAAAAAACATGCAATAGTATAGTCTGATGAAAATGCCATAGTATAGGGTGTGAAAAATGTCATCTTATAGAACGAAAAGAAAAATAAAATTTTGGCCCGTGGAAAAAAACGTCATAGTATACTATGACCAAAATTTCAGATTTTAGCATAAATTTTTTTTTCAGATTTTAGGATGATAAACATGCCATAGTGTAGTTTGATCTAATTGCCATAGTAT